TCTTTTTGATGCTAAAAAGGTGGAAGCTTGAATTTTTTTATGGAAGAAAAGTTTCTGAAATAAGAAGCTGTTATTGTGGCGCTTACTTGCTTTAGCTTCGGGATTTGGTCCAATCGTCTCTTTTGGAAAGATTGACCAGAAAGCCCCAGAAAGAAGCTGAAGAAGACGAAGAAGAAAAAAGAGTAGCAGCTTTGAGTTTTTGTCTGTACGGTTTGTGCTACTCTTACTTTAGTGGTCTCGATTTGGTTTTTTGGATCCGGTTTCATTTTTTTTTGAATTCGGGCATTAATCGGGTTTTGCTTGTTGTTTGTTTTTTTCTTCTGTATTTGGGTTCTCTTTAGATTGAAGTCTTTGAACCGGGATCTTCGATTTTGTTTGCTTTCATTTTATCTTTGATTGAAGATTGAAATGGAGTTGCTTTGGTGATTCTAGTAATCCAAGTTTTAATATTTGTTTCCAATATGGTTATTGGATTTGAAGAGAGGAGTTTTATGAGTAGAGGTTTCAAATTTAGATTGAATATTTTGAAAGTTGTGATGAACATTTTGGATTCCTTTGATCAATTCCTCAAAAGTAGGATTCTCTCTTGCTTTTGGTTTGGTAAATTTGGCATACTCTGGCTTTATTTGGAGACGTGAGAGGGATCTCTTCTTTATTGAGCATTCAAAAAAGTTTGATAATTTGATAATAAAAGTTTAGATTTTTAAAAGACTATATGATTATAAATTCGTCTTCTTCCCTTAAAGGCTTTCTTTTTGAGAAAACAAAAAAGGGGGTTTTGTTTGCTCCTCTCATTCTCTGCCTCTCTGTGTGAAATTGATGAGTTCTTATGCTCTCAAGTGGGACCAAGAATCAGATGCGTGTCTTAATTTTCTTATCTGATAGAGATTTGAGGAAGTCTTTGCTTTTGTGACCATATTACTATATTTACATGTTTTCCTCATGAGTTGTTGTTTTCATCAAAAGTTTGTTAATTTTCCTTTTCTTTTGATTCTGATTCTAGATTCATACATCGTGACTTGGAACCTGATTCTTGCATCTAATTCTTCATTGACGGAGTGCAACATTCTATTTCTCAGTTTACTTGAGTGTCGGCCTTCTGTTGAAAGAGCCTTCTCCTCGGAGCCGTGACGCCTTTTGCTCTGAGCGTTTTTGTTCTTTAGCTTCTGTGGAGATTTACATGTCTGCCTCTGTCGTGGGAGGACCAGTTGCTTGTGCGGAAAGAACAAAATCTGTGGATGCACTTACTAAGAAAGAGATCCTGTCGGCGCTAAACAACGGAGAGATTTCCGAAACCTCTGAGGATGCTAGGTTCAGAGTCAGGGACCTCTTGCTCCCCAATGCCGAATCCTACTCTGGTTCTTTGCTTGGAAACGTTCCCGAGGGATCAGGGAAGTACGTTTGGTCAGACGGGTGCGTTTACGACGGAGAATGGAGGCGTGGGATGAGGCATGGCAGTGGAAAGATGAGATGGGCTTCCGGGGCACACTATGAAGGTGAGTTCTCAGGCGGCTACATGCACGGCACAGGGACTTACACGGATGCTAACAACTTAAACTATAAAGGAAGATGGCGGCTTAATCTGAAACACGGTCTCGGGTATCAGGTTTACCCAAACGGAGATGTCTTTGAAGGTTCTTGGATTCAAGGGTTGGGAGAAGGGCCAGGGAAGTACACTTGGGCTAATGGAAATGTATACCTCGGTGATATGAAAGGCGGGAAGATGTCGGGGAAAGGGACGCTGACTTGGATCACCGGAGACTCCTACGAAGGAAGTTGGTTGAACGGGATGATGCATGGTCTTGGTGTGTATACATGGAGCGACGGAGGTTGCTATGTTGGGACATGGACACGTGGTTTGAAAGATGGTAAAGGCTCGTTTTATTCGGCGGGGACTAGAGTTCCTGCTGTGCAAGAGTTTTACTTGAACGCTCTTAGGAAGAGAGGCGTTTTGCCGGATTTGAGGAGGCAGAACCAGGTTGCTTCCTCGGTTAACATGGAGAGCCTTAGAGTTGGTGTGAACCGTAACAAGCTCTCGAAAGGGAGCTTGATGAACTTGGAGCAATCTCGAAACGGGAGGGTTTCTTTAGAGAGGCGGTGGAGCCTTGAGGTGTCTATCGAGAAAGTGATTGGACATGATTACTCGGATTTGTCGGAGGCGGTTTTAGATAGCGGGAGCAGCGTGCAGTATAATGCAAACATACCGATCTTGGAGCGGGAATATATGCAAGGCGTTCTGATCAGTGAGCTCGTGGTGAACAACGGGTTTTCGCGCACATCAAGAAGAGCGAAAAGGAAACACAAAAGACTTGTTAAAGAAGCTAAGAAGCCCGGTGAAGTTGTTATCAAAGGTCACCGGAGCTATGATCTGATGCTCAACTTGCAGCTTGGAATCAGGTATGTGCTTGCTCCTTCTAAAATTCTCTGTGTCCTGTGAGATTGCTTAGCTCTATATTCAGCGAGCCGAGTGTTGTGTCGTGTCGCTGAACTAATTTCAAACGTTATTAGATACACAGTGGGGAAAATTACGCCCATACAAAGGCGAGAAGTACGGACAGCAGACTTTGGACCTCGGGCTAGCTTTTGGATGAGTTTTCCTCGAGCTGGCTCCACCATGACTCCTCCTCACCACTCTGAAGATTTCAAATGGAAGGACTATTGTCCAATGGTATTCAGGTTAGTATCTATGGAATCTATCATCTTTACTCGAAACAGTTCAACAGCATACAGTTTACATTCATTCTAAACCTTGGTAGGAACCTGAGGGAGATGTTTAAGATCGACGCAGCTGATTATATGATGTCCATTTGTGGAAATGATACCTTGAGGGAACTTTCTTCTCCAGGGAAGAGCGGAAGTGTCTTCTTCCTGTCTCAGGATGATCGGTTCATGATTAAAACACTCAGGAAATCTGAAGTCAAGGTTTGTGACCACTTATGCATCCACCATCTCTCTTTCTCGCTATATTCCTAGTTTTCTCCATTCATAAATTGTAGACCCTTTGTTTTGATGGCCAGTGCTTGTGTGTTATCTATGGAAACTGAATTTAATAAAATCTTCATTTTGTAGGTTCTCCTGAGGATGCTTCCAGATTACCATCACCATGTGAAGACGTATGAGAACACCCTCATTACCAAATTCTTTGGCCTTCACAGAATCAAACCATCAAGTGGTCAAAAGGTCCTGATTCAAGGAGGCATATGTCCCTTTATGATTCTGTTTTTGATTTGTACTGTCATTAGCTTTTGAGATTGCAACATTTGGAATTCCAAATCAGTTTTAGGACTAACTTTTAAAAATCTCTCTTGCATTGCAGTTCCGCTTTGTGGTGATGGGTAACATGTTCTTTACAGATCTTAGAATTCATCGGAGATTTGACCTGAAAGGTTCGTCACTAGGACGTTCTGCAAACAAAGTCGAGATAGACGAGAACACTATACTTAAAGATTTGGATCTGAACTACTACTTCTTCTTGGAACCTTCTTGGCGGGAAGGTTTACTAAGGTACTACTCTCTCCAAGACCATATTTGTAAGATATATATATACATTTTACAAAATTCATGTTTAAAGTTTGTTCCCGTGGTGGTGTAACCAGGCAACTAGAGATCGATAGCAAGTTCTTGGAAGACCAGAACATAATGGATTACAGCCTTTTGCTCGGTGTGCATCATCGTGCTCCAGAGCACTTACGATCCCAGTTGGTCCGTTCTCGAAGTATAACAACTGATGCGTTAGAAAGCGTAGCAGAAGATGGTGAGACTCTTTTTACAATCGCCACTAGAATGATTCAAATATACATAATTGTACAGAATCTCACAATGATGATGAAACAGATACAATCGAGGACGACATGTTGTCTTACCACCAAGGATTGGTTCTTGTTCCTGGCGAAAGTGACAATACTGTAACTGGCCCTCACATCAGAGGAAGCAGATTACGGGCATCTGCTGCTGGTGATGAAGAAGTCGATCTCCTTCTTCCTGGAACAGCCAGGTAACTAACTCCTCAACTCAGGTTTATCTTAACATAGGAGTATCAGTGATGCTCACTATACAGTTCTTGAACCGGATTTTGAGAAAAAATATTTGAAAATGCAGGTTGCAGATACAGCAAGGAGTGAACATGCCGGCGAGAGCAGAGCTGATACCGGGAAGAGAAGAGAAAGATAAGCAGATTCTACATGATTGCTGCGACGTGGTGCTCTACCTTGGCGTTATAGACATCTTACAAGAGTACAACATGACCAAGAAGATCGAGCATGCGTACAAATCTCTTCATTTTGATTCTGTTTCCATCTCAGCCGTTGATCCTACTTTCTACTCCCAACGTTTTCTTGACTTCATCAAGAAGGTGTTTCCCCAGAACAAATCATAGAGAAAGAGACACAGAAAATAGTACAGTTATGTCTTGTTTTGTTTTGTAGAGGAAAATGCTAAAAACCTTCTTGTAAGTATTCTGTAAACAGAGACCTTGAGAGCTTCAGTAAGTAAAACAATTTTTCTTCTTTGCAATCGCCGCAACCGCAAAACGTAATCGCACTTCTTGATTGCATGAGATATTTGGCTTCATTATCAAACGCAATTAAAAGACACGTGGACACAAGACGGACTTAGGAAGAAAAGTTGAAACAGAAACTGAGATACGTGTCGTGAAGTGAAATGTCGGAGAAAATGATGTAAACTCAGTATATCGTAGACGTTTTGCATTTTGTAATAAAGTTTCTTCCTTCCCTTTCTTAATTTGTATACGTATGGTATGAATCATAGATTTTTCTGCACAGAGAGATGTTGATATAAACAAGAAGCATCTCCGTTACTATACATTGAAAGAAGTCAAAAATTAGTGTTTTTGTTTGTTTGTTAAGTAGGGTTTGGTTCGATTTGATTTGATCTCTCCTAGGTTTTGTCGTTTGGAATCTTTTGTTAATTTTCTACAGTACTGGATCGACAAAAGAAAAAGGAAAAGAAAATCTCGAGTGTTAAGAGTGAAATTGTAGAGAATGGGATCTTCTTCTGGGCAAAGTGCATACGATCTATCTTTCAAGGTCTTATTGATTGGAGATTCTGGTGTCGGTAAAAGTAGCTTGCTTCTCAGCTTCATTTCCAGTTCTGTCGAGGATCTTGCTCCCACCATCGGTATATTTTCTTAACTACCTATTTGATTACCACCAAAATGATACTCTTGTTGGATCTTTTTTGTCCGAGGATGGTACTTAGCTTTATCAGTCTCAGAGCTAGAATCTTGTCTGGTCAAACTTCAAATGAAGTCAACTGAAATTGAGACTTGAAGCCTTCTTTTACTTTTTCTGTTTAATTCCTAAGAAAATATAACTTCTTGGTTTGACCTTGTGAGTTAAAAATCGAGACTTGAAGTTCATGAGTCTCTCATTGTTTCCTCTTCTTTGGCTCCACATTTGACCAGATATTTGTGTTGTTGAGACTTGTTTCTGCTTTTGTAAGAGTCTCATAGCATAACTGTGCTTCATATCTGCCTGAGAAAATTCGCAAAACCGAACATTGTTTAGCTTTCCTTGTTTTTATATCCCTCTGGCATTGGTTTGATCTACCTGGTCTGATCGGTGTAACATTGTAGGTGTTGATTTTAAGATCAAACAGCTGAAAATAAGAGGGAAAAGAGTAAAGCTTACTATCTGGGACACAGGTAAGCTAAATCCTATAGGGAGAAGAACTGTGAATTCTATTTGAGATACTCGAAAATGTAGTTAGGTACCTCAAAACTCGTGGTGATTTCTTGGTTTGTTCTTGTGTAGCTGGACAAGAAAAGTTCAGAACATTGACGAGTTCTTATTTCAGAGGCTCCCAAGGAATCATTCTCGGTAATGAAATGATCACAGAATCGTCGGTACCTGTTTTGGTAAGAACTTGCTAATACTTCTGATACTTTCTCTGTGATGATGCAGTTTATGATGTGACGAAAAGAGAGACGTTTCTAAACTTAGCAGATGTTTGGGCTAAAGAGATTGAGCTCTACTCGACTAACCATGACTGTATCAAGATGCTCGTTGGCAACAAAGTCGATAGAGTGAGTTGTGATAGTAAACACTTACTTGTAATCAAATCAACTTGAATTCGGTTTCAGTGATAGTTTTTCGTTTCAGGAATCTGAGAGGAAAGTTAGCAGAGAAGAAGGAATGGCTCTAGCGAAAGAACTCAAGTTTTTGTTTCATGAATGTAGCGCAAGAACCCGAAAAAACGTGAAGCAGTGCTTTGAAGAGCTTGCTTTGAAGGTACGAAAGAATCTTGTTGATGATATTCTTTTCACTTTCATAGTGGTCTAAAACGAGGAAAGTGAATAATAATAAGAGGGGTGTAAAATGAAACAGATAATGGAGGTACCTAGTCTCTTGGAAGAAGGATCAATCTCTCTGAAAAGAAAACCGGATAACCGAACTCATCAAAGCCGGTGTTGCTCGTGAGCTGATTGGTTTAACCGGAAGTAGCCTCTTTTGTGTGTAAATTTCTCAAGAAGATGAAGCTTTGGCTTCTCTGTAAATTTCTCCATTCCTTAGATTTTTGTTCTTCTTGCCTTGACTGAGATCGTGTAATAAGTTAAAAAAAACCTCACTATACAGAAAAAAAGAAAGTAAGACCCCTCATATTCTTGTCTTGTGTTTACTTTTGGTGACAAACTTGGGATTCGATCAGAAAACCCCCTCAAGAGACCATTGAAATTTGAAACCGTAGCTTACACTCACAACACCTGCATTGTATTAGTTCAAGGTCTTTGAATACTTAAACGTAGTTTAACATTTCCGATAGGTTGGCCATGGAGATAGCAAAATAGACATAAGATCACAAGCCTATTAATGAAGTCTCCCTCCTACTCGTTCTAAGTAACAATAACAATAACAACTTAGGACGATCCCTGAACGATGCTGAGAAGATTAGAGACGATAAGAGCTTAGAAACCAGTCCATGGAACTTCTAAACATAACTGCAGCAAGCTGATTTCTCAGTTGTAGAAGACGACGAGGCTTTGCTAGCATCTTGTTTAGTGATCTTGATCCCTTGGGGCTGCAAATCAACAAAGACAGTAGACATTTTCCTCAGCAAAAAAATAGTCAGTTTCATAATCCAAGCATCGAGTTAGTAAGTAGATTCCATGTGCTTCTTTACCTCAGCTTTTGCATCGCTTTCTGTGAGTCTTTGTTTTATGTCTTCCGTGATAGAAATGAAAACCTGCTCGACATTCTGGTTTGTTTTTGCACTCTGCAACAGTTTCAAAACACATAGGTTTCAAAATAAATGAAATCTGTAAACGAGGAGATAAACATGTTAATGTATCTTTCAGCTCACCGTCTCAAAGAATTTGATTCCGTACTCATCAGCCAGAGCTTGTCCCTTTGATGTTGGGACGGCCTGAATGAAGAAAGATGCAGCATTAGTATTCTATGAAATCTAAGCAAGACATATGGTCAAGATTGTGAACAGAGTACATGGAAATAAAAAAAAGTTACCCTTTTGCTTTCGTCCATATCGGCTTTGTTACCAACCAATATTTTGTTGACGCTATCTGAAGCATGTTGGTCAATGTTCTTCATCCAGTTCCTAATGTCTGGAAAAGCAATTTGTGTTAGTTCTCACAAGTGTCTTTTGATATTTGCTCCTCACACATAGAAAAGCCAGAGACATACTGTTGAAGGATGACTCGTCCGTTACATCATAGACGAGTAATATACCCATTGCTCCTCTGTAATATGCTGCAAGAGAAAAAATGGACCAAAGGGTTTCAAGGAAATGGTATCTGAAACAAGTAGAAAGTAAAATTTTCAATCTTCTAAAACTATAACATTTCCTGGAATGATTAGTAATAGTCTACAGAGAAATCAACAAATTCATACAAAGTATCGAAGTTAAATAGTTAGAATCAGACCAAAAACCAGTTTTACCTGTAGTTATAGTTCTAAAACGTTCTTGTCCAGCTGTGTCCCATATCTGCAATTTGATACGCTTCCCATCAAGTTCAACTGTTCTTATCTTGAAATCGATTCTGGAGAAGAAGAAAAAAAGGAATTTGGACAAAGGTTTTCAACAATCTTTAATACCAAAGACACGAAAACAGCAAAATGAAGAAAGACATACCCAATGGTAGTAATGAAACTTGTGGTGAAAGTATCATCCGAGAAACGCAGTAACAAGCAACTTTTTCCCACACCTGCGCATACACACAACCACACACACACAAAAAGAAAAGTTAACAAACAACAAAACTATAAATTGACGATAGAAAATGTTGAAAGTTTTCAACTTGACTATATCTTTCATCATGTTAACAAAATGTTTCATTAGTTCTTCACAATCTTAGCATGAGATTTTGATTGTAAGGTTTCCAATTAATCCAAAATTTCAAAAAAGGAACTACATCGATACTTAAATTAACAGAGACTGTGTAGAGGTACTCATATACTTTGTTGATTAACTACGAAAAGCAAAACCGCAAAAAAAAATCAAAATCACAAACCCTAAGTCCAATCGCAAAAATAGGAGCGAAAGAAGATTCTCAGATGAAAATGAAACAGTTTATGAACCTCCTTTGCTCATTAGTCGTTACTTATGAAGAAGGAGAAAGATGGAGATAGAGAGAGGCAGAGTATTACCGCTATCGCCGATGAGGAGGAGCTTGATGAGGTAATCATAGTCTGAACGAGCTCTTGCCGGCGCAACAGCCATCGGAGAAGAAAGTAATAGTCACTTATTTATCCTCTTTCGCAACAGAAGTAAAACCAAGCTCTGCTAATTTCCCCCGGAAAATCTCTTCTCACCGGAGAAAGAAATTTTCTTGGAGACAGCCAAAAAGAAATGAAAAGCAGAAGAAAACAGAAACGATTCTCAGTGCTGCTATGAAGTCGAAAGCTGCTAATTGGTGGATCATATTTTACTATTTTTGTTGTATTAGCTTCATTTCTGGATTCTTCACTCTTTCATCCACCAACTTATTCAATCGCTCAATTTCGCTCTTGTTGATGATAAATTGATAATTCATAAGTCCACAAATATCTCATATTTTCTTCTTCGTTTATAAATTGTTGAAATAAACTCTTCAAAAGGAATAATTATCATCATAATTAAGATAGTCTACAAAAGCTTTTAGAAAAACAGTAATTGGCTACAACCATTGCCTTGATTTGCTTTGTTCACTTTTATATGCCTCTAAATGCTTAACCAAAAAAAAAAAAAATTTATCATAACTAAAACAGACACGATGTTCTTAATTCATAGGCATCAGTCACTCTTTTAGATTAAAAACCTTTGTATGAGAAACCACCAAAAATAAGATTAGAAAACAAGTAAAACATTTAAATCCTTCTCTACTTCATTGACTCCCCAAAAACTGGCAGGAGAATTCTGCAGAGTAATCGGCAGAATCACTAGGAGATTATTGAGTCGCCTATAGCAACTTCGAGGATCCGCCTAGCATCAGTGTTCACATCAGCTAATTCACCTGGTGTCTGCATAATCATAACCTTGCTATCACTAATCAATACTTCAAAATCCAAAAAAATATTTGAACACTGATTTCAAATGTTACCTTCCCATATGAGTTTTTCATCGTTGGTGAAGCCCCTGAATCCAGCAAAAACCTAATCACATCGACATGCTCACCTCTCGCTGCATGATGCAGAGGCTGTCAACAAGAAACACTTTGCGATCAATCAAAGTTTAGAGAGATCGTGAGAGAGAGAGGGAGAGAATGAGTCATTTGAAGATTGGAGAGTACTTACAGTGTCACCTTCTATATCGACTGTTTCGATCATTCTCTTCACAGATTCGGTACCACTAGCTCGGCTAAAAAGAAGCCCAATTATTTCCAAGTACCCTAAGAGCAGAAGTTCAACTATAAGGCTACAGCACGTGACCATGCCGTGAGAAAGAAATACGGTAGGAACGGTACATGACCAACTTTACCTCCAGCACAAGCATCATGTAGAGGGATTGCTTCATCCTCATCTTTGACCTCCATATTAGCTCCTCTCTCTAGGAGAAGCTGCAGTAAAAAAACCAACACGCGATTAAAAAGTTTACAAATACATCAGCTATCCAAAAGTCAGTAGAAATTGCAAAGCAGCGAGGAGCAAAAGTAACCTGGACACAAGGGAGGTGACCATATAGACACGCCAGGTGAAGTGCCGAGTCCTTATCCTCAAGTGGCTCATCAACTCTCCCGTTCACATTGTCTATCAAATTCAGAGGCGGATTAAGACATCATCAGAAAGAAGAAGAAGAAGCATATCGTCTTCATCAGCAGACAGTTGCACACATAAGGACATATCAGCCAGTTACGATGCAAATCTGATAACTTTGCTTGTCTACCAGTAGAAACTTAGCCAACTTTCATCATTTCATAAGAGAGTGCAGATGTTTAGTCATGTTCATCACAGCCTCAAGCAACAAATCAGTCAAACAAAAACAGAGATAGACAGAATACACATTAGGCAAAAACTACGCTCAGGTTGGTTTCTAAGATGGAAGAGGCTTTAGAGGAATAGAAGAAAGACGAGACAAAGATCTAAGCAGAGGTACCTTTTGTAATGGTGTGGGACTTATGTCCTAATTTTTGGGTTAAGTTCTGTCAAGACAACATTACTCTGGCAAATCTAGTGGTTCCATTAAAAGATTGAGGCTTTACGCCCTGAGCAATACGCAATTGAAGTTGAAATTGAAATTGAAATCAAAGTTTGAACAAAAAATTCCCGAAGTGTCGGTTTTTCCGGACCAGAACTATAAGAAATTCGTTTAAGGGCAACGGAAGAAGAAATGAAGTACCAATTGCGGTGCGCAAGGCGACGACGTCACCGGACTGAGCTGCGGCGGCCAAGTCACGGAGGTTCGAGGACAGCTCGGGGTCGCTGTCGGAGTCAACACCGTTTTCCTCAAAAATAGCGTTATCTCCGTCAACCTCATCTTCTTCCATCAAACCATTGTCTCCCCTCGGAACCGCCATTGTCGTAGTCAACCTCTTTCTCTCCTTCCTCTCCACCGCCGTGTAATAATTTTTCTTCTCTTTTAACAACTAATCGCCGCCGTGCAATAATCTACACTCAATTAAATTAGGTTTTCTCGTTTAAGGACTAAAAATTCACAAGTCTAATATTTTGTTAATATACATTTTTTGTCAACTTGTGCTTAGTAAAACAGTAAAACTGTTTTAATTAATCTTATGCAAGTATATTTATATATATTAAATAAAAATCTATCGGCACTCAAATGATAAAAAAATTTGGTTACTGTATCTAATTTGATATGAGTCCCTTTTTCCCCTTTAGCCATCATTTCTCTCCTCTCTCTATCTATCCCCCTCTATCTCTCTCGCTCTCATCCTGTTTTGATCGCCGGGAAATCATTGCCGTCCGATCAACCTGCGCGTACTCCGTGAAGATCTCTTGGGTCACTCCAATAGACCGATTTCGCCACCTCAGATCTCCGACGAACATTCCGGTACTATTTCTAGCTTAATTCCATTTCTTTATCCGCGGGATTGCGAAAATGGGGAGCCTGCTCCAAGAGAGTTATAGTGGAAGCGATATGTGAATCTGAGGATTTAAAATTTGAATACTCAGGGTTTTGATTCGTCCTCCGTCGCATGCTGATCCAGTTTTTAGCTCCTCTCCCAGTGAATCTCTTAGGGTTTCTAGTTAAGGGGAAAAAGTGTGCTTCTTTCGAGTAGTTGCGTGTAGCCATGTTTAAGAAAATCATGAAAGGTGGGCACCGGAAGCCCTCTAAATCCGAGGCTAATGAGCCGTCTAGTTATGGTCCTGGTTCCAATGTGGTCGTTAGCCACGCGTCTCGAGGCTCACTGGTTCCTTCTTCTCAGTCGCCAGTGACGGCCACTCCACCACCTCCGCCGATGGGGTCAGTAGAGCCTCTCCCGTTGTTCAGGGACGTCCCGGTTTCAGAGAGGCAAACGTTGTTCTTGAGGAAACTTCAGAACTGCTGTTTCCAGTTCGATTTCACAGACACGATTAAAAACGCGAGAGAGAAGGAGATCAAGAGGCAGACGCTGCTGGAGCTGGTGGATTTTATACAGTCTGGATCTAGTAAGATCTCGGAGTCGTGTCAGGAAGAAATGATTAAGATGGTTTCTGTCAACATATTCCGGTGTCTCCCTCCGGCATCGCACGAGAATACGGGTCAAGAGCCTGCGGATCCTGAGGAAGAGGAACCTTACCTGGAACCTTCTTGGCCTCATTTGCAGCTAGTTTACGAGTTGCTACTGAGATACATTGTTTCGACCGACACGGATACAAAAGTGGCCAAACGGTATATCGACCATTCTTTCGTCTTGAAGTTGCTCGACTTGTTTGATTCCGAAGACCCGAGGGAGAGGGAGTATTTGAAAACGATTCTTCATAGAATCTATGGGAAGTTTATGGTCCACAGGCCCTTTATTAGGAAAGCAATTAACAACATATTCTATAGGTTTATTTATGAGACAGAGAGGCACAGTGGGATCGGGGAACTCCTGGAGATTCTAGGCAGTATCATAAACGGGTTTGCGTTGCCTATGAAGGAGGAGCACAAGCTATTTTTAGTCAGGGTGTTGATACCATTGCATAAGCCGAAGCCAATAGCTATATATCATCAGCAGTTATCTTATTGCATCGTTCAGTTTGTGGAAAAAGATTATAAGCTCGCGGATACAGTAATCAGGGGATTATTAAAGTATTGGCCTGTGACAAACTGCACCAAGGAGAATCTTTTTCTTGGAGAACTTGAAGAAGTTCTTGAGGCAACACAGCCTGTCGAGTTCCAGCGTTGCATGGTTCCATTGTTTCAACAGATCGGTCGCTGCCTCAACAGCTCTCACTTTCAGGTTAGTAATCGACGAATCGTGTATACGTATCACCTTTTAATCTGGAGATTTTGTTCTTTGGCTTCTTCTGCCCTATAATTATGCTTGGAAATAAATTTAGCATATCGAGGCAATGAATTTTAGATATTGTGTGTGTCCTCTATGCCTATCACCTTCAATTCCCGTTTGTTTTTTTTCTTCACTTGGGTCTGATCCATCTCCCTGTGCTTCAAAATTTGTGTTTGTTGTATTGCTTGCTTCTTTCTCCTTTTCTCCCGTGGTGTTAATTTCATTTCACAAAGTGATCATGATTATGCTGTTTGCACTACACTCATTTGGTTGATGGGATTATCTCATTCTGCTGATAGATACTAGTCTTGAAAAGGAGTCCTTGGCTTCTTAGATTATCTTCATTTCCCCATAAATCACTCATTCCAAACTTCCTGGAGTGAATTAACTGTCTGACTGTATCGGTTCTGTTGCGTTTGCTTTATTCACGTGTCCGGGGAAAATAAGAGATATAAGCTTCGTTCTTTATGTGGTATCCATTTGTGTTATATAGACTGGAGCAGGTTTTGATCTCTCATTGGTCCTATACAGGTTGCGGAACGAGCACTGTTCTTGTGGAACAATGAGCACATCGTGGGTCTTATCGCGCAGAACCGAAGCGTAATCCTTCCAATCATATACCCTGCACTGGAGAAGAACATCCAGTCTCACTGGAACCAAGCAGTTCATGGTCTAACTGCAAATATCAAGAAGATGTTCATGGAGATGGATCCTGAGCTCTTTGAAGAATGCCAGAGACAGTATGAAGAGAAACAAGCGAAATCCAAAGAAGTGGAAGAACAACGCCAATTTACATGGAAGAGATTAGCCGAAGCAGCAGCAGAGCGAGACGGCGTTGGAGGAGAAGATCATATGGTCACTTCCTAGATCGATAAAAAAAAAATGGTCTTATTCTTACACCTTTTTTTTTTGTTATGTCATTTTATCAAATCGTTAACTATTTTTTTTTTCAATTTATAAACTTCGATTTGTTTTGGTTTTGAGATTCATCCTGATTTTGGTTGCTTAGAAAATAGTAGAGAGAAGTGAGCTAATCACTATCAGAGAATATGTCACTTGTCTGTACGGAACCGGGATTTAGTTACTAAAAAATGTGTTGCTGATCTTCTAGTTAATTTTTTTCGTGAGAGCTAAATTAAATTTGGTACAAATTTATATAGTATTTAAAAAGCAAGCAAGTGTATTCAATGTGATGATAAACATTATGATGCGCACAAAACAGTTGTGCGATAAGGAATGAAATGAAATTACTAGTCTCATTGGACCACATGAGAATAATCTCTCATCTTTTTCGGTTAGAGTTTATGGTCATGTTTTATTATATAACGGCCTGCCTTTTATTTTTAAAAACTATCAATTTTTCAACATTCTTATTAGCTCTTTTTCGTTAAATAAAAATCTAATTATGTCCTTTTATCCCTTTGCATTTAGACTATATGTCCTTTTTTTTTATCACCTTTCGTGATCTTATCTGGTTATGCTTGTTTGATCTTGGTAGTAGTGATGGTCTTTTGAGCTTTTCTTGCCTAGCATGATATATCATCTGCATTCTCGTCAAAGCCAATTTTTATAGAGTTGGCAACCGTGCAAACTGCTTTTCATATTGCTACAAACGAGATGATAAGTCGTAATTTGTTTCTGTCCTTACAAAAACAAACACTCAAAAGACATTAAGAAAGCAACAAGCTTCGTATAATCCTTGGTTGGAAATTCCCTAAAACATATTGAAATATATTATAGTTGAATATAATTGTACACATAAAGCGGGGATAGCTCAGTTGGGAGAGCGTCAGACTGAAGATCTGAAGGTCGCGTGTTCGATCCACGCTCACCGCAAATATTTTTCATTTTTTCCCACTCCGATGATTTCCGCTAAACTTTTTTTCTTAATTCAATGGTTTCATATGCAGCCAGTCAATAAGAAAATCTTAATTTTTATGTAATATACAATGAGTCTCATGGGACCCCGCAAAGACGAACTTGAAGTGGTTAGAAAGTTTGAACTTTGAACAAACATTTAATGATTCCGTACAGTACAGACCGGAGCACGAGGTAGTTGACAAATACAAAATCTTCAATTTCTTGTGTAAGTCGGTCTCAGTCTCTATATTACAATTACAGTACTAGTATTACCTTTGACCTCCACTGTAATTGTACTTCAAAATGTCTGAACTTTAGTGAAAATAAATAAATTCCAAAGCCTAAATGATCAAAAGCCCTTTTGTATTGGTAACTTTGCTTGTGCCACACACTATACACACTCTCTATTCTTAGATGAATAAGTATATTACAGTCTTAACAACAAAGAAAAAACAAACTGAGCAAAGAACAATTATCTTAATTGAAAGAGACCGTTGAAAAGGAAGTTACAGCGAAAGAGAGCTTCTTGTTGAGCTGCCGAACCGTGTTCTTATGAGGCCCCATTATTCTAAAGAGAGCAAAGTAAGAAACACACATATGGGGAAATTTCTAGGGAATTTCCTAACCATGATAACGTCGCGTTTCCTGTATAAAATCCAGACTCTCTCTTAACCCAAAGCAATGCAACAAATCCACCGAAGAAGAAGCAAAGAACACCAACCAGAGCTTTACAATTCTACTGTTGCTTCCTCTTTGCAGCTTTTTGAGAATGTGCAAAAAGTTGAAGCTTTTCGTTAGAAAGCTACAAACTTGCTGCTTACTCACTGGATTCTCCAAGAGGGTTGAGAATTGTGGTGAGTTTGAGGAAGAGGGTAATGCTGCAACAATGATTCCCAGCGATGTGAAGGAAGGGCATGTGGCTGTGATTGCGGTTAAAGGAGAGAGCGTTAAGAGGTTTGTTTTGGAGCTTCAAGAGTTGAACAAACCTGAGTTCATGAGGCTGCTCGAACAGGCGAAAGAAGAGTTTGGGTTTCAACCCAGAGGACCTCTGACCATTCCATGCCTGCCTGAAGAAGTACAGAAGATTCTAGGAGGAAGTAGAGAGTCTTGATTTTTTTTATTTATTGTAGAGATACATTGTTAGTTGAGATTCTTTTCTTACAAGAACTTACCATTCTTTCTCTTATTACAGAACTATGTTATTATGAACACATCTACATGTTGATTTCTTCCCTTTGAACTGTTATTTGGATATCACATTCCATTTTCTCCCTAGATTAAGCAATTTGTTAACATCTGTTAAAGCTCTTCTCGCCCTAACTAACAAATTTCTCACAGGAAGAGCTTTACAAGACACCACATTCAGCACTTGTAACCAAGTACCAGGACACAAAAACTGGAAAGTGAAAGTGATAATCATAGCAGTCAGAGAGATTCGTTTTCTGCATTTAAAAGATAGATAGTTTCAATAATGCCATAGAGATTCAACCAGGGGAGTAGTAAACAGAGAATCGTTGAGTGATCGATGGATACAAGAAAAACTAAAAATCCAACAGTAGTACATGAAACAGAATTAAAAGAGCTAGATTCCACAGAGGTTCCACGAGTTTTTGTTGTTTCTCTGCTGGTTCACAAGACAGCGCAACACATATGCTTCTAAGGGAAGTAGACAGGCCAGTTGTAGTAATACGAGTCCCTGACTTCTTTGGGTATCTTATTCCACTGAGTAGTAACACAGAGAAGAAGCAAAATTAAACTTGTGAGAGCGATGTTGTCAAAATGTCATGTTTATGAACAAAAGATTAAGTTCTTGGGATAAAGTCTGAACCTTGAATTCGTAAGGCTGATTTTTGGCCCTTGCTTTCTTCCAGTGGTGCTGCTCGAAGAGCATCCATTTGTCATGATAACTGCAAATTAGAGAGTAGTAGAGAAGTTTACAAAAACCAAACTTTTTGGATACTTATGAGAGATGAAGCAGAAGCGGAGAAACATGCACTTAACTATAAAAACAATGGAATCATCATACTCACTCACTCTCGTGTATCAAATCATAAGACCATACGAGTTAAGAAATGAACAAGAGAGGGCTAAATTGGACTAAACTAGAAGCCAATTCGGAACCCAGACACTTGCATACGCAGACAATCAGACACAACAACCAGAATTGGATTGGTTCAAGAGAGAAAGAGTATAGCTTTTACTTGAACTGGTTGGAGAGCTGCCACATGTAAGGATTGAACCAGGTGAGAACGGAGAAGGCAGCGGAACCAATCCAAATGTTCACGAACCGATCAGCATCTGCGTGCGGCACGCCTGGATCTCCCCTGTATGCATTTCCAAAGTACTTCTCCATGTCTTCTTCTTCTTCTCGCTCTCTGCGACTGTTTATTATCTCTCACACCGGCGATTTCTGGATAAAAGGGCCTTCTTTCTACTACTAACCCTTCTGTTTGGTAACAGAGATTGTAATATCCTAATCTCAGGATCGGGATATAAAAATGCTGCTTGTTTAGTAATAACTCATTGCTTCCAAGTTCCCAAGAGAGCAAGCGAAACGACACGAAACCCATCGTTTTCGGTTACGTGGCCCATTTATGGAGGAAACCAGAGAGGGCGAGGCCAATACTACGTCGTTTTGGGAAACGCGAGAACCGTTTCTTAGTACTGTATATCAACTAAACCTTGGATTAATCAAAAGCCCCACATTCTGTAATCCGTTTCTATCCTCTGAGAAGGAGAAAGTTGCTTCGACGTCGGTAACAATCTCATCTATCATCGATCGATTCTACAAATCAAATCATTCGTGTTGTTGTTTCTGATGCTGCAACCAAGTGTCAATTTTTGGCTCATTTTCGCTTGTATGAGCTTATCGATGACTTTGTTTGCTGATCGCAGAGAATATAAGATGGCGGAAACAAGTGCAAAGCGTCTCAAGCGAGCAGGGACATGGGTCGATGTGGAAAACGTACACGATCTCTTCGTCGACATCTTATCGCGTCTGCCCGTACAATCCATCTGGTCATTACGCACCGTCAGCAAGAAATGGTATGGTTCGATTCGCAACAAGACTTTTGCTAAAAACCTGCTAGCCAAATCTAAGGAGGAGCCTCGCTTCATCGCATGTCTAAAGATGGCGAAAAGGATGAGACTGGAGACGATGATACCAGGACGTGTGGAAAAATCTCACCTGAATACAATTGATCCTGCTGGGAGAAGCGATGAAGATTACATGTACATGATATCATCTTTCAACGGACTTATCTGCTGCGTTAATTACATCAACGAGGAAAACGTGGAAGGAAACAACTTCTGGGATCTGCAGATACGGATCATTAACCCTTGCACAGGGGAAACTCTGCTTCTTCCCCAAGGAACACCTTCGTTCAAGTTTGAGCCAAGCTTTGGAGTAGCTTATGGCTCCGACGAATTCAAGGTTTTCCGAATTTTCTGCCAGGAGAAAGTCCCTAAAGAGAAGGTATATGATGGATTTTACTATGAAGGTGGTCGAGTCTTGAGAGCACACACTAGCGCTGTGGTATATGAGTGTGAGGTGTATTCATCTAGAACCTGTGTTTGGGAAAATATTGGCACTGTGCCTTGTGTTCCCATGTATACTCATCTTAGTCCCTTCAGATCTGTGCATGTTTTTGTGGGAGGTAAGGTTTACTGGCTTTCTTCTTTATTTGAGCCAGAAGAAATCCTCTCTGTAGATTTTGATGGGAGATTTGAGGTTATTAAGTTGCCTCACTATCATACTAATCAAAAAGGCGAAGACAGGATAACAGATGATACTTTTCTGATAAATTTGCATGGATGTCTCTCTGTTGTTGTTCGACATCCCAACTACATGGATGTGTGGATTTGGAAGAAACACGGTTGGGAATTTGTATGCTTTGATACTATGCCATTTCGTGAGAATGACTTGGTGTTAGCCATAACTTCATTAGAAAGCGAGATCTTTTGGGTGACTCAGAAATTATGGTGTTCTTATAATGTGGATACTAATAGCTGGAAGAGGATAAAGAGGGTAAATGCTATTTCTGCTGGACTTGCAAACCCATCTCTTCTCCCATTCGCCAAGAGCATTTTTCCTTGTAAGCCATGTTCACATTTATATGAATACAGTGTTTGTTCTTTTGTTTGCTTTTTAATCAGCTTTGATTTGTTGTTTCTTGAACCAGGCAATGGCGATGGGATGGTGCCGTAGAAGAACATTATGATCCTCTTTTTGATGTGATGGAGAGATCATTGCCTTTTGTGTTTCCCTCATAAACTTTGTTAAAGATTCTCTGGTTGGTATATTTCATTTTGCACTCGGTTTATGCAGTTTTTTGGTGCATGTAAGGCTTTGCAACAAATGGATGTATGACTAATGGTTGCTTTTAAGATTTTAGTCTCTTGATTTCTAGATTATGTTCATTTCGGATCTGTTTCAGACACTTGCTGAGTCAAGAAGCTTATTAAAACAGAGCAAACAAAGAGAAAATATACATGCTCTGTAATTAAAACAGAGTATTTCTTAATATCCTGGGCCTGTCCTACTAAGCGACGGGTCAATTTCGAATTACAGCTTCTTTGGGCCACATCTTCCGAATATCCAACAGTTAATTTGATTCCTCCAAGAGAGCAGGCAAAACGACACGAAACCCATCGTTTTCGTCTACGTGGCCCAGCAGTTTTGGGAAGAACGAGAGAGAGAGAGAGAGAGAGAGAGAGAGAGAGAGAGAGCAAGGCATCCCTAATAAAAAGATCTCATTTTTCTTTTCGGTATTTCATCGTCTTCCCCGAATTTAGGGTTTTCTGGAATCAGGTTAATTAAATTATGCGAGGCGGTGGCAGGAGAAGATCAAACGGTGGTGGCTCCGGGAAAAGCAAGTCTAGATCTCCGGGACAGAGCGCGAGAAAAAACTCTACTTCGGCGGCGGGGTCTTCGTCCGGTGGTCGCCGCCGACGTCCTAGTAATCTGTTTGTAGAAGGAGGCATTCTCTCCGATTTCCGGCGAGATCCTACTTTCTCGACGCCATCCCGAGGAGGAAGCTCTTCTGGAAAGGGATCGAAACCCAGAAGCTCAGCTTCTACTTTAACGAGTGGTCCAAGGAAATGCAGTGGTCAAATCTATCGTTATCAGTATCCTTCCATGGATTTTGAGGAGGGGTTGGATCGAATATCAGGCGTCGGTGGTGATCAAATGGTCGGATCAAGCCAAATATTGTTGGGGAAATCAGAGTCGACCCAAATTGTAGCATATCTGGACGAAACGCCTTCTTCATCGAACGGGATTAAGGTAAATTATGAATACGAATACGAACCGAGTTTTGTTTTGGGTGATGACTCTCACAAAGGATTGGGATTTTGTGATGATTCTGATGCTGGACCAAGTGGTAGCCTTTCCGTTTCGAAGGCATTGGGAGATCAGGGAAGATCAACTTTTGGTTCATTTTCTCATGAAGAGGTTGATCCTGAAGATGAAAACGGTGAAGATGCTGCTGTAAGTGAACAAGATGAAGCGATGCCTGATGTTGTGAAACCATCGAAGAGGAATTCAGGCTTCATTTCCATAGGAGGGATGAAATTGTACACTGAAGATATATCCGGTGAAGAGAGTGGTGAAGGAGAAGGCATGGATGGTGAAGACGAGTCTGGAGATGAAGGCAGCACTGGTGAAGAGTCTGAATCATCTGAGAGCGAAAGCTCGGAATACATGTTTGGAAGTGGTTCCGAGATTGATGACGCCGTTGCAAAGGATTACTTTGAAGGCATTGGTGGCAGTGAGATTATGTTGGATGGTCATTGGTTGGCAGAAGAGTCGCTGGATAAACTGGATTTGTCAAGTGATGACAGTTCCTCAAGTGATTCTTCTGATGAGAGGACAGGAAAGTCACTGACTGGTTTTGCTCTACAGAAAGCATCAATGGAATATGGTAAGAAGAAATCGACGAGAAGTCGTTCCAGGGGGCATGATAAGACTGCTCATCCTTTGACAATGGATGACCTTATGTTTGTGAAGGATCCAAGAAGTCTTTCGGGGAAGAAGAATAAGAAGAAACAGGTGGCTAAGTTTCTTCCCCAGTCTTGGCCTTCAGGGTCCCAAAAGAGCAAGAACTCCCGTAGTTTCCCTGGTGAGAAGAAGAAGCACCGCAAAGAATACATTGCTGTGAAGCGCCGTGAGAGAATGTTGCAGCGTGGTGTTGATCTTGCTGATATAAACTCTAAGCTAGAGCGGATGGTTCTGGAAAACATGGACATGCACTGTTTCCAGCGTATGCATAACCGGGACTGTTCTCAGGTAAGAAGATTAGCTGATGTATACCGCTTATCAAGTAGCTGCACTGGCTCTGGAAAGAAAAGCTTTGTGACGGTGACCCGAACGTATCAGACATGTTTACCATCGGCGAGTGATAGAGTTCGCATTGAGAAGCTAATAGGAGCAGGAGTTGAGGAGACTGATTTTGCTGTCAGCGGAGGGGCAAAAGTGAAATCTGGCAGTTTCGAGAGGAAGAAAGTAAGAGACTCGGGCAAAAAGCGAATTTCTAGAGAAGAACGGGAGAGAAACAGAAGCAGCGGGAAGAAGAGTTCATATGCTGAGCAGCCTGTATCATTCGTGTCAAGTGGTGTAATCGATTCTGAGATGGCTGTTGCAAAGACCTCTTTTGATGTCAACGACGCAAAACAGGTGGTGGGTGAAACTACTCCGGGAGCCTCTAATGGAGCAGATATTGGAGCATTCGAGGTACACACAAGAGGCTTCGGATCCAAAATGATGGCAAAGATGGGATTCATAGAAGGAGGCGGTCTAGGAAAGGAAGGTAAGGGGATTGCACTGCCGATAGAAGCTGTTCAACGCCCGAAATCACTAGGGTTAGGTCTGGATTTCTCCATTGACACTGAGGACCCGGGTTCATCAAGCAATAACGCTAAAAGGAACAGATCTTCCTCCTCGGGGAAACATGTGAAACGCATCTCCCATGACAGTGGTGGCTCTGGTTCAGCAAGAATTAGAGACAAAAGATTGGGAGCCTTTGAGCAGCACACGACAGGTTTTGGTTCGAGGATGATGGCGAGAATGGGATTCGTCGAAGGCTCGGGTTTGGGAAGAGAATCACAAGGCATAGTCAATCCGTTGGTCGCTGTCAGACGTCCTAGGGCACGTGGAATAGGCGCTGAAGGCTAAGATTTAACGGTCAAGAGATTCAAGAACACGACAAGTACTTTTAATGTTTATCTTCGATCTTTCAGTATGTGGCTATTACTTTCAAATATGGTTTGAGACTTGGTAGCAGCTTTGATGTTATCTTAGCATCAATGTTGATGATTTATCCTTAAGTTCAGATAAGACTTGTTAGATATCTTCATTTCTCCTTCTCTGTCAAATTAGTATCCCCATAAACTACAACAACGCAGAGGGTGACATAACTCCGTAGAAGACAACTTCACCATTAACCTTAAGCCTAGCTTAACGTGTGGCTAGCTTGCCTTTTGCATCAAAGTCCAACTCTGTACTGATTATAGTCACAACACAGCTTCCTGTGAATTCTTTCTTTGACCATGTCTCCATCAGATTTCTGGAAATTTCCCTCCAACAAACACTTCTGTAATTTTTGAATTTCCGCTAAAAGCGTCCTTACGTTTTCCCTTGGTCATGAATGAACAAGAGGAGTGAAACGAGAGCATCAAGAATAACAAGAGGAGTCAAGCGAGCGCATCAAGAACATTGTATAAAACACGAAACATAAATCCGATACTTGAAAAGCATAAGGTATCCAAAAGTAGAGAGATAATTCGATTGAGTACTTAAAACAGAAAAGGAACATAAATTTGATCACTAATTGTAGAGATCATCATCGTCGGCAGCAGCAGCTCCAGACGTGGCAAAAGGATCAGCGACTCCAGTGGTTGCACCTGAACCAGCAGAAGTCTCGAACCTGAACTCAGAACCGAACCCTCGAGACTGCTGAAGCGTCTGAGCAAAGGCTTGGTATTTCCTGATGTCTGCATCACTCACACTCCTGCGCGCATACTTCATCGACTCCTCAAAGTGTGCAGCTTTGATCTCTGATACTTCATCAACTCCATCTTCCTCCATTGCCTCTGGGTTCTCGCTCCTCCTCTTCTCCTTCTCAATGTCCTGAAACAAAAACCAAGAGAGATAAGTTCAGAGATTCGAGATGACTGAGATTAGAGATTGGAGATGAGAGATTTAGAGATGTCTGACCTTCTCGATGTTCTCTCTGATGGCGTACTTGCAAGCCCTCTGGCAAATCTCAGTGATATCAGCTCCACTGAAACCCTGCGTGTATTTAGCAAGTGCGCTGATGTCTACATCTTTAGCAATCGGAGACTTCCTCAAGGCGGCCTTGAAGATGTTGAGACGGGAATCCTCATCTGGTAGCGGGATGTAAATGAGCTGGTCAAGCCTTCCAGGACGGAGAAGAGCCGAATCGATAATGTCAGGTCTGTTCGTTGCTCCGATGATGAAGACGGTTTTCTTAGCGTTCATTCCATCCATCTCAGTCAGAAGCTGGTTCAAGACCCTATCAGCAGCACCGCCTCCATCGCCTCCGCTTCCGCCTCCTCTCTGAGTCGCTATGGAGTCGAGCTCATCAAAGAAGAGAACACATGGAGCGGATTGACGTGCCTTGTCGAAGATCTCACGGACGTTTGCTTCACTTTCTCCAAACCACATGGTCAGAAGCTCGGGACCCTTGACACTGATGAAGTTAGCTTGGCACTCGTTGGCAATAGCTTTGGCCAAAAGGGTTTTCCCGCATCCAGGAGGACCGTAGAAAAGGACTCCCTTTGATGGTGACATCCCGAATTTCTCGAACTTCTCTGGGTGCTCCACTGGGTATTGAACAGTCTGCATTTGAACAATCACACACAGCTTAGCTTACCATTAAATGGTACAAATGATTTAACCGAGAAATGAATGGGCAATTTACCTCCTGGAGCTCTCTCTTGACATTCTCAAGACCTCCAATATCATTCCAAGAGACATTGGGAACCTCCACAACCTGCAAAGCAAAGAAGAAATTTTGGATTGAGACTTGAGCGAAACACAAGCTTTGATCTCATTCTAAGCTGAGCACTGTCAATACTCACGGTTTCACGAAGCGCAGATGGGTTGCTGTTCCCGAGAGCAGTGTGGAAGTGTTCATTAGTCACTGCCATGGAATTGAGGATTTCAGCATCAATGGAGTCGTCTTCCAGATCAATCACATCCATCTTCTCCCTGATACATTGCAGGGCAGCTTCTGTGCACAGAGCAGCAAGATCAGCACCGACGTAACCGTGTGTGTCCTTTGAGATCCTTTCGAGATCCACCTGTAAAAAAATAACCACAAGAAGAATTTAGCTTTCAATAACCATTGCACTCAACAAACACAGGCAAAGCTAGAATTAGACATTACATCTTCAGCAAGCTTCATGTTCTTTGTGTGGATCCTGAGCACTTCAAGACGTCCAATCTCGTCAGGAACCCCAATATCGATCTCCCTATCAAATCTTCCAAACCTTCTCAAAGCTGGGTCGATACTGTTGGGGCGATTGGTTGCTCCCATGACGATAACATGAGCACGCGACTTCAGTCCATCCATGAGCGTAAGGAGCTGAGACACAATCCTCCTCTCAACCTCTCCGTTTGTCTTCTCTCTTTTCGGAGCAATAGAGTCAATCTCATCAATGAAAATGATCGACGGAGCGTTTTTCTCAGCCTCCTCAAATGCTTTCCTGAGGTTGCTCTCACTCTCACCAGCCAGTTTGGACATGATCTCGGGCCCATTGATACAGAAAAAAAAGGCACCGGTTTCATTAGCCACAGCACGAGCAATCAAGGTCTTTCCAGACCCAGGTGGTCCGTAAAGCAGAATTCCCTTTGGCGGCTTAACACCAATGGACTTGAATAGTTGCGGATGCCTCAAGGGAAGTTCAACGAGTTCCCTAATCTGAGCCATCTGTTTCCTGACACCACCAACATCATCATAGCCCACTTCATCTAGCCTTTCCTCATCCTCTCTCTTCACTGGCTCACCCTCGCAGAAAATCTCAGTGTCTGGTGCAACCACACAGTACTCAGCAGGATCAGTCTCTATAACTTTGAACTCCACACTCCTCATTCCTCCCCTGACTAGGAACAGATCACCCTTCCTCACCGGGCGGTATGCCTCCAGGAAGTAAGCTATCAGAAAAAATCATTTTTTTATTGTTCAGAAAAATCAACCAATATCTCAAAGCAAACAAGAACCTTGAGAGAAAAAGCAAAAACTTACGTTTCAGGTAAGCGTCAAAGAGGTTTCCAGTCACCCCTTCAACGGTGTCATCAACTGGCAAGATGTGCACACGCTTTCCGTACTTGACATCTGGGCACTGGTGAACAGAGATGACATCTCCCAGTCTAACCCTCAAGTTAGATCTGACTACTTTGTTCATTCTGATCTTTGGCTCCTCACATGATTCATCAGCAAGAGCAATGCAGACAGTGTCCTTCCTTTTCTTACCCTGAGAACCACAAAGAAAAAAAGTTAGTCACCGGTACAATACTATCATCCGATACTCGAAAAAGAAAGCCCTCAATTATTCATAACACCTAAGATAATAAATCACAGGTTTCAAGAGTCTACAAAACCCTAATTTATGTAGAATTAAATAAGAATCCTTCAGTCGAGCATGGGAAACAAACCCTAATCAACACCCCTTCCAAAGACGCAGAAACCAACCATTCAATATCCCAATCAAAAGAGAAAACCAAACCTTGATGAGAATGGTATCACCACGGAAGAGCTGGAGCTTCTCCATGGTGGCAGGGTGGAGGGAAACGACGGAGTTATCATCGTTGATGGCCTCATCGACGACAAGTCGGTTCGGAGACTTCTTCCTCTCCAGAATTGCAGTACTGAAATCTTTCTTCGATTTCCTGTAACAAAACAAAGTACATCGGAAAAAAAGGATTAAGCTTCAACTTTAGAAACGAGATCGACCAAAACCCTAATCCCGAAATCGAAAACCCAGACTTTCAAAGATCCAAAATTTCCCGATCGAAAACCTAAAATCGGAGATCTGAGTACTTACGAGTCTGAAGATTCAGCTGGGTTTGACATGGTGGATTTAGAGATTAAAGAGAGAGTTCCCTCAGAAATCGAAGAAAGTTGAGAGCTTTTTGTATTCCCTTGAGTTTCTCTGAGATATCGATTGCGATAATGGGATCTGAAAGAGCAGAGATTTTCGCAAATTATATCTCTACGTTTCTTGTTGGAAAAGAGAACTAGACTTTATTTTCCTTTTTATTTTTTTTCCTTTATTCTAATACTTTTAGGAATTTCAAAACGACCCATAATGTTTACTTTCTTTCTCAAACTTATACCCTAATTGTGTTACGTGAGTAGAACAACCCCAATTCTCTAGAAAATGGATAATTTCCCATTGGCTTACTGTATTCCAAAATAGAAAAGAAACAATGCCATAAAAGTCAAACTCTTTGTAATTGTTCATATCAAAACGTAGTCTTCTTATTCTTTCTCTTTTTGTTTTGTAACAACTTTCATTTCACATTTGTGTTAGGACGATTATAAAACACATTGTAGTTTTTTTTTCTTCATAAGAGTACGGTAACAACACAAACAAATGACAATAGCATTTTCCTACCCATCGGCTAATATCCTTTTTTCTAAGTACTTAAAAACAATCTCCTGTTTTTTTCACCCCATCAAAAAAACCATAATTGTTTCTTTTTATTTATTTATTTTTGTGCTGAAGACTGATCGTCAGCTTTGAATCAAAACTCTACACATCTTCGTAGTTCAGCTATGGTTACAATCACGCAAACCCCAGTCATTTAGCATCTTTCTCTAGTGCTGTTCATCCAAAGTTGAGATGTTTGGACGACTCCTTGAGCATTCTGATCACAACTTTGTATTCGAAGAAAGTTGAGAGCTTTTTGTATTCGCTTGTGTTCTCTTATAGATCGATTGCGATAGTGGGATCTGAAAGAGCAGAGATTTTCGCAAATTATATCTCTACGTTTCTTGTTGGAAAAGAGAACTAAACTTTATTTTCTTTAAGGAATACCAAAACAACCCCTACTGATTTCACTTTTTCTAAATCTTCACCCTAGTTTTTCTAATTCCTTTCCTAAGAATTAAGTTCGCGTTTTAGCTAGCCTACGAGAGAATACACTTGTATTTTTTCCATCAATAGTTTTAACTTTTAACACAATAATTTACGAGGAACACAATAGTTTCTGGAGAACCTCGACAATTATGATCAAAAGACATTTGTCGAACTTGTATTGCTTGGTATTAGGACAATGATCTCTGTCTTGTGTATTGATCATCTGACCACCGTACTTAGAAAGATAATATCATCTACCAATATTGTAAAAAATTAGAGAAAGCCTGTTTTTGCATCGATTAACTACCAAACTAGCATTCTTAAGCGAGTGATGTAAGCGTAATATAAGTTTACATCAAGTTGGAGTTCTTTTATAATAGTATCAAATTGTAGATGCGTGATATATATTAGCCGCAGATCAACATGATGATTCGTCTTTTGTTTTATTTTATATTAACAAATAATTTTCTAGCATTGGAGAAAGAGTGAAAAACAATTAGTTAAGAGGATTTGGTAAAACAATTTTCTCAATAGACGTGAAAGTGACTATTGCACAATACACGTGGTTAACTTACCACGGAAAGCTTAACATAAAAACATGTTTGGAACTTTCGAAAATTTTACATCCGCAATCTAAAAAAAATCCCGGGGTAAAACAATACTTTTTCAGCTATATATTCTAAGAAAAACGACATTCCCATATAATATAATGTATATTAAATTTATAGAAACTGTTGGGTGGTCTTCTTAAAAGTGCCGACCAAACTTGTTTCATATATTTATTTGACATGTAAAATTATTATAATAAAAAATAATAACACCATTTGTCTTCATGTGTTTACTATATATATTTCTGTAAACCAACCTTTAGAACCATTAGTTAACAAAATTAATCTGATAAAGATTTGTTGGCTCCGAGATTGATGTGCACATTTGTATGCATCAGTGCATCACGCAATACTTGTGAACCAGCGAGTCGCTGGCGAGACTATTGCGCTGGAGCTTTTCCAGATGCTTCTTGGTGAGCCCACCGCGGACACCGTGGAGGTTGCTGTCGCCTTTGTTACAGAGTGTGGAGCCACGCTTCATGAGGTCTCTCCGAGAGCCTTCAACGTGATTTTCGACATCTTTCGCGGGATTCTTCACGAAGGGAGTTTGGAGTACAGGTCTCAGTGTTTGATCGAGTCTCTGGTCACTCTTAGGAGATCTAATTTTAGTGGTCATCCAGCGATTCGTCCTCAGTTGGATCTTCTGGATTCAGACGAGCAAGAGACGCATGAGATCTTTTTACACGACGATATCGACCCAGAAACTTCCCTCGACGTCTTCAAACGTGACCCTGAGTTCCACCAGAACGAGATGAAGTACGAGAAGCTGAAAAGGGAGATACTTGGGGAGGAATATGCAGAACAACAAAAGGAAGAAGAAGAAGAAGAAGATGATGATGATGACGACGATGATGTAGAAGAGACAGATATACAGGACTATACAGAAACTGATCTTGTCAATCTCAGGAGGACAATTTATCTAACAATAATGTCAAGTCTTAACTTTGAGGAAGCAGGGCATAAACTGCTCCAAATCAGGCTAGAACCAGGTCAGGAGATGGAGCTCTGCGTTATGATCCTGGGATGTTGCACTGAGGAGAGAACTTATCGCTCCTTCTATGGTCACTTAGCGCACAGACTCTGCCTCAGAAGCAAAAGTTACAGAGAATGTTTCAAGAATCTGTTTGTGCAGCAATACGGGACAGTTCACCGTCTGGATACCAACAAGCTAAGGAGTGTAGCCATGTTCTTTGCTCATCTACTAGCCACAGATGCTCTTCCTTGGCATGCTCTTGCCTACGTTAGGTTAACAGAAGAAGACACGACTTCGTCCTCCCGTATCTTTGTCAAGATACTTTTCCAAGAACTCACTGAGCAATTGGGAATACGGGCTTTAAATGAAAAGCTTCAGGATCCAGCCATGGAGGAGACCTTCGAGTCGATCTTCCCGAAGGACCATCCTAAGAACACAAGGTTCTCCATTAACTTCTTCACCTCCATTGGCTTAGGGGGCATCACACAGAAACTCAGGCAGCTCCTCACCAAACGCCAGAATCCAGAAGTAGTAGATGAGACGGAGAAGAAGCTTAAAAGAAGAAGAGGTTGATTAGTAGCATTTGTGTAAGCTAAAGCTCTCTACTGAGTTGTATAATCTTTATTTGCCTTGATGATGATCTAAAAGGATAATCATAGCTATTGCCTTCTTCTGTTTTTTGATGAACTTAGCAAAAATTCGAAGATATTTCTAAGTTTTGTAAGCTCTTTAATAAGATGATCGATCTATTAATACCATCAACCATACTAATATTTAGATGATATTACAAATGACAAATTGTACTTAAATACTTGAGCATGAAGTTGAAAAACACATTAGAGATTGCTAGGCTCCTGTTCTAAAATTAATAATCACACAAGTGACTGAAACAAGACACTAAAGACGCAAAAGGTTCAACAGGCGACCCACCAAATTGGGATTCTCAAGTGCGCGATTTTATCTCTAAGCTGTTTATTTATTGACTGTGCGTAAACTAACAATCAGATTGAAACTGGGGAGTATTTCGATTGCAAACTAAATCCGTTTTAACAACAACTAAGGATGTTTTGTACCTGCAGCCTCATCTGCGTGACTTCCTGGTGTTACTCTTACATCAACCTGAACAAAGTATGCAGGAAATTAAATTCAGAGGCTTAGTTATACCCAAATTAGCCTAATGATTGTGATCACTCTTTAAGAAACAAATCCTTGTACGTACCTTGAATCGAGGAGGAAGGCTTTGTAGAAGTATTGCGTAGCTGCAAAGACCAATAATTTTTGGCATGTGACAATGAGGAACGGTTGGAGTGAATGTTATTCTGTAAAAGATATGGCAAATATTTTGCAGATTACAAAAACGGTCTTTGGTTGCAATCGGAATAAAAACTTTCACTCTGATTCTGAATTTCGGTCTTAAGAATCTCACCATGTTTTCTTACCTAACGTAACTCTCGTCATTATCAACTTCAACAGATTCTTCTGTAACCACATGGAGCTCCTCCAGAGAAAGCTCAGTATGCTCTGGATCTTTGATATCTCTAATATGATTTGTAGATTGTTAAGGTAAAAAAAGGCTGATCCAACAGTAAGGCATAATTATGAGAAACCCAGTGTGTTAGGTTAGGTAAATAAGAAAAAAAAGGATATCAAAGATCACGCCGTGTTTGTGAAGTTTTTAAATACACTGTGAAGACATAATTATGAGCTGCTCTGATCAGTGCGATCACGCCGTGTTTTCTTCGGGTAAACAATTGGTTTCTCATTAATCAACACAGAATTCATATTTTCTCTCCTGGACACAGCAAACCCTAAATATCAGTAAATACAATCACAGACTATAACTAAACAAAAGAATGTTGTCAGTTGTGAATCGGGAACCCTAAATTCCCAAAGGAGATGCAAAACAAAAATGCAAATAAGAAGCTTCCTAAAGCTTGAGTTAATGTCTGCAATCTCAACAATGTCAAACCCAATAAGGCATCCCTGTTTCAAGCTTAGCCAAAAACCATAACAAAATCGAAGACTATATATAAGGAAGATGTATTAGTCAGCACCTATTCAGAGAGTGAACCACTAGCTTCTGTGCTCTGCATTGGGTTTGGCATTGTTAAGTCGACTGTTAAGTCCAGCAAATACTTAGAAGAAGTGCAACAGCATCGAAGAAGCGATTTGAAATAGAAAGTACGTATATACAAAGCCCCATGAAAGATATTGTTAAAATGAATCATCTGTGTGGTCTTACCTTCTGTGCGAGCATTGGTCTTAGAGGTCTTCGAGGATTCATATTTTTCAAAACTTAACTTGGCGGCGTTAGTTGACCAGTCATCCGAGTAATACTCGACAGCTACACGGTTCCCTTCAGAGTCTAGAAGAAGAATGTTCTTAACCAAAGGACATGAATCCTATTCAATGTAAAATGGACAGTCAGTATTCATGTTCCAGGGGAGAAGTGAAGCAGGGAATTCAACAACAGATAGTTTACGGCCAAACTCCTAAAGCTAGATCAGATAGATACCCAGCATCTAGATTCTAGGGTTCAACAAAAAGCGTCATCTGTGATCTGTGCATATGATAAGAACATTTTGCGACATGATACACATAAGCAGATCCATTGGGCACCACATTATTATAAATTACATCACTGATAATTGATAGCGGCAACAAGGGAACAAAGACACATCAAAGATAAACATCCTTACAGAATACAATATTCAATGAGACATAGTGCATATGCACTTACATGACTCCCGTGAATGCCTGACATTGTTGTTAGACTTGAGTTATACCTGTAATAGTGAAAACACAGAAAACCAAATATTTTTGAGCAATTAAACCAAAGAAGTCTTCGATGGTGACAAGATACTTGAAATTAAATCACACACATTCATTTAAACAGCCATCTTAATGGTAAAAGCTCACACACGCGAAGAAAAATGACATATATATAACCAAGCACACTAGTATCTAAACTAAGCTATTTCACAACATTTGCGTATCAAATTCAGACATCAAAACCTTGACGTTTCCTAGTTAGGATACACAACAAACAACAATGCGACATTCTGTGTATAGTCTATATAATATACAAGATCTGCAGGACAAAATAACAACAGAACGCCGCCCATTTCAACCAGAGATCACATACAAAAAATCGAGAGGAGACGAATAGATCGACATATCATACATCAATAAGAAACGTTCCACACAAAAGACGAAAAAGTCGAATTTCGTGGGAAAAATCACACAACCTAGCACAGATATCTACAGTGTACATTCCCAACCTCGAAAACCAAAGAAATCACTCCAACTAAGCTGATCCCAATAACAAAACATTAAAATACGATTGAAGATCTGAAAAAAGCAATGTAGCGATGATCATAACCCAAGGATCAGAGTGACAAACACACAAACGATCACCGGAATAAGGAGAAGAAGCAATGGAAGATTCAGGAAGGGATATCTCGGAATCAGATTCAATATAAAACCGCAGGATCAGAAGATGAGACGTCAGAGCTAAACAGATGAAATCGGAATATACCTTGAGAGAGCAAATTCCTTTCGAAACTGGACCGCTCGCTTCGTCGTTCTCGCTTTAGTATTGTTGAAGACTTCAGAGTTAGATCTCAATTGGGATTTTGATCTGGCCGGCCGGTTATAAATATTATGATAACCGGATTGGTATGATCCGATCCGATCCAGTTTTTAGAATTTTGGATCCGCGCTACATTTTGACTAGAATTATTATTAGGTTAGGATAATATTTAATAACTTGGCCTTTAGAATAGACTGGATGCCGTTTGTTAGTTCTGGACACTTGCTTTGTGCCGTTTTAAAGTTAGTGGACTTTTCTCAGACTATCCGGGTCACGGTTTAAGATAGAGAGAGAGAGTGAATCGAATTTCTCGTGTTGAGGAAGATTCGATTACTCTTACGATTTTGATACCGTACACGTGGTCGGTTCGGATGTTATGCGGATGAACGGCTAGGATTAAACGGCTAGGTTATATAGCTCGAAGAGAGAGAGAAAGAGAGGATTATTTCGTCTTCTTGATTTTTCTCTTCAGAGAGAAGAGTGAATCGAATTTCTCGCGTTGAGGAAGATTCGATTACTCTTACGATCTTCAGAGAGAGAGTGAATCGATTCGTGATCCAGATCGAGATACGCGATGGGAGTGACGGAGGAAACTCCCGATCAGATCCAGCAATCGGATAAGGGCGTTGACGAATTACAGCGAGAGGTGTCGATTCTGTGTACGGGATGTAAAGAAAGTGAAGCTGATGATCTTGGCGAAATTACTAGAGGTAGTTTATTGGTTCAAGATTTTGAAATCAACTATATCTTCCATCTCCGTTGCTTGATTGCTTCTTAGTCGAACTCGTGACTTTAAATCAGTGCTTGCTGCGAGTCAAATAGGTTGTTAAGTCAGAATGTCACAAGGAATATAAATAGCGTTTTGATTCTTTAGTCAAATAGGTTCAAAGAGTTAGAAGAGGATTTATGGAGTCTTTCTGATTTCTTATGGCTTTTGAAAATGCAGATGAAGAGACTGAAGCCAATACTGATAAATCAAAGTCAGTCATTGTTCCACTAGGTATGAGTTCTGTGGTTTACAGCTTATGGCTTTTGAAAATGCAGATGAAGAGACTGAAGCCAATACTGATAAATCAAAGTCAGCCATTGTTCCACTAGGTATGAGTTCTGTGGTTTACAGCTTATGGCTTTGAGATGAGCTATGATATTTTAAACCTACTATATCTTCTTGAAGCAGCGAGTCAAATAAGTTATTAAGTCAGAATGTCAAAAGGAATATAAGTAGCGTTTTGATTCTTTAGTCAAATAGGTTGTTAAGTCAGAATGTCACAGTGGTTTGATTCTTTAGTCAAATAGGTTCAAAGAGTTAGAAGAGGATTTATAATGTCTTTACTATATCTACTTGAAGCAGCGAGTCAAATAAGTTATTAAGTCTTCTTTAGTCAAATAGGTTCAAAGAGTTTTTAAGAGTCTTTGTCTGTTGATTTCTTCTGACTTTCGAAAATGCAGATGAAGACACTGAAGCTAATACTGATAAATCAAAGTCATCCATTGTTCCACAAGGTATGCTTCTTCCACCTAGTTTATCTTCGTTACTGAATACAATAGGTTCTTAATTCAATGAGTATAGTTCTGTGGTTTACAGCTATTTCAGAAATTATCCAGGAATATAAGTAGCTGATAAGAAAATATCCATGAATATAAGTAGCTGATGACAGAAAATATCCATGAATAGAAGTAGTCTGATTGTTGATACATGGGTTTGATTTGAATTTGGCTTATGTTTGTCCCAGGTAAGACTCTGTCAGATCTACCAGACGACCTCCTTATAGAGATTCTCGTGCGACGAGCGGACTATCGGCGTTTCGTTTGCCTGAAATGGCATAGCCTGAGGAATAAAGACGAGGATAACTTGCTTATTAGAGAGTCAAGCGAGAGACTCTTCCCATTGTCAGCTCTTGTCTCTATGTATACATAGAAAACTCAGTTTATTCGGTTCCTTAACGAATTTTCTATAATAATTCGCAAATCTAAATCGGGAATTTCTTGGATCTTCGAAAAGAAAATTTTCTAAGTTTTAGAACAAAAATAAATAAAAACAGGGTTCCAATAAAGGGAAATATGCTCAATATCATTTGATTGAATAGTTGACCTAGCTCTTTAGCCAATTGAACGGATCTTCTGATCAATTCATATGTTCGATCGATTATGTATTAATCAATATTCAAATCGAAAAAATTATCAAAATGAAAGAATTTACGAGAAATGTATCGTCAAATATTCAATATAATTCTACAAGATCTAGTTGAAAATAAACTTTAGAATAAATAAAGAATAAAAAAGAAAAATGAAAAAAAAAATATATTTTTGGCGTTCAATCTCTGGTGTCACTAACTATCGACCACAGCCTGGCGAATTTACCAGAGCCCAATGCGGTAAGTCTCGTTGTTTTTAACATATAAAATTAATTTCGTTTTTGGTTTTGACCAATAAAGAAATTTTGATTTTCTTATTCTCCAAATATTTAGACTACTGCTCTGGCCGATGAAGTGCTCGTGGAGCTTCTCACGGATGCTGACCTAGTCAGCGTAGCAGATGATTTCCCAGAGCTTAAGCGTTTGGAACTTTTGGAATGTAACGTAATCACTGCAGCGGGACTCACCTACTTGGCACGGACTTGCTCACAGTTGTCTTACCTACGCATCCGGGTAAAAAAACAAATAGTATTAAATTATTTTCATGACTTAAAAATTATAAAAAAACTCGTTTTGTACTAACTTATTCTTCTTTTACTTTAACGGTTGCCGTCATTTTGACGATGACACAGCAATCGCTGTGGTGAGAGCCTCCTCCGGGAGTCTCCGGCACCTCGACATAGCCTTTTGTGAGGTGACTGCCGCAGCACTCGAGACTGTTCGCACTCTTCGCACAGGGATGACGGTGACTTCGCAGGGTTGTCCGTTGTCTGCCGCTCTAGTTGCTTAACCACGCCCGATCTAGTTCTGGGCTCGTCGGGTTTACTGTGTTTGTCGATAAAGAAAACAAAATGATTTGTTTTTTTCTGTCCGTTTTCTTAACGGCATTTTTGTTTGTTTGAACGGTACTTTTTTTTCTGTCAGCTAACCATAACTCGTTGCAAGTAATAGAACTCGGTTAGTTGTTGGAAAAGAATACTAATAGAAATCTGTTCATGATGAAAGGAACGTTTTAACAATTTTCGTTTGTTTTGGTGAAAATAAAGTGAATTTTCCTATAAAAAATGATAGAATGATATATTTCTTGTCAACAATACGGAATTTGTATTTTCCGTAAAAAAAACACAAAATTCGGGGTAGGCATTTTATCTAGATTGAAAAATTCGATTTGGATCTAGTGTGGATACTTTACATTTGATTGAATACAATTATTCTTGATGATTGGGTGCCAAATTTTACTCTGACGGATTTGATTTCCAAAAAAATATCTGAAATATCTGAATTAGTAATTTTTTCATAGTATATATATTATATTCTTTGTATATTTTTTGACTTGTTGATTTTCTTAAAATTATTTATTTTGGTTTTGAATTTTAAATAATTAATTTATTTTAAGATATTATTTGGATTATTTTTAAATTTTTAAGTTTAAAATTATAGTTATTTTTTAATATTTAGAATATATTTGATTGTTTTCAGTTACTTTTTAGATAAAAATAGTTGAATCCGAACCAAACTAGAAATTAATAAATTGAAAAAATAATATTTAAAATAGTTTCAATTTAAAGAGATATCAAAAGTCATAGTACTAAAATATCTAAACTTTGACTTATCTAATGTGATTTCGTAACCGAAATGTTCAGAATGAAGTTTTAGAGTTTCAAATAAAGAATTGTTTGATATGTGTTTAAACTAAAGAATTTTTGTTATCTTTTGCAAAATTTATAGAATCTTTTATTTTATATTAAATATAAAATTTTGAATCTAATTATATATTAAATTAAAACCATTAAAGACAAAATTTGGTTATATACCAGCATTATAATTTTTTTTGAATATTTATATATTTAACTAAATTTGTTTTCTATTATTTATTTTATAGCCAAACTCTTTTTTAGATAACAACTAATATTTTGGTAGAAAAATATATTCAGTAACAATAATTAAAAGAGGAATTTTTTTTTGCACATAACATTATATTATATATTTTTAACTTTAAATTAAATATTTTTGAATATAACATAATTAATAACTAATATAGTTTACAAACATATAAATTTAATACTATAAACTATTACAAGCATATTTCAATATACTTAAAATATAATATAAATATATTCAATTAAATCTAACTATATATTAATGGAGATATATTAGAGGTTAAAATTTACTTATTTAATTAATTTTTACTGTTATTTTTCATAATTAAACACTATTTTATGCATAAACTAATTATTTTACTACAAAAATATATTCAAAATTAATAATTAAAATATATGTATGTATTATTTTTGCATATCATATATTTTTTATATAATTCAAAATATATAAATTCAATACTATAAAATTTTACAAGTATACTTCAACATACTTAAAATACATATATATATATATATTTAATTAAAACAGAATAATTTGAGTCTGTATTAAAATAGAAATATTAAAAGTTTAATTTGCTATTTATTAATTTAATTAATTCTATTTTGTTTTATCCTATTATTTTTATAATCAAATACTATTTTAAGTAATAAATACTCATTTTGGTTCAAAATATATTTAATATCAATAATTAAAAAAGGAAATAAAAATATATTATTTTTGTATATAAAATTATATTATATATTTTTTAACTATAAATTAAATATTGTGAAAGTAACATAATTAATAAATAATATAATCAATAAATATATAAATTTAATATAAATCAATATTATAAAATTTTAGATACATATTTTAAATTACTTAAAATACATACATCAATTCAGTTAAAAGGAAAGGAATATCAACTTAGTATTCAGTTAAAACCGAAAGATTTAATCCGGAAGGCTCGCTCCTGCTTCTGCCACGTCAGTATGAGAGAGCACGACACGTGTTAACCTTCTCGCCGCCTTCTCAGTTCGCACGAATTATCTTTGAAGTTTTGTAACAGGCAAACAATACTACTATACTAGCATTAACAAAGCTTCGATTTTCTTCACTGAAGCAAACGGGTCGGGATTGTTGTGGTAGCGGTCCAAGTAACTAACTCATTCTTGCCTTTTCGACATTTCAGCTATTCCATAAATATCTTTTGCTTATACCTCTCTTCAAGTTGGTCAAAAGAATCCCTCCGCTAGTCGCGAGTTTCGATGATAAACGAAAATGTTCTTCAAGGGCGATTATGCCGATTATCCAAGGGCGTGATGTTTATTGCTCAGGGTCAATCGGAAAGACCTCTACGATTGCCCTCTCCGTCTGCCAAGTCGTTGACACTTGGTCTAGTATGTTGTCTGTTCCTTTTGCTTTACATGATTGTTCTTATGATTTACAATATCAAGAGAAAAAAATCAAAAACTTTACAACTGATTGGTTGGTTGTTGATTCTTGCAGTTTTGACAGATGAAACAATAGAATTACTTGTTCATTTCTCAGTAATACTTAGATCTTTTTACTCATCATCCGTTTCGATTGCAGAGTTCAGGCCTTGATACTGCCCCCAACAAGAGATCTGGCTTCACAGACAGGGAAGGCTATTGGATCACACGCCAATATTCAGGCACGGGCATGCATCGGTGGGAAGAGCGTTGGAGAAGACATGAGGAGGCTGGAGCACGGTGTCCAAATTGTGTCTGTGACAGGATAAAGAGGACAAGTCTAGGCACCAGAGCTATTTAAACTCCTGATTCTTGATGAATCAGATGAATTGCTGAGCAGAAGATTCAAGGACCAAATCTGTGATGTTTACAATTGCCTTCCACCTGATCTTCAGGAACCAGTGAAAATACTTGTGAACCGTGATGAGTTGACTCTTGAGTGGAAACTTGAAACCCTCTGTGATCTTTATGAGAAGACGAAAGGTGGATTGGCTTAGTGAGAAAATGAGGAGTAACAACTTCACCAACGGGGACATGCCTCAGAAGGAGAGAAGGGAGATCATGAGAATCTGTTTCGGTCTGGTGATAGTCGCGTTTTTATCACAACAGATGTATGGGCACGGGGGGTTGATGTGCAGCAAGTTTCTCTTGTACATCCATCATATCGGACGCTAGGGTGTTGCAATCAACTTTTCTCAAGATTCTCCGGGACATTGAGCAGTACCTAGATTGACGAGATGCCAATGAATGTAGCTGATATTTATTTATAAACAAGAAAGTATTGTTTTGTTTAGAGCCTTTTTAGCACTTGACAAGCGTCTCTCTCACTAACTCTTGTATCAATCTTATCTCCACGACCTTATCGATTATCAAAATATCCAAGAACGATCGCCAAAACCACATACTATCTGAAACATTCAAAGCTCGCAGGCTTGCCTCACATAAAGCTTTCAACTACTTCACGTATTCCACACGTGCCCTCTTCTTCTTATGCTGATCCCACTCTGTTCTAACGACTACTTATTGTATTCTTTTTTATTTATTTTATAAGAAAAGGGCTCACTTATTGTATTCTTTATGGTGATATTTGGTATTCTTCAGGATTTGGGAACAATCTCTCTAAGGATATTGTATGTGCTCCATGATTGCATCTTTGGTTGTCCGGTTAATGGGATCAAAGAAGGCTCTTTGCCGCTGCGAATCTGAAGTCCTCATGGTACTCTCATCTGTTCTTTTGTCTTCAATGACTTAACCGTTGCTTCATGAAAATTCATTTGGTCATTATGGTTTTAGGATTACTATGGTACCAGCCTCTTTATACCTCGGGTTTGCAGCTTCAACTATATGGGTTAGCCAGGTGCAACTATGTCTATGTTTGGGTTGTGCAACTACAAGTTATCATCTATTTTCTGCCATCCTGATCTTTCTCCCAATAAAGCATTGGTACTCTCCTGATAGTAACCTTCTTTAGTGCTATTTATCAAAAGTTGAGATGTTTGGATGACTCCTTGGACATTCTGATCACTTAGCAGGAAACTTGTCCGGAAAGGATCACAATATCTGTAGCCAAATGTGTGTGGCTAAATGAGTGCTTTCTGTATAGTTTATTGGTAAAAAAACACACTCTCTGTTACTTAAACCACGCACCTGAAATTTAACTATTCAAGGGATACACTGGAGCTCAAGTCCTGTTTCATTTCAGAGAGATGTTGCAACAAAACCATCAAGTGGCATATCTTTGCTTCCATATACGAATCTAGATCTAGTTTTGGTTTTTACATTGTGTTACGTTTCCGTTTTGTCGTCAAAGCAACATCTATATGTTGTTTGAGTGGATACATATAGTTGGCATTTCTGTTTGTTCTGTTGATTTATTAGTTATTATCCATATACTATAGTAAGCTTATACAGTTATGGTCATCTAAATTTTTGCATACATCAATCCTTTGGTGTTTTCTCAGGTAGCTGGAGGATGTATGACATGACCCTGAGTCACCTTCACCTGCAAGCAAACCTTCGGTTTGAGTATAAAAGCACTTGATACTTCCAGAGAGGTAGCATCAACGTACGATAACTTGGCTGATCAAGAATCGGGGTTTATGACGATTAAGGTAAGAGTACAAGGTCTCATTTGTGATTTTGTATGGGAACAAAGATGTAGTCGTAGATACTATATAGTACTATGTATGGAAGCCAGTTCCCTGCAGTAGATATTGACAGAAGAAAAAGATGTAAATTGGTGGTAAGGATGTTGGTTTCCATCTGTTATCCGATGATGTGCAAATCAAAGTACCGTCTCAAGCACAAGTTATGTCGTCTGGCCAAGCCAGGACACATCTGCATCTTCAATATCTCTTCACAATGAAGAGGTAGATGAGCAGAACAGAGTCAGTATGAAATGTGAAGGAAAAATATGAAGTGAAAACTCTTGTGAGAGGGAATCGAGTGACACAAGTGACGAGACTATATCATCATTCAGCTCTTCCTTTCTTCAATGCATGTCTGAATCTACAGATCAAAAGCCGAGGGAAGCTACCTTTAGGTGGATTCTATACGTGTATTCCCCATGTCACAGCCAATACTTTCTCCCACATGGTTCATCGTCTGGTGTTTTTTTTTTTCTAATAATATCACAGCATTGCTGTTCAAGTTCTCGTTTAGTCTTTCCTTTTATTGCAATGCAAACAATTCTTCCTTTTGACTCTTTTTAAACACCACAGATTTGATTCTCGTGTAGAGTGCTCATGTTTGTACACCTGTGAGCATTCACTCGCAGACTTCTTATATATAAGATAAAAAAAAGTTTCGAATTTGATTGAAATTGAGTTCAACATTGCATAAATATGAATTGTCACTAACAAAATAAATAATAAAGCTGAAAATAATCATATCCAATCAGGCACACAAAAACCATAATTAACAAAATGCTGAGAAGGCCTCTCGGTGAGCCTGAAGATGATCCATTGATGCAAGGTATAAAGGCCAGATAGATTATTGAGTACCTTCACAATAGTCTTGGAGGGCAAAACCAAACACTGAATCCATCCTTCATCAAAGGGTTGTGACAAGAGCATGCGCTAAACTATATGGCTCGTTTCCTGTAGAAACAACATCAACCCAATTTATTATCCCCCAAATCTCCCCTTTTTGGCGTTTTTCAATCGCAATTTCCGCACACCAAATTTTGCTCTCCTTCATTGATACAAATTCTTTCCACAAAACAGCCATATTTCCACCATAATCCGTCAATATAGCACGGCCACGACATAGACTAGGCAACATTTCCAAACCCTTCAAAGCTATCCACATTCTGGTTTTGGAGTCATACCAATCTATCTTCCCGCTACAATAACTGTAGAAGACGTTCTCTATCACACAATGAGCTGGTGAGTTTTTCCATCTATAATTTATAGCCAAGTCTGCAGCTCTCCATCTACCTCTATGCAGCTTGTAAGTCGCATTCTTTTCCTGGGACCTCACATGAACAGTTCCCTCGTACCTGACGCTTCTGTAGTTAGATCCTCCGCATATCTTCTCGCTAGGGATCTGCAAAAACTCCCAAGTTTGGGTCCTTGTATCAAAAACCTCCATCCAATTCGTTGAATCGAGGTTTTCGCAGCCTCCTGCTACATATATTTTCTCATCAAGGACGCAAGCAGAAGGTAACACACGGGCCAGCTGCATGCTTGGGGCCTCACGCCATTTGTGAGAGCGACAGTCCATGACCGTGACGCTAGAAGAAGCATTAAGATCACTATATCCGCCGGTAGTGTAGATATTAGGACCAACCACTGCCACACCCGAATGGGAGAGAGATGGAGGAGATGGAATCAGAAACAAAGTCTTTTTGGAGCTGTGTGGTCTCCGACAGAGTGTGAACCAACATAGTGGGTAAGAATCAGTACAATGCCTTAAGCACACATAGAGACAACTCTCGGTGCGGCCTAAGAGGGCTCGAGTTTGGTAAAGCTCCGTTGAAGTAACAAGAGAGCGGAATCTCTTGGAGACTAAGGAGAGAGTTGGGTAATCCAATCTTGACACACGGGCTAAGCAGTTTAGTAACAAATCATCAGGAAGCATCAGAATTGTCATCTGTCTATTTTCAAGAGGTGGCTTTTTTCCATTCATGATTGCTTTTTAGGTAAAAAAACCAATACCCCTAATCCTGAAATCGAAAACCCAGACTTCTGAAGATCCGAATTTTCCTTATCGAAAAACCAAAATCAGAGATCTGAGTACTTACGAGTTTGCAGGGTTTGACATGATGGATTTGAAGAGAGAGACAGAGAGAGCTCCCTCAGAAACCGAAGAAAGTTGAGAGCTTTTTGTATTCGGTTGGGTTCTCTGAGAGATCGATTGCAATAGTGGGATCTGAAAGAGCAGAGATTTGATGGATTTAAAGACAGAGAAAGAGAGAGAGAGAGAGAGAGAGAGAGAGAGAGAGAGAGAGAGAGAGAGTTCCCTCAGAAAGAGAGAGAAAGTTGAGAGCTTTTTGTATTCGGTTGGGTTTTCTGAGAGATCGATTGCGATAATGGGATCTGAAAGAGCAGAGAATTGATGGATTTAAAGAGAGAGAGGGAGAGAGAGTTCGCTCAGAAAGAGAGAGAAAGTTGAGAGCTTTTGTGTATTCGGTTGATCGATTGCGATAACGGGATTTGAAAGAGCAGAGATTTTCGCAAATTGTATCTCTATGTTTTTGTCGGAAAAGATAACGAGACTTTATTTTCCTTTTTTTGTATATTATGTTTCTAAGGAGGGTTGAACTATGAAAGAGAGAGAAGCTCCTCTGCCTCTTTCCTTTTTTGGGTTTTCCGAGTATCATGTTTGTCTTTTTGTTGTTTCTTTTCTCCTCGCGCAGAAATTCAATTTCTTTGACAGAGGAAGGGACAAATTCCGAAAGTTGGATCGGTTATTTGTGTTCATGGATGATGGGATTGCTTATTTTTTTTCTCGTGGGAACTTTAAACACAAATATACACGTAAGCACGAGTATTTTTTTGTGCTAAGACTGATCATCAGCTTTGGAACAAAACTTTGATGATTACAATCATGCAAACACCAAACTATAATCATTTAGCATCTTACATAATCTTCATTTATAATTATGTGTATATATATATATATATGTTTATGAGCTTGATCTCACATAAATCTTCAAGCTTTTTAATCTCCTTGACACCTTTCTTTGAGTCTTTACTTTTTGTGAGACAATGTTGGATTTAAAGCAATGAACAAGCTCGTATTGTCTTTGGATTACATAACTTGCCAAACCATGCCATAAAAGTCAACCCTATGTAATTGTTTGGAAAAAGCGAATTGAATCCAATGTGTTTCTTCATATTAAACTTAGTCTTATTCTTTCTCTTTTTTCGTAAGAACTTTCATTTCACATTTGAGTTAGAACGATTATAAAACAAACTTTTACATTCAATCTATAAAACATGTTCGAGGGCGTGTAACACAGATATTGAAATCTCGTGTTTACAAAAAAAACACTTTGTATTTTTTTTTCCTACATAGAAGTGCATTTTCACCTATCGGCTAATATTCTTTTCCGACTATACTTATCCCAAAAATCAGAAGTCCTCTCTCCTTTTTTTCAGCCCATCTTAAAAACCATAATTGTTTCTTTTTTATTTATGTTTGTGTTAAGATATACTTATGGTAATTGATGGGTACTTTAACACAACCACAAATATACACGCAAGCACGCATATTTTTGTGCTGAAGACTGATCATCTTTAATACAAAACTCTGATAAGCTATACATTATTCAGCTACGGTTACAATCATGCAAACACCAAACTTATCTTATCATTTAGCATCTTTCACAATCTTCATTTATAAATATGTATATCTATGCATATGAGCTTGATCTTGATCTCACCCAAATCTTCAAGCTTTTTAGTCTCCATGAGACATTTCTTGAGTCTTTTCTTTTTGTGAGACGAGGCTACATCTTTAAGCAATCAACAAGCTCTTATTGTCCTTGGGTTCCATAACTTGCCAAACCAACCTCCTTCGCCGCCATCACCACCATTGTTCCTCGTCTCTAAAACCCTCTTTTGTTTCCCTCCCGAGTCTCTAGAAGTCTCTAGACTCTTCAGCGGAACTAGCTGTGGGCTAATACCGCTCCCTGAAGGCGCTTCAACAATCTTGGTCACCATCTCTAACACTTCACTCATTTTAGGACGTGCCTTTGAGTTCCTAACCAAACATCTATTGGCCACAACTGCTAGCTTCTGGACCGACTTGATAGGGTACTTCCCTTCGAGCCTCGGGTCTATTATGAGCTTGAACTTCCTTGTGTCGGATAGATAAGGTCTCACCCATTCTAAAAGCTTCTGCTCTCCCTTTGGTTTGTTTCTGTCTACAGGCCGTCTCCCTGTGATGAGCTCATATATGAACACTCCATAACCCCACACATCGCTTTTGGATGTGAGACGACCGGTTTGAATGTACTCAGGAGCTGCATAACCCATTGTACCTACGACCTAATAAAGCCAAAGAAACCAGTTAAAAAAAAACCATAGATGTATCTCAAACCTTGCATCTAAAAGAAGTGAATGCACAGCTTACATCAGTAGAAACATGGGTTAGTCCTTCAGATGGACCTAAACGAGCCAAACCGAAGTCCGAGAGCTTTGCTTTCCAGTCTTCATCCAAAAGAATGTTGGAGGACTTAAAGTCGCGGAATATTATCTGTAAAACAATAGATCAATGAGAAAGAGAGAAGATCATTTTCAAGTCCTACTGTGGCAGAGTCACGAGACATTACCTGAAACTCCATTTGTTCGTGAAGGTATGTTAAACCACGAGCTGCATCTTGAGCGATTCTCAATCTGAGATCCCAAGTTAGGACTGTGAGTGACCGTGGAGATAAGTGGAACTCAACGCTTCGGTTGGGCATGTATTCATAAACCAGAAGCCGTTGGATCCCACGTTCATCATCTTCTGCGCAATAACCAAGCAGTTTCACCAGGTTTGAATGTTCGACCACGCCGAGAAAGTTCACTTCCGTGACCCATTCTTTATGCCCCTGCAAATGAGATAATCGAAAAGTTAGCCATGAAGATAGCTTACAAATCTTGAGAACAAGCAAGAATCGGGGGGAAAAAAGACTTGCCTGCAACCCTCTTTTACCGAGCTGCTTGACCGCGACTTCGATTTTGATTGTCGGATCTACTAAGCTCCTCACTGTTCCCCTGTAGACACAACCGAAACCGCCTTCTCCGATCATAACCGATCGGCTAAAGTTCTTTGTTGCAGACTTGAGATCGGTAATGCTGAACTCTCTGAGATTACTTGCTCTAGTAAACATTGTAGGGTACGAGTTCTTCCTCCCCACGGATGATTCAGTGCTCGTTCCAGAGGCATCCCGAGAGTTAAAGTCTGACCCGCTCCGGTTTATGTCGCGGTCAGAGAAGTTGGAGGTCAAGGAGACCGAAGTAGGGGTCTTCTGTTCGTCTTTCTTGTCACCGCCAGAGAACAAGAAACACTTCATTCTCGAAAAGAGACTATACCACCGAGGTTTCTCCACTGCAAGACACATATATCAAACTGATTAAGTAATAACATAAACGGAAACAGAACTTCATTCGTTGGAGCATTTTATCAATCAACTAATCTGCAAAGTTAAAGCATTTCCACAATTCAGTCTTCCTCCATAGTACTTAACAGAGTACATACCGTAATTTTTCTTAGACACTGAAAAAGAAATCAATTTCAGTGTTGGTTGATTCGAATTTCGAACTTTTAGATTCAAGAGATCAAATTCTACTCGCAGGTGAAGAGGAATGCGTTTTGACCCAACAGATCCAAATTAATTTCAAAGTAACACGAACCCTAATTTCGAGAGGGTAAGAGAAAGGATCACGAAGCTATTAGAAGTGACCGAATTTCGCTAGTTTGTTCCTAAACTCTAAAAACCCATCAGCGACATAAAGAAGTGCGAGTGAAGAAGCATAAAAAGCAGAAGATAATTACAACTGACCTTTGAAAAACTAAAGCTTTATCAAATTCAATCGCCAGAAGGGAAGGATGATTATGATTATTTGAAATGGGTCAGTATATACAATACAAAGAGAACTGAGAAAAGATATGCAGGGGATTTTTAAGAAGCGTAGCTAGGAAGAAGATGATGAGAGGAGAGGTAGAAGATGAAGAGAAGTCGTCACACGGCAAAAATAAACAAGTCTTTGCTGATAGCCAAGTCAGCAAAAGAACAAGCAAGTGAGACTTTAAAAATGGACAAACGAAAAGAGAAGTTGATAGTAATTTCAAAAGTTTTTTTCTTTTCTTTTGACTGGTTCAACGGTAAGGTGCTTCAAATAGTACTTAATAGATCAGTGATCCCTTCTATTAAATTAGTAAAAATTGTTTTGGTAGTTGTTACGACTTAGAGAACCTTTAGTAGTAAAAATAATATGTCTACTATTTTAGATATTTAGTTTTTTTTATTCAAGAATTCATCAATGTTGTTTATACTACCTATTTTTGTTTGGTAAAAGGTGATAAGCAAATAAGAAAATTCAATATTTTAGTAAATCGGCCAATGATGCCAAAATGGTTTCCAAAGTCATTCATACCAATCACTTTTATGGAAATTACAAATTTGCATTGTTTATGCCAACAAGAGTGTTTCTCTATTAGTCTTATTTTATCATGAGATTTGCAATGGGGGAAGTTAGTGAAAGGGATAGTTTAGCTTGAGTCACCTTTAGGAGATTTCCCAAATCTTCCTGGAACCTTGATTGCATAAATTTAACGACAAAGTTTAGCAAATTTGGCACAAAAATCCACTAAAGATATCATCGGTTTCGGTTTCCGATGGATCTATCGGTTTCTTAAAATTGGGTTGGTGAATTGTACCACTTGCTGTGATACCTTAAACCTTGGTAACTTCACCTATTTATACCCATTATACTAACACAGCTTTGTCGTCTTGCTTACACTAAGTGAGTCAGTAGTTTGAGTTCGGTTTGATCCAAGTTTTAATAGTTTCTACGATAATTTTTTTAAAAAACGAACTATACTACATCTTCAACTACCAATAGATGATACGATCAAAATATTTGCAGTACTATTTTCTTTTCTGTATATCATGAATTTAAAATTTAATATCCGTATTTAAAATATTGTAGGAATCTAATACAGAAACGTTATTCTATAACAACTTCGGAAAAGTAATTTGAAGAGAATTGGATACAATTTTTCTAGTTTTATTCTACACATAAAAGAAAAAAAGAATGTCGAAGAGAAGTAAAAGTCAGAATTGTTAGATCCTTATTGGTCAAAGTCAACAGAATATAACGAGTCATATTGGTCCTACTTAGAAACAATTCCAGACGAGACAAACTTGTCGTATCCAATTATCCATCATTCGATAGAAGTTTGCTTATATAGACCGACAAAAAAGATTCTCCCAACTTTGTATTGCATCGTACTGTCAGTCCAATCTTAGTTTCGTTCAACCGACACAAGTCGAATTCGAACAGAGAAACAAGTTATAAGCTTGTCTTAACCAAAAAAAAAAAAAAAAACAAAAGTTGGAAAATAAAATGGAACTGGGTTTATGAAATGTTTCACATTAAATATATCATTTCGAGTCAGATTCCCGATTTAGAGCAACGTGCACTGGCACGTAAGCATCTCTGACTCGTCGACTACTTGGGAAGACTCTCTAGCCCTTGTTTCCTCTCAAAAGAATATATCAAACTAAACCTAAAAAACGCATGCGGAAAAGATGTAACAAGAACAAGCCATGAACATTTTGTTTTATCATATACTCTTATAGTAATAATAATATATATTTTATTATTAACTACTAAAGATTCTGATTAAAAGGGGTGATGATAACAAAAATAACACTCAATAACTCAAAGCCTCAAAAGCAGATACAAGCAAACAATAATGGTGTTTGTTTATTTGGGACGCATATAATATATATCACCAAAATCTCAATAGGGGATAAAACTAAAAGGATGATAATTTTAGAGACTTTTTAGTTTTAGTTCAAGTCTGGTTTCTCAGGGTAAGTGCAGCCAGACCTCTGGATCACTACGTTTGAAGCGTAGCATCCCGCTCTCACGCACTCCTCGATCGCCTTTCCGTGCACCAACTGCGAAAGAAACCCTCCCACAAACGCATCACCTGTGAACAACAGAACAATTGCGGTTAAACCATCGGTATTGGTTTACTTGACGCTCAGACCAAGCGTATGATGATCTCGTTATTACAATCTGGCAAAGCAAACGGTTTGGTAAAGCCCGGATTTGGATAAGGGTCCGTGGTGTTTAGGCTTGTTAAATGAGTGTACAGATTAGAGCTGTTGTGAGTCAGTCAAGAGAGCAGATAGTGAGAGCTGGTTCTTATCAAATACCTGCACCGTTGGTGTCAACGAGCTTCTCCTTGGGGAGAGGGATGACTGGGTACTTCTTCACCTTTCCATCCTCGGCGACAACCACGGGATCTGCGCCTTGTGTAATCACAGTAGTCCTCTTGTATGTTCCGGTGGCTTTCGGCAACTGGGAGATCTTGATGGCTATTTGCTCAACATCATCGGTCTGTATAAAAATCATAAGCAAACAGATTACTATACTGTCTTTGCGCAAATTGAAAACAAAAACAGGTTGAAGCCATGTCAGTTACCTCCCAGCCGTGAACCTTGGAGAAGGTTCTTGCCTCGGTCTCATTGCCAAACACGTAGTCCATGTACCTGGTCCGAGCAAGACATTAGATGCGTGCATTAGTCTTGCTTTTCAGTATATCACTCACGATTACTTTATGAAACTATAAGATAGAATAATATTAGGATTTGCTTACGGCAGACACTTCTCCTGTACGTCTTTGAAGAATTCACAGATGAATGGAGCAGAGAGGTTCATCGTGAACACCTATCAGATATGTGAGCATGTCAGGATCTTCCATATTAAAAGACACACTGGTCGGGGAGAAAGATCACTGAGAGGATCATATCTTGTTTACCTTGTTGTTTGCAGCCGCATGTTCACGTACCAACTGAATGGATTCTGGTGATACCGTGAGGAAGAACCCAGCAATGTAGTAGAACTTGGCCTTCTCAACTGCCAAGGGAGAAAAAACCATGTTTCACAAACATCTCAGATAACTCGGACATGTGAAACTATCCAATCTCAGAGAGCAAACTTTGACACAAAAGTCGGAAAAATGATTTTTTTACCCAGAGCCCAGTTCTCAGGCTTCTTTAAGTGCTCAACCTTGTAGCAATTTGCAGCAGAAAGATTCGCGATAAGAGACCTGCAAAAAGGGAAACATGTACAGCTCAACAGAAGGAAATATTTTTAAAGTTTAACTCAGAAGCAGACATAGAGACTGATTCTAAAAACTGACCTTTCTCCACCCAAAACACAGACACCGCAAGTTCCTGTAGGTGTTGACTCATCTTCGTAATAGTGGACCTGGATATACAACAAGAGCAAATTAACAGTCTATTTCCTCATGACTTTGGACTTAAAGCAAAACCAAATTTTTTTTAAAAAAAAACTTTAAGCTTGACTCACATTGACACCAGCTGCTGTAGCATCCTTCTTCATTGCCTCTCCGTATTTGTCCTTTCCAATGGATCCCATGTAACTGGTTGCCCCAGGGATTTGAAGCATCCACTACAGTAATCAAAGAAACCATTCGTTTACCGAAGCAAAAGTAACTTTAAAACAAGAATGAGTATGAGGCGTAATCTTCCTTTTTACCTGGGCCACTTTGATTGAGTTCTGAGTAGCACCTGAAAATGGAAACGAATCAAGAAGATGTCAGAATCCGGCTATAATGTACATTAACACCACCAAATGTGTCGAATAGTGCAAAAGATTAATCACCTCCAGCAATGTATTCGACATTGAACTTCTTGCTCATTTCATCGTACCTACAGATAAAAGAAAACGATTTCACGTAAATTCTCAGTAAGAATAGATCAAAGGATGATTTGGTGAGAAAAAAAAAGTCAGACATATCAAATCACATCTAGAGAAAAGAAGCTCATTTCTGTTTTTTTCTGAATCATTCAAGGCTAAGGAAAAATCACCAGACTTGTGACAGCATTATAGTGATTTAGATACCATATAACTTGTCACATAAAAACAAATTCAATACAGGGCTTATCCATATCCCATTTACATACCCGCAACGATTACACAACAACTTGAAGAGTAAATACTAATCAAAACTCATTTTTCACCATTTAATTTCAATTGCACGCTATTTCGGAGTATTTGAATGCAGCTTAATCAAAAGGTCGAAAATCAAGTTGGATTAAGAAAAGTGATCCTTACATGGGCAAATGTTTGTCCTCTGCGAGAATCGCATTGTTCAACTTGATGTCGTATCTGTCACGATTCCAGAGAAAAACGTTAAAACAAAAAGAGATTCCCAGAAGAATATTTGTACACAAACAAGCGATCCAGATCCGAACCAAAACAATCCGGAAGAGATGGATCTGAGCTTACTTGTTGAGAAACTCTTGGTCGACGACGGCAGAGACGTCGAGGAGTGGGTTTCCCATTCCCAAAAGGATTCCATCGAAATCAGAGGAAGCCATGGATGATGATGACGTGAAGGATTTCGAGAAGAGGGTAAGATGAAAGGAAAGAGATTCAGATCTGGTAATGAAGAAGGCTCAAGTGTCTTTTGGTGAGTGAAGTGTGTGTTTATTCTTAGAGTATTATTTAATGAGTAAAAAGGATGATTACGATTATAGAACGAGATTAGTTAGCTAATTACAATTTGCAATACCTGAGTAACAAAATAATTGATTACTGTAGGTTTGTCTGTAATTGTATACTACAAGTACAGGCTACAGCTATATGTCCCAATCCCACCAAGCCAAGTTGAGAAAATTGTCAACACACGTTGAAAAGTCTTTTGGATTATTCGAATTGAATATCAAATAGTAATGTTAGATATTGGCCAAACTTTTTGTTTTGTTTCGTATTCCATCAAATCCCAAACGAGTTTCAAACTTTGTAAGAGTGTCTATTGAGCTAGAGTTTAAGAAAGTTAAAGTTTCCAACTTTCTTCTTAAAAACCTCAACTGGATTCTTCCATGATACAGTTGAGAAAAAGGGACGCTATTATTATTGTTGAAGATTCACATAAAGCAAGAGCAACCTTAATGCCAAACAATTCAGGCAAGACACAAAATGTGAACGTGTCAACAAAACCTGTTGATGGATTCTTCAAACATCCGTATATCCGCCCTGTGTTATGAATCTTACCCCTCAAGGCACAAGTAAATAGCTGTGCAAGAACTCAAAATGTAAGGAAAAACAAAACCATGAGAAAAGCCAATGCGGCTTTGTTTCTTCTCATAATAGTAAGATGATCAAAAACAGAGAGAAGAAAACGTGTGAGAAACAAGAAGAATTTTCTGGAGGGAGAGAGAATAAGGTTTTAGAGGTGATCGCAGATGGCTTTTGTGAACTCTGTTGTGGTTGAGGTACCTCCGAGATCAGCGGTTCTATACTTTCCCTCGGCTATTGTGTTGATGATGGCGCTGTGTATTTGCTCCGCTTGCTTGTTGAGCTTCAGGTGCCGTAACATCATCACTCCGCTCAGAAGCAAAGCTGTCGGGTTCGCCAGGTTCTATACCAAGAACAAACATTGCGATCATTAAGATAAGAATCGAACCAAGTCCTCTTGTGCAGAGGATGTATAGATGAGACTCGTTAACCCCTACTGCTAGGTTGGAAAGTTAATTAACAATCATTCAAGTATAACAATCCTGAGGATCCAACAAGAAGTTCTACGACAGAAATTAGAGAATGATCCAGCATACAATGAAACTTAAGCATCTGAACAATTCTACCACGAAAATGCCAGGGAAGAGGGAGATGATGAATCTTTCTCAAGAGCAGCTTATATCATACTCGGTTTTAGGATAACAATCAGATTGAGTTCACTTAAAACTTAAATGCGTCAGAAAAATTAGAATGATGATAACATCTGAGAATGATGCTGCTTCGAGAACTAACCTTTCCAGCAATATCAGGTGCAGAGCCGTGAACAGCTTCAGCAAGGGCAATACCATCCTCCCCGATATTACAACTGCAGCAAAAACATAATAACAGCTTTAGATGTTTCCTTCATTGTAATACTAGAAAATACTCTGCGAGATGAAAGAAGAACAAACGTTACCTTGGAGTCAATCCTAGTCCCCCAACTAGCCCGGCACACAAATCGCTGATAATATCTCCATAGAGGTTTGGCATCACCAAGACATCAAAAAGTGCTGGGTTTTTCACAAGCTACCGTAAATTAAGATTATCAATTACATATTCCACAATACCAGAATGCATTTTGCTCCCTAAGTAGAGTAAGTGGAAAAATCCGACTCAAGTACAAGTACAGCTTACCATCATACAGCAATTGTCAATAACAACCTTCTCGTAATATATCTCAGGATACTTCTCAGCAACCTCATCACAGCACTGAAAAAAGAGGAAGCAAATGAAACCTTGTTCCAGAACAAAGGGTAAAAAGGAAGAAGGCAACAAGAGACTAGAAAGAAAAAAAATCACTCTGTTCCCCTAATTGAGAAGTGTTCTAAAATGATCATACCTGCAGGAATAGACCATCAGTTTTCTGCATAATGTTGGCTTTGTGAATTGCAGAAACTTTCTTCCTTCCGTGAGTCTTGGCATAGAGAAAAGCATACTCCGCAACTCTCATACTCGCCTTACGGGTAATAATTTTAATACTTTCCACCACACCTTTAACGACCTAGGGAAATCAAAATGACAAATCATCAGCAAGGTTCTTGAAAGGATACTAAATATAAGATTCGCTCGAGTGACATAGAAACAGACTAACCTGGTGTTCAAGCCCACTGTACTCTCCTTCCGTGTTTTCACGGATGGTAATGAGATCAACGTCATCGTAACGGGTTTTGTACCCAGGGAGGCTGTAGCAAGGACGAACATTGGCGTACAGATTCAGCTCTTTCCTAAGGGTAAGGTTCAAGGAACGGTGACCCTTCCCAATCGGCGTTGCCATTGGTCCTTTCAAGCCAACCTTGTTCCGACGCACAGATTGAAGACTTTCCCATGTCAAGAAACTGTTGGTTCTGGGATCTACTTCAGTACTCACATAGTGCTCGTCCCATTCAATGGCCACATCAGCGGCAGTAAACACCTGGATCAACCATAAAAGGGGCAAACTTTTTTCAACCAGAAACAGAATTCCGAATTCCAGATATTAAAATCATCACACCAAAAGTATTAAGCATCAATGTGCGTTAGCTCAGGGATCGAAACGCGATATCAAAACTCGAAAATCCTTGCATTCTTCTGTTCCCACGATACACATGAAGGAGGAAAAACAAGTAGAAAGCAGATTAGAAAAAGGTACCTGTTTGACAGATTCAGCGATCTCGGGACCGATCCCATCGCCAGGGAAGAGAGTTGCTTTGATCGGAGTGGTGAAGGAGGAGAAAGCCCTAGTGGCGGAAATGAGCGCACCGGAGCTAGAACCACAAGTCCCGAGAATCTGGCTCGATCGGTTACCGACAAGACGTCTCGCGAGAAATGCTGTCATGGTCATCGCTTCCAGGCTCAGAAGGACAACAAAGGGGAAGAGACAGAGGAGACTTTTTTTTTTTGCTGCGTTGGACGGGAAAGGGTACATTTATACTTTATTCTCTCCAAGGAGAAGTGAAGAAGAACATTTCATTTTAACGCCTTGTCGTTTCTGAGAAAGTCCACTGAATTTAAAACGGCCCAAAGTGAGTGTCCAAAACTAATAAACAGCATGCAGTCTAGGTTTCTAACACTGCGGATGCGTTCAGCTAGAAACGGCACGTATTAAGCATCCAAACGTAAGAAAACGCCGCGCAGTCTTGATTATTAAATATAAAATATTTCGAGTTAAAATTTAGCGCGGATCCAGAAAATTCTAAAAACTGGATCGGATCGAACCAATCCGGTTATCATAATTTTATAACCGGACAAGATTAAAATCCCAATTCAGATCTAACTCAAGTCTTCAACAATACTGAAACGACGAAGCGAACGGTGCAGTGTACATAACAAAAGATCCAATTTCGAGAGGAAATTACTCTCTCAAGGTATTCCGATTTCTTCCTCTGACCTCTCATCATTTGATCCTGCGGTTTTTAAATTGAATCTGATTCCGAGATATCCGTTCCTGAATCTCCCATTGCTTCTTCTCCGATCTGGTATTCCGGTGATCGTTTGTGTGTTTGTCACTCTGATCCTTGGATTATGATTATCGCTACATTGATTTTTCAGATCCTCAATTGTTGTTTACTAATTTTTTATTGGGATCAGCTTAATTGGAGTTATTTCTTACGTTTTCGAGTTCGGGTGTAACTACACTGTAGAGATCTGTGCTAGGTTGTGTGATTTTCCCACGAAATTCGAGTTTTTCTTCTTTTGTATGGAACTTTGCTTAATGATGTATGATGTATCGATCCATTCGTTTCTTTTGTCTTTCTATTCCATCATTTTTACCCTCGAATTTTTCTGTATGTGATCTCTGGCTGAAATGGGTGGCTTTAGGGGTTTTGTCCTGCAGATCTTCTATATTATTTAGACTATACACAAAATGTCGCATTGTTGTTTGTTGTGTATCCTAAGTAGGAAACGTCAAGATTTTGATGTCTGAATTTGAGCTTATTATACACAAATGTTGTGAAATAGCTGAGTTTAGATACATTTTTCTTCGCGTGTGTGAGCTTTTACGATTAAAAATGACTGGAATGGCTGTTTAAATGAATGTTGGTGGTTTACTTTGAAGTGCATTGTCAATAATCGAAGATTTCGTCTGTTTAATTGCTCAAAAATATTTGGTTTTCTGTGTTTGTAGTGGCAATAACAGCTAGTTTTTCGCTGTTACAGGTATAACTCAGGTCTAACAACAATGTCAGGCATTCACGGGAGTCATGTAAGTGCATGTGCATTATATCTCATTGAATATTGTATTCTGTAAGGATTTTTATCTTTTATGTGTCTTTGTTCCCCTTGTTGCCGCTATCATTTTTATCAGTGATGTAATTTATAATAATGTGGTGTCCAATGGTTCTGCTTATGTGTATCATGTCGCAAAATGTTCTTATCATATGCACAGATGACGCGTTTTGTTGAACCCTAGAATCTAGATGCTGGGTATCTTTCTGATCTAGCTTTAGGAGTTTGGCCGTAAATGATCTGTTGTTGGATTCCCTGCTTCACTTGCCCCCTGGAACATAAATACTGACTTTCCATTTTACATTGAATAGGATTCATGTCCTTTGGTAAAGAACATTCTTCTTCTAGACTCTGAAGGGAAGCGTGTAGCTGTCAAGTATTACTCGGATGACTGGTCAACTAATGCTGCCAAGTTAAGTTTTGAAAAATATGTATTCTCGAAGACCTCTAAGACCAATGCTCGCACAGAAGGTAAAGACCACACAGATGATTCATTTTAACAGTATATTTCATGGGGCTTTGTATATACGTAACGTCTGTTTCAAAACGCTTAAAGATGTGTGTTGTGTTTGGTTTAACATTTATGCGCAGCTGAGATCACACTGTTGGACAGTAATATTATTGTCTACAAGTTCGCCCAGGACCTTCACTTCTTTGTTACTGGAGGCGAAAATGAAAACGAGCTCGTCTTATCTTCTGTTCTTCAAGGCTTCTTCGATGCTGTTGCACTTCTTCTAAGGTATTTGCTGGACTTAACAATCGAATAAGTTCCCTTATTTATTGAGTAACGATCTCAACAGTTGATGTTTGATGCAATCCCTTTTCCTCACCAGGAACAATGTGGAGAAGATGGAAGCCCTTGAGAACTTGGATCTCATCTTTCTGTGCCTCGATGAAATGGTTGATCAGGGGTATGCAAGTCTAATATCTTATCCCTACACGGCTTTTTATACATGCGAGTACTAAGCTTGTAAAAGATTTGCTGAGCTTGTTTGAGATTGTGTCGTAGATGTCTTAGCATTTAGCTATTGTTTGATTATGGCTTGTGGAATATGTGTTTAGGGTGGTTCTTGAGACAGATCCGAACGTCATAGCGGGGAAAGTAGCAATGCAGAGCACAGAAGCTAGTGGCTCACTCTCTGAACAGGTGATTTACTAATATAGTCTTTGATTTTGTTTTGGTTTTTGGCTAAGCTTAAAACGGAGATCCCTAACTGCGTTTGACATTGTTGGGATTGTAGACATTAACTCAGGCTTTGGCAACAGCTCGCGAACATCTGGCAAGAAGTCTGCTTACATGAGTTTTCCTCATTTGCATAATAGAACGGACGTCCAACTTTTATGAAGAGCAACTTTTGATTTGATTATAACGTTTGAAAGTCTTCTAATAATAGTGTGTTCTTGCATAAACTAGAATTTTGCGACTCTTCTGGAAGTCCGAAATTGTTTGGTTTTAAAAAAGATACAAATAAACAGTTAATCAATCAATTATTTCGATTAGAATATGGTCAATTAGATATTAATGTTTATGTATGACTGCCAAAAGAACATCATCCGAGTGAACAAAAGCCCAACTCTACACACACACACAAAAAAAGTTATTAGTAAAATTTTCACATAATTTAGAAAAATAAAAAGTTCACCTTTTGCATAATACATAACATAAAAAGAGAAAAGTTTAGAATTTTCATAAGTTGAAAGGAAAAGAGTTTCAACGCTTACCCTAAGGTTATATTTCCAATTTTTTTTTTGAAAAAATAGAAAGTTCAAAACTTTTGAAAATAGAGTCTAGATTTCAATTTCCAAATAAGATATGTATACAATCAATTTATTCATTTTTTTATTTTCTTTTACAAAACAGCAGATTTTCCTTTTAACTTTAAAGATCAAAGGCGGTTTATAGCTGCTATATAAGAAAACCTTTTCCCTTCGTTGCAATTCACACAATTTAATTCGATTATTCTCTCTCGCAATTCGTAAACCCTAACAACTCTGCTAACCTTTTCTGATTTCCTCTCTCAAAGGTATAATCTTTCTCCGATTTCTTTTCGTCAGCTTTTTCTTTGCGTCTGATCTGTTGGTACTACCTTTCTGATAGTTGATATTGCTTGCCGGTTATCATTCTCCTGAATCATCCGTTCCGTTGATCGTTCTCTGTTTTATACAACTGCGATTATCGTAGCTAGATATCTCACAGATTTTTCCCTTTGATAGCATTGTATGTTTGTAGATACCCATACTTGCACTCTTTCTTGTGATTTAGCGCTTCGATAAGGCTTAGCTTGCTTGATTGAAAATTAGGGTTTCTTTTTTTGGGTATGGAAGGTGTATACATATAATAATCCGAGCTCTCCTGGTTTTATTGTTCTGCTGTCAAACTAAATTAGGGAGCTTTTACCTAAGGATATAGTCTCTGCGTGATTGTGCTAACGAAAGTGTACTTCTGTTTTTGATTACAGATGGTGATGCAAATCTACGCAAAGACTCTCCAAGAAAAGACCATAACCCTCGACGTCGAAAGCTCAGACACCATCAACAATGTCAAGGCAAAGATACAGGACAAGGAAGGAATCCCTCTAGACCAGCAAAGGCTGATCTTTGCCGGTAAACAGCTTGAGGATGGTCGTACCTTGGCTGATTACAATATTCAAAAGGATTCAACCCTGCACTTGACTCTCAGGTTGAGAGGAGGGATGCAGATCTTTGTTAAGACTCTTACAGGCAAGACGATAACCCTCGAGGTAGAAAGCTCGGACACCATCGACAACGTCAAGGCCAAGATCCAGGATAAAGAAGGAATCCCTCCCGACCAGCAGAGGCTCATCTTTGCCGGTAAACAGCTCGAGGATGGCCGAACTCTGGCTGATTACAATATCCAAAAAGAGTCAACCCTTCACTTGGTTCTTAGGTTGAGAGGTGGTATGCAAATTTTTGTTAAAACCCTCACTGGCAAAACCATCACCCTAGAAGTTGAGAGCTCGGATACCATCGACAATGTCAAGGCTAAGATTCAGGATAAAGAAGGAATCCCTCCGGATCAACAGAGGCTGATCTTTGCCGGTAAACAGCTCGAGGATGGCCGTACTTTGGCTGATTACAATATCCAAAAGGAGTCAACCCTTCACTTGGTTCTTAGGTTAAGAGGAGGTATGCAGATCTTTGTTAAAACCCTTACAGGCAAAACCATCACCCTAGAAGTTGAGAGCTCGGACACTATCGACAATGTCAAGGCAAAGATTCAGGACAAGGAAGGGATTCCTCCGGACCAGCAGAGGCTTATCTTCGCAGGCAAGCAGCTTGAAGATGGCCGAACTCTTGCAGATTACAATATCCAGAAAGAATCAACCCTGCACTTGGTTCTTAGGTTGAGAGGAGGTATGCAGATCTTCGTCAAAACCCTCACTGGCAAAACCATCACCCTAGAAGTTGAGAGCTCAGACACAATCGACAATGTTAAAGCTAAGATTCAAGACAAGGAAGGGATCCCTCCGGACCAACAGAGACTCATCTTCGCAGGCAAACAGCTTGAAGATGGCCGCACTCTCGCTGATTACAATATCCAGAAAGAGTCAACCCTGCACTTGGTTCTTAGGTTGAGAGGAGGTATGCAGATCTTCGTCAAGACTCTTACAGGCAAAACCATAACATTGGAAGTTGAAAGCTCGGACACTATTGACAATGTCAAGGCAAAGATTCAAGACAAGGAAGGGATCCCTCCGGACCAGCAGAGACTCATATTCGCTGGCAAACAGCTAGAGGATGGTCGAACGCTTGCAGATTACAACATACAGAAAGAATCAACCTTGCATTTGGTGCTCCGTCTGAGAGGTGGTATGCAGATATTTGTCAAGACCCTTACCGGTAAAACCATAACATTGGAAGTGGAGAGCTCAGACACAATCGACAATGTTAAAGCGAAGATTCAAGACAAGGAAGGAATCCCTCCGGATCAACAGAGACTCATCTTCGCCGGCAAACAGCTAGAGGATGGTCGCACTCTTGCTGATTACAACATACAGAAGGAGTCAACGCTTCACCTTGTGTTGCGTCTTCGTGGTGGGATGCAGATATTTGTCAAGACTTTGACGGGAAAGACCATCACTCTTGAGGTCGAGAGCTCTGATACGATTGACAATGTCAAGGCCAAGATCCAGGACAAGGAAGGGATCCCACCTGACCAGCAGAGGCTAATATTTGCCGGGAAGCAGCTTGAAGATGGTCGGACTCTAGCGGATTACAACATTCAGAAAGAGTCGACACTTCACCTTGTTCTCCGTCTCCGTGGTGGAAGCTTATTGTTTTAAATTTGGTTTCTTTCGTTTCTATGTTAAGTTTTGATGGGCCTTTACCATTTAGACTTTGAAGTCTTAGCAATAATATAATCCAAAATGGGCCCTTTATTATTCGACTTCAATGTCTTACCAATAATACAATTTCCCTTTTAACTGCTCACTATTTCTTAGTTTACTAAATTTTCATACACCTAAATTACTAGTACAAACTACTAAAATTATAAGATGCAATCACATCAAATTTGCAGAACAAAATGTGTCAAAAAGTCGAGAAGAATCGATAAAACACATAAAAGTAACTACAGTAAGGGTGGTCAATTAGTAGATAGACTATAGAAAACATAGATTTCGGAAAGGGATCGTTATTGCGTTTATAACACCGAGGCAGGTCTTTTGGAATTATATGCACTAAAAACGCCGAACTTACCCCACCACACATCATCTACTCAATAATTTAAGATTTCAGTCTTTGCATGAAAAAATATTGTTGACTCAATTTTAATCTTTTGTAACCTAATATATTTTCCACATTATACTGTATAATAATTGTATATACTGAAAGCGACGGTGAGATCCAAAAAAAGTTCTTCTTTTGTTTTAAAGCTTCAAAAAAAGTTTGACATTGAATCGCCGGGACTAGATCTTGCTGTCCCCTTATGACACAATTCATCAGATTTTCTTTTCGGAAATATTACAAAATAACTTGCAAATAAAGTAGGAGTAGTTGTTTTTGGAGATACAGGTAGAAAAAATTACATGCATGGATGTGTGTGTTTATTAGTCGGTCGTCATTGTAAGCATACAAATATTCTAGAGATCCAACGTATCCAATAAAAAGGATATATATTATATATACTTTTATTTTGTTTATCTTCGATTAGGACGACACCCACGTTCTCTGTTCGTCAGCCATCACCACTGTCAAATGGCAGCTTATGCCCAATCTTCTCCTTCAGTTCATGAACTTCACCTCCAATGGGAACCCATTACGTTCTCCTCTTTCTCTCCTTTATTCTACCGTTTTTATCCAAACCCGGATCCGGATTTGGATCCCCCGGCCCTATTGCGGCGTCGTTCGGCGGCTCTGCTTTCTTCTGCGCCATTGACGCTAGTGGTCGCCAAGACGTTATCTGCTGGGGCAAAAACTACTCATCTCCATCTTCTCCTTCTTACTCTTCTTCTTCTGCATCCCTTGCTTCTTCCACTTCCCAAAGTTTCAACATTCCGTCCATGGCGCTTCTCTCCGGCGGAGACGGGTTTCTGTGCGGCATTCTGTCGAACACCTCTCAGGCATTCTGTTTCAGTTCCCTTGGATCTTCTTCAGGTATGGATCTCGTCCCCGTCGCTTACCGGACCACTGCTTACTCTCAGATTGCTGCTGGAAACAGCCACGTCTGTGCAGTTAGAGGAGCTTACTATTCCGATCACGATTCCGGGACTGTCGATTGTTGGGAGATAACAAGAGCTAAGAATAACACCTTGATCGCGAAAGAGAGTCCAAACTTCTACGATCAGGTTGTCAGTAATCTCGTCTTCAACAGTATCGTTTCCGGTGATGGGTTTAGCTGTGGCGGAATCAGAGAAGGTGGGATGCTCTGTTTTGGCCCCAATTCTTCTAATCTAGTGTTCAACACAACTTCCGATAACTTCCAAGTTTTAGCCGCCGGAAAAAGTTCCCTTTGCGCGATTCTAAACTCTTCTCGAGAGGTAAAATGTTGGGGAGACGATGAATCTTTCATCAATTCACCGGCTGGTGATTCTCGATTCGTTGCGTTAACCGCAGGTCCACGCCATTTCTGCGGAATCCGTGAGGATAATCACGAGGTTGTGTGTTGGGGAAACTCCAACTTCTCGTTGATTCCAAAAGGTTCTGGATTTAAGGCAATTGCTTCGTCCGATTTCATCGTTTGTGGTATCAGAGAAGAGGATCTTGTTCTTGATTGCTGGATGGTTAACGGGTCATCAACATTAGCTTACGATCCTCCATTAGAGCTGTGCAGTCCAGGGTTGTGTCGAGCTGGTCCGTGTAACGAAAGAGAGTTTGCTTTCAACGCAAGTATCCTCAACGAGCCTGACCTAACGAGTTTGTGTGTACGAAAAGAGTTGACCGTCTGTTCACCTTGCGGCTCGGATTGCTCTCGTGGATTCTTCTTGTCTAGCTCCTGCACCGAGAACTCGGACCGGATCTGCACGCCTTGCTCGCTCTGTCAAAACAGTTCTTGCTCTGACATTTGCAAGCTTCACAACCACAATTCTCCGGACAAGCATTGGCATCAATTAGAGAGACTTGCTCTCATCATCGGATCTTGCGCATCGGCTCTGTTGATCATCACAACCGGTTGCTTCGTCGTGCCACGGATTGTCACTAGTCCTAGTAAAGAAGATGGTGCAGCGAATCAGTTCAAATCTTGCATAGGAAAGCCCGATCTAGACACCGAGCCACTTGAAATGATCTCCCCTGCTCCATCTGTAGCGCCGTTTGCTCAAGTGTTTAGACTCTCTGAGCTTAAAGACGCGACCAACGGGTTTAAAGAGTTCAACGAGTTAGGCAGAGGAAGCTACGGGTTTGTCTACAAGGCCGTGTTAGCGGACGGAAGGCAAGTAGCGGTTAAGAGAGCAAACGCAGCAACCATAATCCACACAAACACTAGAGAGTTCGAGGCGGAATTAGAGACTCTCTGCAACATCAGACATTGCAACATTGTGAATCTCCTCGGTTACTCGACCGAAATGGGAGAGAGGCTTCTTGTGTACGAGTACATGCCTCACGGTACGCTTCACGATCATCTACACGGCGGGTTTTCGCCGTTGAATTGGAGCTTAAGGATCAGGATCGCTTTGCAAACCGCGAAAGGTCTTGAGTATCTTCACGTTGAGGCTGACCCGAGGATTCTTCATGGAGATGTGAAGTCTTCGAATGTACTTTTGGACTCGGATTGGGTCGCGAGGGTTGCGGATTTTGGGCTCGTAACGTCATCGAACGAGAAGAATTTGGACATCAAAAGAGATGTTTATGACTTTGGGGTTGTTCTGTTGGAAGTTTTAACCGGAAGGAAGCGTTACGATAGGGATTATGATCCGCCGGAGATTGTTGAATGGACGGTTCCGGTGATCAGAGAAGGCAAAGCGGCGGCGATTTTGGATAAATATATTGCGTTGCCGAGAAATGTGGAGCCGTTGTTGAAATTAGCTGACGTGGCGGAATTGTGTGTTCGGGAGGATCCGAATCAACGACCAACGATGTCGGAACTTGTGAACTTGTTGGAACAGGTCGCGAGAGATGGACTGATCTTGTAGTTCTTTTCAAGTTTCGCCTTTTGTGCGAGTGTTATTTATATTCTTTTATTTTTAAATTGTTGTGAAATAATATATGCAAAGATACACACACGATTAATTACACTGTTCTCGCGATTAACGTATAGTTCATATCGTTTTATATTCATGGTTAGTCTCGAAGATCAGTTTTGATCTTTTAGCTGTTTTATAGGAATCAAAGGAGAAGGGTTAATTAATCTACGAACATCTCCTTTTCATGTAGTGATTGTATTCAACTATTTCTTAACAAAAGTTCAGCTAATTATTTCATGCAACACTATTTTGGTGCAAACCTAAGAAAATCTTTTGACTTATGTACACTTCTTTGGTGTTCCAAAAAGATGTTATTTTGCAAAATATAATTAAATATGCATGGCTCAACTGAGAACCCTTCATAGACAAAGTTTGTATATATGATATATATTTTTCCTTAGCTTCATTTTATTATGATATAGATATTTACTATATTCTTATTTTAGGAATTGCTTAATGAAAGTGTGTGCGAGTGGGTAGGTATGCGATTCGATGTCTTTCTTTATTTTCTTTATTTTTTATTTGGAATCGCACTATCTTGATGTGGAAATGTTTTTAAAATGCATTAAACATATTACAAGTGATTATAATTTGTAAAACTTTTGTTCCATATTCTAATTAAAATGAAAATCAAGAATCCCATAGTTAAAATTTATTGTTTTCGTAGTTAAAATTAGCTTAATCTTTCTTTAAAATGCTTATTCTATTTGTGTTTTTTTTTTGTTTTTGTGGGAGGTTTTTTTAGTTAATGAGTGATCTTGACTTTAAATTCATATCCTCGTTTTAGCTTATGGTTTTAGAAATGGTAGATTTTAAGAGTTTTTACTTTTCATTTTTTTTGGAAATCAAAGTAACCAACTGGCTTTTTTGTTTAGCTAAAGCAGTATACACAATTATTACAAAACAACAAAACAGGTTTTGATACGAGTTCCTAAAAATCAGTTCATCTTTTGGACTAAAATAAGAACATTAGGCTGGCAAAAAGTAATATATATTATTATAACTTTAAAAATAGTAATAAACTAAAAAAACTAATTAATTGCTAAAATGTAAGGCAATATGAATCTAGAAAAGTAAGTTGACAATATCTACTAGACTTGATGGACAAACACACAAATAACTCAATCATGCAACTATGCAATGATAACTTCTTCACTCGTAAGACACCTCTGGATTTATTATATCGGCTCATAGCTTCACATGATCGGGGGAAAAAATAGTTAAATACATTTGCAAGTAAGAGTATAGTTATTGTTTTTTGGGGGTAGTATGTTAAGAAGATTTTCTCAATTTAATTGACGGAAAAGTAATGAGATCTAATTTTCACAATTGTAGTCTGAAACCTTAGAAGAAGTTTGAAGGAAAAAAACTTTAAAATGAGCAAACTAATCCTAATTATATACGTAATGGACGTTATGGTAATGCAACCAAAGAAATCTATTAGTATATTTTAATTTTGTAACGCAACCAAAGAATGAATAACAATCTATATATAATTATGGTAATGGTTTTGTTTTAGAACTAAAAAGATAAAAACTCTTAACTATTAAAAGTCTTGCTATAAACAACGTAATTATTATTAACAAGCAACGAATAAGAAAAGAACAGAAAAGAAAAATCCAGAGAAACATTGGAAAATGGATTGGTAACATAAACACCATCAAAGAGGTGTGTGTTCATGGGTGGAGTTTCTTGGCCAACCGACCCCATCATCATCATCTCATTACCCACTTTCCCTTCCTAAATTATATTCTCTCTTATCTCTCTCTCTTTCCCTTTTCTCTCTCTCTCTCTCTCTCTGCTTTTGCTTTTTAATTTCTTACATTTCACTCTAATAAACCCCGGATCTCCGATCCACCCACCAAAACCAAAACTTTCCGAGATTTGATCATCTGGGTCGCCGAAAAATCGCGTCTTTTTGATTCATGGGAAACATCAGCAGCAGCGGAGGCGAGGGTAGACGCCGTAGACGGCGGAGCAATACGCTTCCGACGGCGGCTCCACCGCCTCCTTCTCTTCCTCCACCACCACCACCTTCGGCGGCGACAGAAATCCCAGCTAGCCGCATCGTATTCGCCGCCGCTACACCGTATCCAAACCCCAACTCTAATCAGAATTACCAGTATCCTGGTTACTACCCTCCTCCGCCAGGAACCATGCCCGTTCCTCTTCCGGCGCCGTACGACCACCACCACCATCATCATCCGCACTATCCTCCTCCTCCGCATCCTTATCACCACCCTCAGCCTTGGGCCGCCGGCGGGAGATACACTCCTTATTGTGGTGCCATGATGCCTGCGCCGGCTCCCATCATCGAACATCAGAAAGCCGTCACGATTCGTAACGACGTTAACCTCAAGAAGGAGACTTTGAAGCTTGAATCCGACCCGGATTGTCCGGGTCGGTTTCTCGTCTCCTTCACGTTTGATGCAACCGTCTCCGGAAGGTAGATTTCAATTTCTCCATTTCCTTGATTTCGTGATTGATTTGACAAATAAACAGAGCCGAAACACGTGAAACTGTTATGCTCTTCCTCGTGATCATGGCTTAAATTTAATGGCCTTCTTGTTGAAATTTTACTTCTTTGATTTGTTTAGTGAAGAAATTTGGTATACAAGTAGGTAGAAAGTTGTTGAAATCACTTTTTATCTAAACCACATTTTGCCATTGACGAAAATCAACCGATGATCCAATCTACATGTGTAAATGACAGAGCTTTTGTGACTTTGGTCTTGTTGAAAACAGGATTTCGGTGATTTTCTTTGCAAAAGAATCCGGAGAATGCAATCTCACGGCCACAAAGGAAGACATTCTGCCACCAATCACCATGGATTTTGAGAAAGGGCTTGGTCAGAAGTTTAAGCAACCATCTGGTTCGGGTATAGATTTTTCGGTCTTTGAAGACGCTGAGCTGTTCAAGGCGGCAGACACAGATATCTATCCGCTAGCGGTTAAGGCAGAGGCAGCTCCTTCAGGTGACGATGAAGAAAAAAGGGTGGGATCGAAGAATGCGCAGATAACTCAAGCCGTTTACGAGAAGGAGAAAGGAGAGATTAAGATAAGAGTGGTGAAGCAAATACTATGGGTCAATGAGATAAGATACGAGTTGCAGGAGATTTATGGGATTGGGAATACAGTTGATGGCGACGACGATTCAGCTGACGATGCTAACGATCCCGGAAAAGAATGCGTTATATGTTTGTCTGAGCCACGAGACACGACTGTTCTTCCATGTCGACACATGGTAAGTAAGATCATGTTTTTTTTTTCGAATGCTGATGGTTTAAATGCATTTGTACTGATGTGGAGATTGTTTGCTTCTGTGGTTTCAGTGTATGTGCAGCGGATGCGCGAAGGTGTTGAGGTTTCAGACAAATCGATGTCCGATTTGCAGGCAACCTGTTGAAAGGCTTTTGGAGATAAAAGTTCACAGTAATAGCGGAAGCGGGAACAATACCGGACAAGGAGAAACAGCAGGACAAGGAGAAAAATCCGAACAGAGAGAAACAGCTGACGAAGGAGGAGTAGCTAAACACGGCTGAGTATGGATCGAACGGGACCGACTTCTACCATCGATATATTAGTATATGCAAGTTTGTATGCTTTGATCCATATTTGGTAACAATAAAATGTGTGATTGCTAATTTGTATAATATAGAAATTTCCAAGTCATCTGGATTCACAATCCTTCAATATATTTTTATTAGACACAACAACAAGTAGTCAGTTTCTTATCTCAGCCCGAAGCAGCTTCACACAAGCATTAAGCCATTACAATGGCAACATGACAGACTCTAGAACATGGAAAACACAAGATCGACGTCATGATGATGATAGACAGATACTGAGACTACCACTGAGTTTTTAACCTCTTCCCCTACCATTGGTGGACAAAGACGCCTCTGCTTCTTAGACTTTGGATTTTGTTCATGCAGTGTGGCTTGGCAGATCCATCCGATATGCAAAAGCTACCTGGTGTGATTACATGCTATTTGAGCTATGGCGAGAGAGAAGCTCCAAGTTTGAAGATTGAGAAATGAGAATTGAGAGAGTGAACTTTAAGGCTTCGTTTCCTCTGCATATGATGGGAAGATTCTGCTTCCATCGCCATAAATATCGCCACGTGAGTCTACTAGCTGATGTGTCAAATCGGATTAATTTGAGTTATGTCTTATGACAAAACAGCTTTGGATTAATATTTTATCTTAAGATTGTAATCATCTAATTATATTAGCTCAGATTTCTTACAGCTGTTTGGTTGAATATATCGACTTTGCTTTCAAACAAGTCGGAGGTTGTATCCTTTATCCAAATCCAAATATTATTAATTGATCGATTTCATATTTGATATAGACAGACATACAGTTGACAAATTCTAACTAAACAAAGTTACTCATAATAAAGTAATAATAGATCGGATCAAATATGGAACGATCATGTGCTCGAAAAGATATACTTCAAGGCCCGAAAAAATGGAAGTGGTGTCCCATGATAAGGCCATAACCACAAGTTAAAAATGTTTTCAGTTTCATGGATTACTGCATGAAATAATAGGGTATGAATCGAATGTCATTCTAAAATTGAATGCAGTAAAACGAATATATTCAACAAACCAAATTATCCATCCAATTATGTCAAAATTAATGCTAACCGTAGACAAAAAAGTATACACAGTTACCACTTATACAAACCGTATATGAGCCTTTTATAAATTAACTAAATATAATAAAAAAGGACAAAAGAAAAAAGAAGAAGAAACGGACCAAATTTAGCCTTTTAAGCCGAGAAGCGGACAGTGATTATTTATCTTTAAATGAATGAATGAATGTATGTATGATCACATATTTCAATTTCAGGAACCCAGAAAAGAGGACTCGTCTTTACCTCTATAAAGGGTTCCTGTTGATTCTTGGCTACAATTTTCTCCTGGAAATTAAAATTTTCTGATTTTTGATTCTTTTTTAGATTCTTCTCTGCTTTTATATTTCCTGGGTTCAGTTCGGTGATGGATAGAGATAAAGCTCGCCAAGAAGAACATGGGTCTTTCGAAGCTAATCATTCTCCACCAGAAAGGGTAGATTTTTTCAACTCTTCTTCTAAATTCAATTCTGTTTTCTTTCTTGTTCAATCTAGCTTGAATCTATATATATATATATATATATTTTTTTCAATTTTGAGGTCTCTGGTGGTTTTGATTTGATGGGTACGTTGATAATTTCTTCAATCTCCCCTGATTAGGGTTTAGGGTTTATTGGATCGTTCCTTCGTCTGCTAATCTAGATTTTTCCTCACGAAATAGCTCTGGAAGATTTTAGATTCATACTTAAAAAAAAAAAAAACAGAGAGTTTCGAGTCTGTTTGTGAAAGATCAGACTTTTTCAAGGATCGGAGCTGTGGTTCATAGCTAATTTTGAAAATGATCTTGGTTTTGCAGGATGAGAATTCTGCTGAGATTGCTGAAGAAGAGCTATCACCGGGCCGAGACCTATGGAGACGAGGCATTGTATTAGATTTACCATCAAGAACACCTGAAGATACAGGAGTGGATCCATTGAGACGAAATGCATCCTTAACATCAAGTCCTGTTGCCAAAAGAGTCAACTTTTCTCCAATGTCGAGCCCTAGAATCGGGCAACGTGGTGCATCCCTGAGTCCTTCCTCCTCCTCTTCAAGAAACAGACCTCATAGCCTGAAGAATCTAATCCCAAAGTTGAGCTTCAAAAACCGGTACAGCAATAACAATAACATGGATATCGAGAAAGCTGAGGATTTGGCCTTTGCCTCTTCTCCTTCTTCAGGCAACGGCAGGGACAGGTCCACATGGACTCTCACTAATATTTTAACTCCGAGATTGAAGAAAACTGAGTCCTTGCCTGTAACCCCTATAGCTCACTCGAATCCTGAGTCCATGCACGGGAGATATATGGTTGATCCAGTTACTTCCATGGTGAGTCGATTCATTTAGCTTTCCCATGTGAGTTCTACTGTGTTTTCTGCTGTTATCTCATTGGCAAGAGACGTTTTCTTGTCTCAGTAGAGTAATGCAATTTACTTGTAAGATAAGTTTAGCTAATTAGGTTATCTTCTGCTTTACTTCATTGTTGGTTTGACCAGAATATAATTTAAAATGTCATTCTCAACAGAAAAAAGGGCCTCCTCTGCCTATTCACCGTTCACGCTCTGTCCCGGCATTTAACAAAGATGGAAGTTTAAGGCAGTCAGGTGTTTTCCGGGTGATTCCTACTCCGAACATGACGCCAGCCAGAAATATTATAAAACTTAACGGTTAGAACATTTGCATTCTTTCCGTTTGATGTTTCAAACCAACAGACATGAAAGCATGAGACTTTTCTTTGGTTCTAACCGTGTAACAAAACGGTGCCTTATAGTAGTGAAATGTTTTAGATTCGAACGTTGATGGAGGAGAAGATGTTCCTGAAGAAGAAGCCGTGTGCAGAATCTGCATGGTCGAATTGGGAGAAGATTCAGAAGCCTTCAAGATGGAATGCATGTGTAGAGGCGAACTAGCTCTTGCCCACAAAGAATGTACAATCAAATGGTTCACCATTAAAGGAAACCGAACTTGCGATGTGTGCAAGCAAGAGGTTCAGAATCTCCCTGTGACACTTCTTCGCATGCAGAATTCGCAGCGTAGTCTTGGAGCTGCGGATACCGAGTCTGCTCGCTACAGGCAAGTCAAAATCCAAACAACACCCCTTGGAACAAAAACAAAAACGATTTTTATGGATATTATTAACCGTTACTCTTGTCCTTTCAGTGTGTGGCAGGATGTTCCAGTTCTTGTCATTGTAAGCATGCTTGCATACTTCTGTTTCCTTGAGCAGCTTCTGGTAAGGTTTAGTGAATTTCTGATTGGTACACTTCTCTATACCAAGTTTTTTGTAACAACTTCTTGTCCTAATATCATTTACAGCTGACGAAAATGAAATCCGGCGCCATTGCAATATCTTTACCATTCTCTTGCGTTCTTGGTCTTCTTGCCTCGATGACGTCAACAACAATGGGTAAAGAGTTTGACATAAAAAAAATCTGATTCCAAGCAGTTGATTTCGGTACTCAGATCATCAGTTTGATTGATCCCGTGTTCATTGTGGTGCAGTGAAGAAGCAATATGTCTGGATTTACGCCACAGTACAGTTCGGTCTTGTAGTTTTGTTCTCTCACATTTTCTTCTCATTGGTGAGAGTTTTAATCTTTCAAGAACAGAACAGGACACTCTGCTTCTTGTTCTATCTCCTAATCTATGATGGTTTACATGCGCAGGTTCACATGCAGCCGGTTGTGACCATTCTATTAGCCACATTGGTTGGGTTCGGACTCACCATGATCGGCGCCACGGGTGTAGCCGAGTTTTCAAAATGGAGGAGAAGCCATAGGACAGCTGAACCACCAGTTCAGACAACAGATGAGAGCATGTCTGGATCATGAAACTTGAAGCCAGAGATCCTGAATGTTCATCATATGTTCCAGTAGTATCAGTATATGGTATCGAATCAAACCATTTCGGTAGGAGTTTTCCGGACATGTGGAGGAGATCCATCTATTAGAGACTTGAGAACAGTTTGGTCATGTGAATTAAGTAGTGATGCCTGGATGAGCTTGAGGGTTTTTTTTTTGGTGGTCCCTTTTGTGTGAATGTGAGAGTGTATATCATCTGGTGCGTTCTATTTTTTTTTGTTTTATCTAGTTTCTTGTACAAAAACAAGTACAAAGGAAATTTAGCTGAAGTTGTACTTGTTTATAATTTGCGGCAATCTCTGCTCTTTTAGGTCCCATTATCGCCATCGATCTCTCAGAGAACCCCAAACAAAAAGCTCTCTCGCTAATCTTCAGACTCGTAAGTACTCCGATTTTTTAGTTTCCTGTGATTAGGGTTTTGGTTTTCTTAAGTGAAAATCAACCCTAAACCCTAGGAGAGGAAAGCTGATCCACAACCATGAACGTTCCTGATGATTTGGTATATAACTGCTTAGCCCGTGTCTCAAGATTGTATTACCCAACTCTCTCCTTTGTGTCCAAGAGATTCCGCTCTCTTCTTGCTTCAGCGGAACTCTACCAGACTCGAGCCCTCTTAGGGCGTACCGAGAGCTGTCTCTACGTGTGCTTATGGCTCTATCACGACTCTAACCCACGACGTTGGTTCACTCTCGGCCAGAGACCAAATAGCCCCGAAAAGATTTTGGTCCCGATTTCATCTCTTAATTTTCCATCTGCCATTGGGTCTGAGGTGGCAATGGTTGGTCCTAATATCTTTTGTGGCAAGAGTATGTGTCTGTTAAGAACTATACAGTGTGCTGTGCAGAAATTGCAATTGAAAAACGCCAAAAAGGGGTGATTTGGGGGACGGTAGAGTGGGTTGACGACGTGTATACAACCAATGCTCTGTTTAAGATAGATCATGCTCTTACTACTACCATTTGATGAACACGAGTCATGTTCATGTTCATGTCAAACATTGAACCAATATATCACTTTGTTTCGACTTTCAGCTTGATTTATTTATTTGCAAGTCATATGTTAGTGGACAATTCATAATTTTGAAAGTATCTAGGAGTACATCTTTATCCCCAAATACAAAATCACAAAAGAGACCTTGTACATTTTGAAAGTAACTCCATAATTCTCTTAATTTCTCAATGTCGTTCTTTCCCAAATTCCTATATTACACAAGGCAGACTCAGCAAAGAGCAAACGACAGTGACATATATTCATTGAATTACATAAATTTGGTAAATTTAATATAAGGTATATTCATCATCATGTATGGACATCAACATGGAACTAACTCAACTGCAGGAAGAAAATTGGAATAAACTCTCGTAGAAGATCACAGAAATACAAATAGAAACAAATGACACACACCGACTCGGGTGAAAACGGTAACAGCAGAGGCAAGAAAAAAATAAATCAATAGTTTCCTTTTCCAACAAGAAACATAGAGATATATATAATTTGCGACAATCTCTGCTCTTTCATATCCCATTATCGCCATCGATCTCTCTGAGAACCCCAAACAAAAAGCTCTCAATAACTTTCACTTTATGAGGGAAATTCTCTCTCTATCTCTTCAGGGTTTTCGTGATTAGGGTTTTGGTTTTCTTAAGTGAAAAGCAAACTTAAACCCTAAGAGAGAAAAGCTGATCCACAACCATGAACGACGGAGAAGAGCCACTTTAAAAAAAAGACGGATGACAGTTCTGATATCCCAATGCGTCTGAGTGGTTGGTCCTAATATATACGCTATTGGCGGATTAGTATATCGTAGGGATAGTAAAGCTACTGCTTCGTCTAGCGTCATGGCGTGAGGCCCCAATGATGCAGCTGTCCCGTGCGTTCCCTTCTGTTTGCTTCCTTGATGAGAAAGTATATGTAACAGGCGGCTGCAATAATCTGATCGATTCAACGAATTGGACGGAGGTTTTTGATACCAAGACCCAAACTTGGGAGTGTTTTCAGATCCGTAGCGAGAAGATATGTGGAGTATATAGATACAAAAGCGTCAGGTGCGAGGGAACTATCTATGTGAGGTCTGAGGAAACGGGTGTGACTTACAAGCTGCATAGAGGTAGATGGAGATAGCGTTGAATTCTGAATGGGGTTATTCATCAATTTATTGTGTGGTACAGAACGTGTTACGTTCTACCGGCAGATATAGCGTTGAACTCTGAACGTGTTACAAAATGAAGAGAGTCCATCCCTCTCCTTCATCCATGAAAACTCCCTAAGCTCTCGACAATGATGTGTTTGTTTTCTTGAACTTTGATGTGCCAACAAACAGATTTGTAACTCTGCCTCCATACTCCTGGTATAAACACTCCACTTATACTTCCTGTGATACTTCACATCGGCGAGAACAAATTGTTGCAGGCTTCTTGACTCGTGCATCATCCTCATTTTACACTTAATTGTTGCAGGCTTCTTGACGGTATCTTTGAGTCCGACATTGGTGTTCCGAGGTTGCTCTGTCCACCTGTGAGCGAAGTCGGAAATTTCAGATTACAACTGACGAAAACTCAGAGAAAAAAGCAAGGAAATGGGCGGTGACTAGCTTCTACCTTTGTGTCGATTTCATCCATCAGAGAAACTTGCCTATCCAGTTCCTGCATCTATCATGCCGTGACATGGATCATCAACTCAAGCTCAAGTACTTAATAAGGGAAGTGGATTAAGAGCAACAAATATATTATCATTTATTTATTATAAATAATATATATTATTATTAATTAACTTTTATCAAAAATTTTATATCTACAAATATGTGCGAACCAACCACCTAATTTGAAATAAATACAAAACAATACAGAAAAACCCATTCCAAAATCTTTAGAGTTATAAAGACATATTCACACAAACTAGTTATGAATATTAAAGCGAAAAAGTGTCATGAAATTGTTTATACATAAACTTGGGGTAAAATTTGAAATGTTAAAAATAAACCTTGCAAATGAAGGTTTTTGCTTGGTTCCAATGAATTATGGCGCCAAAAGGTTTTTGCTTGGTTCCAATAACTAAGAAGTTATTGAGATTCTCAAACTTTGATCTAAAACCGAGAGTTCTTAACACTTTATATTATATGTAATAGTAGTTCTAATGTTTTTCCTTTTTTCACATGTGAATGTGAAGTAGTGTATCTAGAGGAATTAACAAACTGCAATATAATTGTTTTGAAAAGAAAACTAGGAAAACACACTATGCGGAAACGCATGGGATAAGGGGCAGCCACAAGCTGTAACCCTAGTGAGAGTTTTCAAGGTCTCGAGTCTAGTCTTGGACACTTCACAGAAGTCAAGCTCAAGGTCCTGGAGTGGTGTAGCACATGACCTAACCACTTTGATGACAGCATTGTCATTAAAGTTTCAGCAAGAATGCCAACAAAAAAAGATATATTATTAAGTAGATAACGTTAACAAAAAATCATTGTTGTATTTTATCTAGGACGTAAGTGAGAAAAGTAAAACAATGAGGAATATAAACGAACTTACCTTATCTGGCACCACCACTATGTCAACCCAGGTGCCATCAATAACAAACATAAGCAAAAGTTGTAGAATTTGCTAATGAAATAATAGTAAGTTTGAATGTTAAAGCGAAATCATTTTACTCTCATCAGCCTCTTCTGATGGAAGTGATGCAAAGTTGGTACAAAATCCATTAAATAAGACAAACTTTCTTTATATTCTTTTGTCACATTCGGTCAAAGATATTGACTGAAATATTGTGGAAGAGAATGTTTAGAAATCTTGCATAGAATTTTAAATTACATTGCAAACATTAACTAAAATTATAATTCAAAGAAAAACTAGGTTATGAGCCACATAATGTGTGGTCTGATCGATACGAATAGTCACTGCTCTTTGAGTCGATTTGTACGCCTTCCACCATCTATAAGAAACGTATTTCACGTCTTTCTCGGGCTTAGGAGTGTGTCGATCGATCAGACTGGCATTGTCCCAAGGAGTGAGACTGAAAGCACACCATCTTTGGTGGTGGGCGGGAATAGAACTTGCCTGTTGTTCACCGATGATAACTTATTGTCTCTCGACTTCTATGAAAAGCTCGATAGCCTCCATCTGCTTTCCTGTGACCAGTTCACACCTGGTGCCCTCACGAAGCTGGTGAAGAAGCTAGAGTCTCTATCGCATCTCCATTTGCAGGCATGCAGCAACTTTGGTGACGCCTCTGTCATTGAAGTTGTTCAGGCGTGCAAGGCACTCAAACATCTTGAACTTGCCTTCTATGAGGTGTCCGCGAACAGGATCCAGACGCTAGGTATCCTCACGCGCTCCGTTACTGCTACAGGCTGCCCATTGTCCAAGGCATTCCTTGAGTCGTTCCGTTCACGATCCTGTTCCCGTCGATATATAGTTCTTTTCTTTTGGTTTTATTTTCCGAAACACTTAGGGGGTGTATTGGATTAGGAATTTCAGATGATTTGGTAGGTTTTTTAAAATTTCCTGTTATTGAATCAATGATTTCTAAATGTCTTATCAAATTTGATGTTATTGAACTTAGAATTTGTATAAAATTAATTAAAGTCATTCAAAGTTTCATGTTATTCAATCAATAATTTGTGAAAAGTAAATCAAATTCACTGTTATTCAAAATCAAACATTTTTTTGGCAGAATAGTTATGAAAAGGATTTGAGGAAATTTTACATCCATTTTTACTCATAAACAATGATTCAAAACTGCTCACCTAAAGAGGTGTTTTTTCGAGAGACTTCAACATAATTATATTTTTTTATCAAAAATAATAATTTTTTTTTATCTTTAACAGAAGCATCTCTCTTCTTCGTCCTCTTCTTCATCTTCTCAATTTGCAGATTTTTGAGTTAAATCAATCGTTTCTCTCAATAATAAATCGTTTCTCAATCTTCAAAGAGTTTTATCTATTTTTATCCTTATGGCGTTAATGGTGTTTGTTTAAGATCGTGATTGAGATTAAGCTTGAGAGATCCAGAAAAATGGCAATCGTCTTCGCCGTCGGTGTTGCAATCACAGTCTCCACGAGGCGTGAATGAAGATATCTCTGAACTCACAAAGACATTAGAAGTCAGCTATGGGGTGTGGCTTCTTTCTTTGCGCTATCGCCGCTTCTTCTCATCACCCGAAGAAAAATCAGACGGACGATCATGCGGAGGAGATTCGGAAGTCATCGGATCTTGGTGAGGGTGACGAGGATCTGATTGCTGGGATCACGAGTGTTTTCATGGAGATTGGAGGTAGATTCAGAACAGGATGTCGAAGCTCTCCGAAAACTTACCGGTATCGGAGATTACAAAAATTGCTTCGAATTTCTAGCAATTGGGTGCGAATTCAAATTTTCCTTTCCCTGACGAGAACCAAAACTTTGATGGTACGTTTTCAAGTCACATCATCTTGTTAAATCTGTAATCAGATGTTCACTTTGAATAAGTGAATGATTCAAATGTTACCATATTCGTCATCTTGTTTTTATGAAAACCATAATGATTCACTTAAGTCGTGATCTTTTGTTGTGACCCGTATGAACCTGTATGGAGGTTTTTGGATTGTGAATTTCTCTATATTCTTGAAATCAAAACTTATTCAAGTACTGCTTAATATATTAGTAGCTTTATAACTTGTTTGTAGGCTGAGATTATGCTGTGTTCAATGCAGGTGAGAACAATGAGTCTATATACTACAAACGAGGGCCAAAAACAGAGTTTCCTGTGATCATGAGGTAATGATTGCTTCGTACTTTACCAACTTCCCTTTTGTTTATACTGAAATATTGAGTATATGGGTGTATGGAAGGTACCGTTACTGACATGATCTCAAATATATGCCTTGTTGATTTCTTTATGGGCTGTTGAGAAAAAATATGTGGGCTTCTCGTTTAGGTTTTTTAGGTTTAGCTTGATAGGTGTACGTGTATATATATGATGAATAACTTTTTTTTTGTATCAGAGTTGAAAGGGGAGGGACTTACCAAATTGCTATTAGTGCGTCAAGGTTCAATTGTTTTTCTGTCAAAGTAAGTATTCTTTTCAAATTACTTTTGGATGATGTTTGTCTTGGAATAATGTTCATATAATTTGGATGATCTTTTGATGCTATATATCAGAACTCATCATGTATAATATGATCGTTTTGGCAGTCACTTTCAAGTCTGCTTAATTATTTTGCTTATCAGATTTGGTTTTAAATAATGTAGATTGATTAATTGTTTGCTTCTTACGATCTGTATTGTATTCTATAACTAGGTACTCCCACACAATGGGAGATCCACAAAATGCAAAAGGTAAAGGTCAATATCATCATTGGTCTGAACCTCAACATAAATTGTTATTACGGCTACTAGTGGATGCAATCAATCAAGGTTTCCGTCAATCTGATGGTAAATTCAACAAACTCACGATAGAGACAAGAATACTATCAACTCTAAACCAAGAGCTTGGAACTTCAATAACCTATAACACAGTATAGAAATAGGACAAAGATATTGAAGGCTAGGTACCAAAGTTTTGCAGAATTTCTTCGTTGTAGTTCTGGTTTTGGGTGGGATCCCGAAATAAAAAAATTCACAGCAGATGATGAAGTATGGAATGTCTATTTGAAGGTAGAAAACTATGACATGAACTTTATGAATATGTTAGTGTTGCTTATATATGCTTCTTATTATAACGATAATTGTTGTTATTTCTCTGTTTAAATAGGCTCATCCAGATAAGAAACATCTGCGTGATGATTCCTTCGAAGATTATGAGGAGTTAAAAGCGATATATGGTCAAAATATTGCAAGTGGACAAAATGCTGTGGGATTAGGAGATCCCGCTCATGCAGATACCTACCAAGTTGAAGCCATCGAGAGGACAAATGATATGGATTTTGCTGAAGGGATAATACAGCAGCAAGCATCTGAGCACGAAGTGTTTTCTTCGTCATCAGAAAAAAGGAAGGGAGAAAAGCTTCCCCAAAGAAAGAAAGCTAGAACTGATTCATATAACATGAACATAGTTGATGATGAAGTGACAGAAATCAGTAGCCAGATCTTTGGCATGATACAAAAAAGATGGTAAAAAGAAGCTGAAGAAAAAGAAGCTGAAGACAAAGCTAACAATATTTGGGATGCTATCAAAGAAATTCCTGATTTGGATGACGATTTGCGTTACGAGGCGATGACGCTTGTTCACAGCTTAGGTATGAAATCTGGATTCGTTAATATGTCCATAACAGACCGTTGTAGATGGATCAAACGAAACCTTCGTAAATCAAGTGGTTGAATGAGACGCCATGGATTGAAGTCATTAATGAATATGGTTTTTGATTTTAGAGCTTTTTTTTCCTTCTTTGCCTATTTGGTATGAGTTTTAGTTTTTATGTTTAACGAATTGCTATGGTTTTTATTCTTTGTTTGAACTACACTTTGTGTTTTATTTATATATTAGTTTTTATTTGAAGCCATACCAGTTAATAGTGTATTATGTATCTCTTGACCTTTTCCTTATTCTCTTTGATAAGTTAACAAAAACGTGGATTTGCATGTCTTCATAAAGTTTAACGTTCTTAAATCTTAATAGTGGCTGTTGCAGACAAAATGGGAACTCTTTATACTGGCTGGAGAAGAATCTATTGTATTCTATTACTCCCGAAAAATATACCTCTGTCAAAAAATGTTTACAATTGCATTGGTTCTATCGTATCTGCAGAAAATTCTGTGTTAGCGCCTAAATTTTTGGCGGTCAATTTTTTTTAGTGGCTAAGTTGTTTAAGGAAAATTAGGAGTTAATAGTGATTTGTTTGACATTATTCAGTTATTCTCTTTTCTCTTTACTTGAGGGTTCCGCACCTCCGCCGTTTTCTGGTGAGTTTGTGAATCCAATGGATCGCATTGTTTCTGAAAGTGAAGAGATACAAGCTAGAAAAAAAAGAAAAATGATAGCAAACTTCAAAACAGACATTGATATTCTATTACTGATTTTGTCAATTATTGCGAAGATCCGTTCTTCACATATACTGCAAATACAACGCCCAATTAGAAGACCAACTACAAGACTTGGAAATGAATACATACAAAAGGCGTTGGTTGAAGATCCTCAACATTTTTGACATCTTTATCGTATGTATCCAGATGTGTTCTTGAAGCTATGCTCTATTATTAGAGTAAAAATGGGATTGAAAGATACGAGAAATGTTTCGGTTGAAGAAATGCTTGCCACGTTTTTGTTCATCGTTGGTCAAAATTCTAGGTATATTCAAGCTCAAGATAGATTCAAGAGGTCACGATTCTCAATAAGTACCAGCTTTAACACAATTCTTAAGGTGTTAAACGCACTTGCTCCAACTTACATGGTTAAACCCGAAACTACGGTGCCTACAAAAATAAGAGAGAGCACACGATTTTATCCTTATTTTAAGGTATGAATTGCTAATTTCTAGTCCTTTTTCAATGTAAGCAAATTTTGACATTTACCTTCTATTTGTCTTAGGATTGTGTGGGAGCTATTGATGGAACTCATATTCTTGCCATGATAACGGGAAAAGATTCAGCAGCCTATCGCGACCGAAAAGGACAATTATCGCAAAATGTTTTAGCTGCATGCAATTTTGATTTAGAATTTATATATGTTCTTAGCGGATGGGAAGGATCAGCTCATGATGCAAAAGTATTACAAGATGCGTTAACAAGAAATACTAACAGGTTAAAAGTTCCAGAAGGTACGTATCTTATTAAGATTAAAAAAAGATTGGACTATTTTAATGTATTTTTCACTTTTATTTATATAATTTATGTAATTTCAGAAAAGTTTTATTTGGTTGATTGTGGATATGCCAATCGTCGTAACTTTCTAGCTCCATTTCGAAGTACTCGTTATCATCTCAAAGAGTTTATGGGACAAAGAAATGATCCTGTAAATCAAAATGAGTTGAACCATCGTCATTCTTGCTTGCGAAATGTAATAGAGAGGATTTTTGGCATCTTCAAATCAAGATTTCTCATCTTCAAATATGCACCACCGTTTCCATATAAGAGGCAAGCAGAGTTAGGCCTTGCGTGTGTGGTTTTACATAATTATCTTCGTAAAGAATGTCGTTCAGATGTATTTGAAGAAACTGTTGTTGAAGGAAGTGAAGATAATGAAAGAGATGATGAAGAAATTAATGATGATGAAGTTTTTCAAGGTACCCAAGAACAGCAAAGAGTGAATGCTAATAACTGGAGAGCAAATATAGCGGCAACCATGTGGACAGATGCTATGGGATCCTAAAGCAACAATAAATTTACTTTGGATTTATCTTTTTTTTTTTGTTTTAGATTGTTTTCTTTCTTTTTTTTCTTATGTTTTTGTGGATTTTTTACACTAGAGATTGTTTTTTCTGTTGGCTTACTTTGGATTTTTGTTGGTTCACAACAATTTCTTTTCTTTTTACTTTGGATTCACGTTAGCACTGTTCCTGAGGAACCTCCACCTGTTCACGACCATGGGATGATCATGATGACGACGACTACATTCCTAATCAGGCTATAAGACAATCTTCATGGGATCCATACTCATATATCATCAGGTTCCAAGTGATCAAGCTTTTATACAAACAAACAAACAATCCGGTTAACAAAGTCGTTAAGAGTGATCAATCGATAATGGAGGAGAAACAAAAAGCAAGTTATTACCATGACACCAACGGCTGAATAGTTGAGAACCAAAACGGTGTAAAGGAAGTTGATGAACAGATTTTAGATTTTAGATTACAATGCAATGATTTTTTCTCAGCATTGCTAATCTCGGAGTGATCGCTTGTTACCACCGGTAAATAACTGTATAAGAGAACAGATTTTAGATTATCCATAAGAGAGACACCATTAGCTAAAAGAGTGAAATTTACTCTGTGAGCCGGCGATCATCAGAGCTGACTGAACAAAAAACATTATGTAACCAGGATACAATCCCTGAAAATCAGTTTAGATAGGGGAAAAAGAACAGAATTTTATATACAAATGTGAGTTTCTCCATCACTGAAAAGCAATTGAAAATAATCAGAATTTGTTTAACCACTGAAACCCAAACCAAAGATGATAATCGAAGCCTCTTCACTCTTAACGACTTTGTTTATCAGGTTCCAAGTGATCAGGCTTTCATGACAATAACTTGCTTTTTATTTCTCCTCCTGAAAGTATTCTCCGCATACTTCGAAATCCTAAGCGTTTTGCAGGTATATTGAGTCTTGTTCCCCTTAACACAAATCATAATATCAAAATCCGATTTCAAACTATCATCATCGTCTTTCACGATTCAGTTATTAGCACATAAGAATTTTCTTCTTTTTATGTTAGATTGTTTTCTAGTTTTTCTTTTTGAGTTTTTAAATATCTGACCAAATCACTTCAAATTCTTATAAATTTTAAAATAAAGTCTCACCAAATCACTGATAAATGTTTAATATTTATTTTTAAATCTCACCAAAATCATTAGATATACTCAAAACCCACCTAAATCTCACCAAATATAAAAACCCACCAAATCTTATGAAATTCTTAATCCAATACACCCCCCTTACTGTTTCCCTCACGCAGACATTCCATTTCCGTACTCGATAGTTTTTTTTTGTTGGGTTTTGTTTTCCAAAACATTACGACTCATACCCTAAAGAAACTTTTCCAGCTCACCAGCTCTAAAATTTGATAATGTTTTGTCCAAACTTAATCTTCTCCACACCACAAACGTATTCAATGTATCGTTATGGTAAATTGATTTCTGTAAATTTTGAACATACATTATGTGAGAACAAATGTAGAAATCTGGGATAAAATTGATAATCATCGTATAATCCGACCAAAGTGTGGTTCCTAACGCTGAAGTAGTAGTAACCAACGACACCAAACCTAAACAATAAAACTAGTGCCATTAAGCCCACCTAATACATACGATAGGCCCAACAGGCCCAATAATAAAATATGCGAGCGAGTCTATCAGAACGCAGAGGCTCATCGCAGCTCCTAGACACTTCGTAGCGGATGCTCACGAACCAACTGAGTTTCACGCTGTAGACATACCGGAGAGAGTTATGGGTCGCGATCTCAAAACTAGGAAAGCTCTAGGTCCAAGGAGAAGATCACTGCAAGGTTGTAGGATGGATCCGGATAGAAGAAGGTGGGATAAATTTTCAATTTTGCTTCACTTAATTGTCTAATTGTCTCAAAAAAAAAAAAAATTAGGCCTTTGTTTAGACGTTAGGTGGTTGTATATACCGCTCTAATCTCGGGATATTCGGTGGATGGAGGCATTTCTAAAATTTGATGGTGTCACTAAATTTTGGTTTAAATATTCAATTAAAGGCTACCCATCACTAGGATTTCTCAAAAGAATCAAATCAAGATCGTTGAAAAAAATGGAACAAATTTGGAGGAATGTGATGAATGCAACAATGTCATTATCTTGGTCAGCAGTTACGTGTAATGGTGTAAGTGTGAAATGCAGATTTGTCACTTGATAAAACATGATGAATGTAATTAATCGTACTGTTTGTATGTCTCTATTTGTGAAGGTAGCGTGACATATGCAGCATCGCTAGCAATAACTAGTCAACAAAACATGTGCGGCCGGTATATAAAGATCTTGTAGCAGCATATTTTAAAAGTTAATGTTAACAATGAAGCTTAAAGATGACGTAGTCTGCATATACAAGCATTCGTACAATTATCTATAATTTTTATCTGGTTAACATTTGATATGTAGCCAACTTTATAACAACACAAAAAACTTCATACTGTATAATGCATATGTTTTTTGTTTGTTTGTGCACGTGTGCAATGGTTTATCTGTACATTCTTCTTCTCTAGAAAGGAATCGAGTACTAGTTGATATGTCAAATTCATAAAAACAAGCTCATACTCACATTGAGATCAAGTCCACATAGAGACAAAAAAAAAAAAAAAAAGAGTTTGAATTACATTAGATTAGATTAAATAAAATCTACAATGAAGATAATATTTCACGTAGTGACAAGTAAAATAGATTATCAAGTATTTTGAACCAGTACAACTTGAAATGAATTTTTTTTTAAGAATTATCAAGTGTTAATTTATAATTTTTTTACTATATACACATTTACAGATTTATGCTAGCTAGTTTCTTCCATATTAAAAGAATACAAACATATAATTTATCAAAATACTTGTCCAAGTGTGGTAAAAGAGTAAAACAGTCGGTTTGACATTCCTGAAAAGATAAAGGAAAAGAGTAAAACAGTTGGTTTGATATATTCCTGAAAAGATTACGAAAAGAGGAAAAAGGAAAATAAATCAAGTAATAGTTGTCCTTTCCAAGAAGAAACATAGAGATAGAGATATATATATTTATATATATAATATGCGACAATCTCTGCTCTTTTAGATCCAATTATCGCCATCGATCTCTCAGAGAACCCAAACAAAAAGCTCTCTCAGCTTTCTGAGGGAAACTCTCTCGCTAATCTTCAGACTCGTAAGTACTCCGATTTTTTTATTAGGGTTTTGGTTTTCTTAAGTGAAAAGCAAGCGTAAACCCCCTAGGAGAGAAAAGCTGATCCACAACCATGAACGGAGAAGAGCCACCTTTTAAAAGAAGCCGGGTGACACTTCTGATGCTTCCTGATGATTTGGTATTTAACTGCTTAGCCCGTGTCTCAAGATCGTATTACCCAACTCTCTCCTTAGTGTCCAAGAGATTCCGCTCTCTTCTTGCTTCAGCGGAGCTCTACCAGACTCGAACCCTCTTAGGGCGTACCGAGAGCTGTCTCTACGTGTGCTTATGGGGCTATGGCGACTCTAACAAACGTTGGTTCACTCTCTGTCAGACACCACATAGCTCCAAAAAGATTTTGGTTCCGATTTCATCTGCCCGTGACTGGTCTGCTGTGGTAGTGGTTGGTCCTGATATATACGCTATTGGCGGAGAAATAGAAGGTAGGGATAATAATGCCACTGCTTCGTCTAGCGTCATGGTCATGGACTGTCGTTCTCACAAATGGCGTGAGTCCCCAAGCATGCGGCTGGCCCGTACGTTCCCGTTCCAATCTGCTTGCGTCCTTGATGGGAAAATATATGTAGCAGGAGGCTCCAAAGATCTCGATTCAACGAACTGGATGGAGGTTTTTGATACCAAGACCCAAACTTGGGAGTTTTTGCAGATCCCTGGCGAGGAGGAGATATGCGGAGGCTGTTATTACCAAAGCCTCAGTTACGAAGGAACTATCTATGTGAAGTCTAATCAGGGAAAGGATGTGACTTGCAAGATGCATAAAGGTAGATGGAGAGCGGAAGACTTGGCGTTGAATTCTGGATGGCTTTCCGTTGGGCCATGGTGTGTGATACAGAACGTGTTCTTCCGTTTTTACATGCGGAAGATCGAGTGGTATGACTCCAAAAACAAAGTATGGATACCTTTGAAGGGCTTGGAAACGTTGTTGCCTAGGTTAGCTGGTGTGAATAAAGTGACGGATTATGGTGGTAAAATGGTTATTTTGTGGCAAGAGCCTGATGTCGTGTCTGATATGAGCCATCAATTATGGTGTGCAGAGATTGCGATTGAAAAACGCCAAAAAGGGGAGATTTGGGGGATCCTAGAGTGGTTTGACATTGTGTCTTCAGCCAGTGGGCTATTAAAGATAGATCATGCTCTTACTACTATCATTTGATGAACATGAGTCATGTATGTGTGATTCAACTATGCAAGGAATATATCACTTTGTTTCGACTTGTTTTTTTTTTTTTTTTATTTATTAACAAATACTGCTTAGATGAAAGACTTTTGATTAAATTGTATCAATGTGTTATCACTTGTCATACGCCAGTGTCACCGCTTACACCCTCTCACACGTTTGTCATTTGTATTTCGACCAGTTTCTATGCATCATAATGAGATTTGATATATAAACTTGCAGGGAAGAATCATCAATATAGCGTCAGTTGTTGGTCTCATTGGTAATATTGGCCAAGCAAACTACGCTGCTGCAAACGTACATTTTTTTTTTTTTAAGGCACCCCAAACAATAATCTCTCAATAACTTTTACTTTATGACGGACGCTCTCTCTCTCTTTCTCTTCAGGGTTTTCGTGATTAGGGTTTTGGGTTTTCTTAAGTGAAAAGCAACCTCAAACCCTAAGAGGGAAATGCTGATCCACAACCATGAACGACGGAGAAGAGCCACCTTTAAAAAAAAGACGGTTGACATTTGTAAATCTGTGATGCTTATAAACTGCTTAGCCCGTGTGTCAAGATTGTATTACCCAACTCTCTCCTTATAGTACAAGAGATTCCGCTCTCTTGTTGCTTTTCAACGGAGCTTTACCAGACTCGAACCCTCTTAGGGAGAGTTGTCTCCACGTGTTATTGTTCTATCAAGACTCTAACCCACGACAACGTTGGTTGACTCTCTGTCGGAGCTCCGAAAAGATTTTGCTCCCCATTTCATCTTTTAATTTTCCATCTCCCAATGGGTCTGAGGTGGCAGTGGTTGGTCCTAATATATACGTCTAGCGTCATGGTCATGGACTGTCGTAGATACAAAGACCCAAACTTGGGAGTTTTTGCAGATTCCTAGCGAGAGGATCTAGATACAGAAGCGTCAGGTGCGAGGGAACTATCTATGTGAGGTCTGAGGAAACGGGTGTGACTTACAAGCTGCATAGAGGTAGATGGAGATAGTGTTGAATTCTGAATGGGGTTATTCATCAAATTATTGTGTGATACAGAACGTGTTCTTCCGTCTCATGCTGAAGATCGAGTGGTATGACTCCAAAGACCGATTATGGAAAACTTTGAAGGGTCTGGAAATTTTTGTGCGTAAGCCATCTGGTCTTGTTAAGCCGAGGGATTTTTGTGGAAAAATGGTTGTTTTGTGGCATGAGCATGAGTCTGTTGAGCTACGGTGTGCAGATATTGCGATTGAAAAAAGCCAAAAAGGGGAGATTTCGGTTTGACGTTGTTGTGTTTACAACCAGTGAGCCATTTAGTTTAATGCATGCTCTTACTTCTACCATTTGATGTATGCATTTGATTCATGTGAACATACATTCACCTATGCAAGGAATACAGTATATCAACTTCGGGCAGAATAATTGTACTGTATTTGTTTTAGGAAGAAAAGTCAAATGTTATTATTAATTTCAGCTTGATTATTCTCATTACTTTTCTCCACGTAGGATTAGCCTCGGTGGAGGGCCAATTCAAAAGCTCATATTGCCCTTCGTTCCCACATTCCTCAGTACACACGCTTAGCTTCAGGGCACATCGACAGTGACATGAATTACATAGACTGGGTAAATTTAATATAAGATATATTCATCATGTATAGACTCAATTGCAAGAAGAAACAACTTCAACAGTCTGGACTTTGGACAGCTGTAATAAACTCTCGTAGAAAGATCACAGAAATACAGAAAGAAACATGCACACACACACTGACTCGGGTGAAAAAACGGTATTAGCAGAGGGCAAGAGAGAGACAACTCATGGCTCCTTTCACGTTAACCTCATTACTTCAGTACACTGCAGATGACAAAAAAGGTTTGGTTCGTTAAAGAAGCATTCTCTTCACTGTATGTATCTGTCTGTTGCGTCTTTTATGTACCAGACAAACTTACTTGTACAAGTATGCAGCGATACCCAGCACAATACACAACAAAACAATATCGATGCAGAAGTTCCGGCTTGACCTCAGCTGCAATCAAAAAGGCCATGTTTTTTTTTTTGCTTATGTAAGGAATCGAAAACAGACCGGATGTGGCTGAAAAGTTCCAGAAAAAGAACTTCTCGAATCTCAAATCACCTGGTTGACGGTATCTTTGAGCCTGACATTGGTGTTCTTCAGATCCGAGGTTGCTCTGTCCACCTGTAAGGGAAGTCAGAAAGTTCAGATTACAACCGACGACAGTTCAGAGATAAAGCAAGGAAATGGGCGATAATTTCTACCTTTGTGTCGATTTCATCCATCAAAGGAACTTGCCTATCCAGTTCCTGCATGAATCAGTGCCGTGACATGAATCATCAGCTCAAGCACTTAATAAGGGAAGTGGGTAAGAGCTGCATTTCATCAAACTCACCTCGTTCATATCAGAAGCCATGTTCTTCAAAGCGTCCAAACCTTCGGAGATCATGTCCAGACCTTGTTCCTGATACATACTCAAGTAGACAAGTCATATATGTATATACCACCAGAGCTTAAAAGAGTAGAATGCAACGAGATAGAATATCACTTGCCTGCTTCATTTTCCGCATCTCATACTCCTGTCTGAATTGGCTGGATTCATGTGATTCTTGAAAGTAATCATCATCAAAACGCCCATCTAACATCCACAATAGAGGTGACTTAATTAGTCATCTTGATTGCTCAAACGGCATTAAATAGGATACACAGTTCATATGATTCCGGGATAAACAGAACTACACAACACGGAACAAGCTCATGCAATTGATGAACGCGTAAGTACAATCTACAAGACATAAAAAGAAAAGCTACTTCAGTTGAATCACCTGAATCAAATTTGATATCAGGACGAGATGCTGTTGCAGGAGTCCAAGCACTAGTGCTTTTCGGACCACCGGCTGTCCCATCAGGTATGGCTTCAATCCTGGCCGGAAGCGCAAGCACCAAATCATTTCTCGCGGCAAGCTCTTCGGTTGTAAGACCCTTAACCTGAACAATGTATAGATTGCCACCGAGTTTACACAAGTTAATCCTTCAAACATGTTTCTAGTTAATCTCAGCCAATGAACTACGATCCGAACGTGGTTACTACCAAAACATCTACTAGGTTGGCCAAATCTAAAACCCACAGGAACAACTACCATTCTCTATGTCTCTTTCTCAATCAGTGTTAGAAGATTTACAAGCTTTGATTATATCATCCTATCCTAAGAACAAGAATCATATAAGCTCAACCAAGCTACTGATATAACTCGAATCAATCTAGCTGATACATGAACGCAAGTGTAAATCATGAGAAAGGAAGCTTACCCGCTTGACAGCAAGTCTCTGCAGCTTAGGAACTTCCTCGGACAATCGAGCTTTGGTCCGGCGGATCTCAGCATTCATTGCAACAGCAGAAGCCCTGTTCTTCTCCTTGGTAACAAGTTCAGCTTTCTGCAAATCGAAAATACATGGCAACCCTCATTCAAAGAAGAACCTTTGAAGCACTTTCCCATCATACTCAGAAAACGCAGAGAGCATAGATAAGATAACGCATCAGGAGCTAATCTCGAGATTTTCACTAAATTGGACTCATGCAAACTTCTCCGCCTTTAAAGTCCAGACCGGAAAAATATCAAATTCTATGTCCAACATTGTCAAAGCACACAGATTTGAATTCACCGAGATTTATCAAAACCGACTCAAACAAAATCGATGATTTATCAAAACCGAATCAAACAGAAATTAGGAATAATCACCTCGAGAGCGGTCTCGATTTGGGTCTCAAAAGCGCCATAGAGGCGAGCAAAAGCATCATCACCGGAGATATTGGCCTCCCGCTGTTTGTCGACATCGTACTTGTCGTACTTCTTACAGATCGAGTCAATTCTAGTCAGAATGTCGATCACGGTCATCTTCTTCCAGTTATGTTACCAGACACTTCCAGATCTAAAGGAGAGAATCTCTGATTCGAAGAGGAAGAAGAGTTTAGTTTATGAAATTTGAATCTCTTTCTGTTCGTGCCCGAGTTCTGGAGAAGTGGTTCGACGACGAAAGAGCCAAAAAGAAAAATTTACAGACTGGAGAAATATTTATGCATCACCACCCCCTACTTTTGTTTCCCTCGTAATGACCCCAAAATTTATCCGGGAGCCAAAATATTCCTAGTTTGGATGGACCTACATAAATTTCCATAAAACATGTAATGATGTGTTTAATTAGGATCAGATGGCTAGGATTACTCTTTGAAACGTACATTTATTATATGTGAGCAATGTTACAAATATAGCTAAACATATTAAAAAGCATTAATTTACCAAAACTGTTTTTTTAGGACTTTTCATGGTTTTATTATTTCGTTTGATTATAATTTTGTTCTTCATATTAAGACCGGACCGGACCATGTAAAAACGTCACCGTATTTGTTTGTCAAGCGGGGTGTTGATTTGTATATAGAGTACAATGCGTGCGAAAATCAAAGATAGTATAAAATGTGCCTCTAATTTAGTATTTTGCATACTAAGCCCGTAGACCAGCGGTGGCATTATTTATTGCTTAGTCAGTAGTCTTCTTAGAAAATAAATTAGTCCGATATTTTCTCCGGCGACTCGTGCTGATCTCTCGGGAAGCTCCGAAACGCAGCCATGGCCGAAGAATTCTCTGTAAGATCTAAATCCACTCTCTGAATTCATTTGTCTACTTGTGTTTCCTTGTTCGAACACTGAGATCAAATATCTCGTTACTCACGATGATATGAAATCGCTAGATCTGCATTTGACTCTCTCGCAATTCTGCTTTCCTATAATCTTATGATACTCTCTCCCACGCGGCCACGCCTGGCTCGTAATCTTGTTTGCTGCTTCGGGTCTGATCTTCTTTGTTTAATAATACTTCAATGCTTGATGTTCCGGTTCTTAGATTGAGATTGCGAGCGCTTTGGGTCAATTCACATGATTATAACGATTATCAAATTCCATGAAATTAGCATCATTTCATGACCTACCAGAATCGGATCGGTGAAGTTTTGTCTTTAGTTCAACTTTTGTTTTTTCTGAAAAAATCATGTCTTTGGTCACTTCTCTTCTCTCACATTGACCAAAGAATGTCAATTCATGTCGCTCCTTTGGTTATTATAACGTGCATATTGATCCTGTTTCGGTTTCATGACTTTCATATGCTTGTCAAATGTCAATGTTAACCTGCATAGGTTATTCGTTGACATTACTCGTCTTGGTTGAAAGTGATCGGACAAGAAAACTGAGAAGCTAGTTAGGATGTTTCCAAATTATCTTACAAAGTCTGCAACATCCCTTTAAGCATATGTTTTGTGTTCTGTCGTCTCGCTCGGTCTTGTTGTTTCCTTATTGAATTTGGATTTCATTTATGAAAAAATGACAATGAAACAGGGAAAAATCGAAAGCAAAGGGCTAAACCCGGGATTGATCGTACTTCTTGTGATTGGAGGGTTGCTAGTGACATTCCTTGTAGGAAACTTCGTCCTTTACACATACGCGCAGAAGAATTTACCTCCGAGGAAGAAGAAGCCGCTTTCAAAGAAGAAGATGAAGAAAGAGAAGATGAAGAAAGGCGTTCAAGTTCCTGGCGAGTAGTGTTTCCTTATTATATAGCTGAATTAGATTTTATATGACTCTCTCTACTTTTGAATGTTTCGGTATTACCGTGATGTTTTCTTGAATTGACAACAAATCCTCAACTCTATAAGCTTTGCATGAGATACTGTCATGCCGAATTTGGAATAGCTTTTAATTTTTTGGTGTTGTGATAAAGTTCAATTCATAAATTTCAAAAGATTCTTCCAATTAAGTATGATTGTGTGAATGGATGTGTAACAAAGAATGATGGAAAGGAAGTGTTACGCTGTCTTTGACCAGAATACAGAACAATAGAACACAAAACAGTATTAAACAAAGATTATATAGGGGATTAATTAGAAAAGTCAACAAAGACACACACTAACAGCTTGAGAATACACAAGAAGTTTAGAAGTGCGCAAATCCATAATCATTAGCTAACTCTTCTACTAAACCTAGCAATCTAAATCTCTAGACAAGTCAGAATCATGAAGGTTTCTGAAAGTCTGGGATGCTTCTGGTGAATATACAAGACTATTTGACTGGGTTAAGTCTAGCTTGTTTGCGTACAACCCCACCTTGGCATGATTTGATGATACGAACCTTCAGAGACTGGGTGTTGCAAGATGGAGTCTACACAAGAACTTACTGTGCAGGTTCTGTGATAGCGATTGTGACCTCTGTTAAACACAAATAGATGACTCATGACTCCATAGGTCTTTTCATCCCAACGATCGGCCTTCTTTCCTCTTTATCAGTTTGGCTACGTTGGTTCCATGAGACTGAGAGGTCCTGGTCCATGTCTTGTTCATGTTCGTCATCTGAGGAAACACCAAGCAATGTTTTACACTGTGAGTTTGACCAATGACGTAAAGGAATTCAAGCAAGTGAATATTGGAATGTGTGTTTAGTTCAGTTTTTCATTGTCAATGAGAAGTTTAGTAATGAGACTTTGATAACAACCAAACGTACCTGAACGGTCCAAGAGAGGAAACTCCGTGAGGCGTCTAACGCAGACCTTGAGCGCTTGGAGTTCGGCTTCCTTCTCTTGGAGTTTAGACTGCGTCGTTTGCAGTTCGGCTTCAAGCTCATCGATCTGGCCTTCTTGTTGTTCGATGAGAAGGCGGCTTAGTTTCTTGTCCAGCTCTGATGCCGATACTCCACCACATTGGTATGACTCAGAACCATTCACCACATCCTTACATTCCTCCATAACCTCGCTTGTCTAATGGAAAGAAAAAGTATTTGTTTAGCAATACATCAAGATGAAACTGGGGCATTGACTATGAGAAACCGAATAAAACACACTCACCTTAGCCAAATTCAGCTTCTGCAGCTCAGATTCAAGCTCCATCTCTAACTGTTCCATTTCCACCGCCTCTTGTTCTGGCTCCTCCGTTAGGACGCTGCTAGCATATTCTCCATCATTGCCTGACTTAATGCCGAGAGATTCTCTGCTCGCCATCTCTGATGTATTGAGATCTACCTGACCATATCTCCCACTGGACTTCTCAGAAACCGCTGCACAACCAAGAAGTTTGAAACCCTGTAGAGATTTTATCCTAGAGAGTTCATCTTTTAGCTCCCGGATGACTCTGGCAGTTTCTTCTGCTGCTGCATTCAGCTTACTGATTTCACCTTTCTCTGCTGACATCATATACATCATGCAGACACCGAGTGCCGAGCTGAAAGCGGAATGATCTGAAACATGGAACAATCAAGTGTCAACAATGGACGACGCCAAAAGGAATGTGATGACTCATAGTTCTAAAAGACGAGATCTTTTTTGTTGGAAACAAAAATTAAATACAAAGGTACTGCAAGGAAAAGCATTTCAACGAGATACACGACCAAACCTCAAATTACTTACAAGAAATGATATTGACAACAACTCAAGTATCTACGGGGTATTAGCACTTGGACAACACATAAATACAGGCTTAGTCCTCACCAGATACATCATTTTATACTAAAAAGATCCAAAATGCAGAAGAAACTCTGAACACAGGTCAATCATCGAATAAGATGAGCTCAGGACACTCATAAAAAAAAAAAAAAAAAAAAAAAAAAACTGAGTGATATTAATCCAATCACACCATGAAGAGGTGATTTTTGATGCTTCAGTACGTTTTCATCAATCCAGATTACACACAGTGATTCACATTAACAAAATCAGCAGAGTTTCAAAAGCGCAAACCTTGAGTATTATAACATGACCCACGTTTTGAAGGAGCACACAAAGTTCTCGCCTTTTTCAAGCAAACATCGCTCCTCGGTTTAACATCACCGACATTTCCAGATCGCTTCTCGATCTCATGACCCTCACCACTATTTTGCTTCTTCTTCTTCCTCAATCCACGAATCCTAACCTTGCATTTCACCCCTGAGCTATTCTTAAACTCGTGAGACGACCCGGATCCGGACCCTGAGTTTCCGGTAGACCCGGAACTATTAAACCGGAAAACGCCATTGGTTTTGTAGCAAGGAGAGTCGAGAAATCCGATACCGACGGGAGGAGTGACGGGCTCCTGCTCTTCAGCGTGATCCTCGGGAAGGCGAGAGTGTCGAGAGAAAGGGTTGAAGAAGCGTTTGGCTACAAGACCAGTGGATCCAGCAATGGCTGCCCCTAGAATTACTTGCCACATCTCTGACAACTCGTGTTTCCAAAAACAGTCAAATGGAGAAGCAAACAGCGAGAGAATACGATAGAGAAGAAGCAGATCAAGAAAGAAGTGAGTCTGAAGTGTGTAAAACGACAAACAGAGTCGGAGAAAGTCCCGAGGTAAGAGAAGAGAGAGAGAGGAAGAAGAAGAAGAAGAGAGATTTTTTGTTTTTCAGCGGCGGTGGGGACACACCATCACATGTTTCCCGCTTTGCTAGACAATTTCCAAATTTATTGGTTTCTGACCAGACTTCCATCTAACTAGGGCGTTCGTTCGTTTTTAAGTTGGGCTTTTAAGGCCCATTTCTTCATTAATAATGGTTCGGCCTTTATTTTTCTGTTTCAGTGTTCTCTAGCGTCCAGCGACTGTAATTTCGTGACGCTAAATGTGCGTTTGTCTGTCGCAATGACTAATCCGCCCTTACAATTATTCGAAAACGACCAAAACACCAAACCCTAAGTGTAAAGCCCATAACCTGAACGAGACGCTGCTTCTCGGCACCTATTCGCTGCCGTCTCCGCCGTCACCAGTGTCACAGCCGGCGTTTTTTTATTCGTTTCCAGTGAAATTGCAATCTTGGCAGATGGAGAAAAGCTCCTATTTTCTGTTTGGTGGAACAAACTTCAACAAGAAGAAGTTTGCGTCAGATTTTGCCAAGTTTAAGGTGAGTTCCGCTGGTGTTAATGTTGTGTAAATCAGCAGTACTCACTCGCTCTCTGTTCTTACTTAAAAATCCCATTACTGTGTTAGAATCGTACCGAGGATGATGATTCCAATAAGAAACTGAGCTTCTTTGAGGAAGAAGAGGAGTCTGAGCAGGAGAAGAAAGTTGTGTCCTCTAAGAAGAGGAAACGAAGATCTGCTAATTCTGGTAAGTCTGAAAACATAGTTACTGTTTTACTCAGGTTTGTCCTAAACCGTGTCTAAACCATTTTTCGTGTTATGTCGGAACAGAGCCTGTTGAAGGATTTGATGTGTTCAAGAGCTCAAAGAAGGCTAAAGGTAAAGAAGAAAGACAAAACACAAAGTATGAGATTTTAGAGAATCCCCAGAAGGAACTTAATCGGCAAATGGAGGTATGTAGCTGTTTAATTCTTCGTCTCTGTTTCATCAAATGGCAAAGAGTGATTTATACATGACTGAATTTACTTCTTCATAATCGCAGAAAGATGCCTTGGCGAGGAAACAGTACAACATTCATGTTTCCGGTATCAATATTCCACCCCCACTCAAAGGCTTCGCAGAGTTGTCATCGAGGTGCGTGGAATTGGATTGTATTTTTGAAAGTAGTTTGATTTATTATTCTCATAGCGTTACTGGTTTGTAAATTCCAATTTTTTGCTACGTCTGAAATCCTCCGCCATGCTATCTTCTCCCTGGATCTCTTTAGTCCACGAACATGATTTAGTTATGTGTTTAAATCTTTCCTCTCCTCTGGTTTTGATTTTATTGGTTAATCCATTTACAGGTATGGTTGTAAGAAATACATATTACGCAATTTGGCTGAAATGGGATTTAAAGAGCCTACTCCAATCCAAAGGCAGGCTATTCCGGTTCTCCTTTCGGTATGGTCTTATTCACTCGTTTTCTATTCATTACAGCAAAGACACTTACGAGTTGAAGAAAAAAGAAAGTTTAAGAACTTCTTCGTGCAAAGTGAATCCTTATTCGTTGTCTTTTTGCCTAATCACAGGGTCGTGAATGCTTTGCCTGTGCTCCAACTGGGTCAGGGAAAACCATTGGTTTTATTTGTCCCATGCTCATGAAACTCAAGGTGAGAAACTGTGTTTATCATTACACCCTCTGGATTTTGCAGATTTTTATTCTTGTGTGTCATGCTTATGATTTTGTTGTTGGTGTTCTTATTTCAGCGCCCTTCAACAGATGGTATAAGAGCTGTTATCCTCTCTCCTGCACGAGAACTTGCTGCTCAGACAGCTAGAGAAGGGAGAAAACTTATTAAAGGAAGCAAGTTCAAGATCAGATTAATGACTAAACCCCTTGTCAAAACAGCTGATTTCTCAAAGCTGCATTGCGATGTTCTCATATCAACTCCCATGCGGCTGAAAAGATTGATCAAAGATAAAAAGATCGACTTAAGCAAGTAAGTCAATTGCATACGTTAGGATTCAAACATGTTTGTGCTTTCTAATTGTGATGTGCCCATTTTTCACCTTACTCTCTGTTGATTAACAGGGTCGAGTTTCTTGTCCTTGATGAATCTGACAAGCTGTTTGAGAAGGGCTTGTTAAACCAGATAGATTGTGTGGTGAAGGCTTGTTCGAACCCTTCAATCATACGTTCATTGTTCAGTGCTACTTTGCCTGATTCTGTTGAGGAACTTGCACGTTCCATAATGCATGATGCTGTTCGTGTGATCATTGGCCGAAAGTGAGTATATCAAAACTTGATACTGAAGCTTATTATTATATATAGATGCTTCGCAACATTTATTGCAGCAAACGGATCTTACATTTTTGACATTCATACAGGAACACAGCATCTGAAACCGTCAATCAAAAGCTGGTATATGCTGGAACTGAAGAAGGGAAAATTTTAGCTCTTCGCCAAAGATTTGCAGAGGTAAAGTTCAGTAATTTAAGCAGTAAATAATCAAGGAAGACTGTTTACCTTTAGTAATTCCTTTTCTACTTGGCAGTAGAGTCTGAATCCACCGGTACTGATCTTTGTGCAAAGCAAAGAACGAGCAAAGGAACTCTACGATGAACTAAAATGTGAAGACATCAGAGTCGGGGTCATCCATTCCGATCTTCCTCCAGGAGAGGTAATATCATAATCTCCACATAGTCATCATCAAATAAAGTTTGCTTCTTTATGGAAAGTATAGATGTATGGAACCAATAAACTAACCATTGAAAGAAAATGCTGCAGCGGGAAAAAGCGGTCGATAGTTTCAGAGCGGGCGAGACATGGGTTCTGATCGCCACCGATGTGATCGCTAGAGGTATGGATTTCAAAGGAATCAACTGCGTGATAAACTATGACTTCCCGAATTCGGCTTCTGCGTACATCCACAGGATTGGTATGTACATTTCTCCGCTACTTTGCATCAAATTGTTTTGAGTTCTCTGCTCTATGCGGGTCTTTGTGATGCGTTTGGAAAGTAACCGCTCTTTTTGAAACGTTACAGGTAGATCGGGGAGAGCGGGAAGGAGCGGTGAAGCGGTAACGTTCTACACGGAAGAAGATGTGCCTTTCCTAAGGAACATAGCCAACACGATGATGTCATCGGGCTGTGAGGTTCCGTCGTGGATCATGTCTTTGAAGAAGAAGAAATGGAAGAAGCATACGCCGAAACGTGATTCTATATCCACTCGACCCAAAGCCACTGCTAAAAACGATCAGAAGGAGTAAACTTCAAATGTTATGTTTTGTATTTTTTTTGCTAAATTGACCAATGACTGACTCTTTGTATTTTATAATCTTTTAAGATTTAAAATTTTGGTAACATTCGTGAATTCTTAAAGTTTATTGTTAATCTTCAATTTTGTTTTATATAACAAACTAGTGAATATCCGAATGGATTTTTTTTGTATACTTCAATGTACAAAAATTGAAAAAATATTTTAGTCTTACTAACATTAGATTTTAAAAAGAGAAAAATAAAACAAGTTTTTATCCAATTTTCTACAAATCTGGAAATAATATGTATCATCTGCTGTGGAACAACATTGGCGAGTTTCCAGTGACTTGGTCACACCTGCAGCTCTCATCACGCTGGTGAAGAAACTTCCATGTCTCTCCTACCTCTATTTGTATGTAGCTAAAAGTTTTCTTGTCTCATTTTTTTCAAAGACAAATTACAATCAAAATCAAACTTAAATAACGTTTCTCAAAATATTTATATACTAATAATATAGTATGTCTTTTTGCAGGCTTGCCAAAACTTTGATGACACTGCTGTAATTGATTGTGTCTGCTTATATTATGTATATGTTGTTTCTTATAGGTTTTGGTTATTTTTTGCCCTAAAAACATAAAAAAATCATTTTTTTGTCAAAACTTGGTACTATGATTTGAGCTAAAGAGCATAGGCGCAATCCTTTACATTTTGATTTGACACTCAAAATTTTTAGTACTTTGTAGAAAATTCTGCAAATGTATTGTTAAATGGTCTTCTCATTGTATATATTTGGTTGTGAATTGGATATCTAGTGACAAAGGGTAAGTTAAGATGTCTATCTCGCTTTATTTATGTATTATATTGGTGAAGTTTAACTCTTTACTTGTTGTATTTGATGCTCTCAAATTAAAAAAGCTGGTATTTTTACCATATTTCAATGATGCATTTAAAGTGAGTTAAGTTTGATAGAGATTCAATTTTTAGGGATTTTGATATCAAATTGTTTAGTTCTTGAAAGGTTAATTATAGTGACAAATGATAGATTATCTTGAAATTGTATGTGTGTGCTAGGAGTAACTGAGAAGCTTCAAACTATGAAAAATGTAAAAATCTTAGTAGGGGTTATTGGTTCTTGTATTTTGGTGGATTTATAAATCTTCTTTGGATTTGATAAATTTATTGATTTCAAAATCAGCAAAATGGAAAAAAATCAAATCCACTCAAATACCAAGGTTATACCTTGTATTTGGGTCTTTGTATTTTAGTCATAAAAATCCTTCCAAATCTATTCAAATTCAATTAAAACTCAAATCCTTATAATATTTAGATTCTAAAATGATAGAACCAATAATACTGTATTTCATTATGGATTTTAAAATCATAGAACCAATAACACTGTATTTCAATATAAATTTTAAAATACAAGAACCAATAACACTGAATTTGATTTAGATTCTCAAATCCATTAAAATACAAGAACCAATAACACTTCTTTAATGTTTGAAATGGATTCTCGAGACCTGAGACAATTGATTTGAAGAGTTTAATTGAACGCGTTTCTTTTGATTGATTGCTCAAAGCTTATATACATATTTTAAAGCTTTTGAGATTTTCTTTAATTCAAAATTGTAATTAGATTAAGAAAAATACATCAAAATATAATCACATACCCTGCAGTATAGAAAGCTAGAAACTGAAATGTCTGAATCCATTATGTGGTTTGTCTTGTATGTTCTCATATATATGTTATTAAATTATAAAAATTGATTTACTTTACAATATTTTTGGCATTTTAACTTTCAACAGTTGAAGGACAGGAAATCATTCATAAAAATAAATATTTTTAATATATTAAATCAATGTCTCAATATGGTGGAGTAAAAAAATATTAAAATTGATACTGAATTTTTTTTTTATTTCTTACTATAAGAAAAGTCGTTACAAATACTAAAAAAAAAAGAGCGGCAAGCTGGACGTTACAAAAAAAAAAAAAAAGACAATAGAGAGCGGCAAGAAAATCAAAATGGGCCCCATATGGCCCAATCAGTAGGCTCTCGGCTTGAATCCATCGCTTCCTCTGTCTCTCTCTTTCTCTCCCTCTCTTATATGTACTTGACAACGTGAAGAGGATTTCTTTTCAAGTCAGCAAAGATCAAAAACTCGACCGATTCAAATTCTGATAGCATTTTTGATTTTCGAGAAAGTCGCACATTGCCATTAAAGAAAGAGAACTCTCGGAGTCGTGCTTTTGAAAGGTTTTCATTGAACTTCGAGCTTCTCTTTTTCCAGATCTGCTTCTACAGGTTCGATTCATCTTCTTTATCCCGCCGTTTCAGTAAGTTCCTTTCATTTTCAATTCTAAGTGTTTTGACTTTTTTTGTGTTTAATCAAAGAGCTTTTTTTTAGCTACTAGACTTTGAGATCCGTTGCAATCCGTGAGAATCCATTTCTGGAAAGTCTTAATTGATATATCATCAGAATTACTCTCATCTGAGTAGGAAGAATTCAACAGTGTGGTAATGGTCAAAAAGGCGAAATGGCTGAAGAACGTAAAGAAAGCTTTCAGCCCAGATTTAAAGGTATGAACTTTATGTGCTCTGTTCTATACCACTCAGCTTCGTATATTTATTGATGTAAAACTCAACTCATGTTCTTGGTTCTTACAGAAGTTGAAACACAAATCGGTTGAGTATCAAAACAGTGAAATCTCTTACCCTGTATTGGTAGCCACATCGAGATGTTCTCCTCCTCAGTTTGAAGTGAGAGTGGATGAGGTCAACTATGAACAAAAGAAGAATCTGTTGCCTTCTCCTCCTTCAGATTCAGTGACTGCTACACAAGAAGACGTTCTTGTGGATTCACCTCCGTCATCTCCTGAGTCTGTACGTCCAGCGACACCTGATGATAGGTTTGCAGGGAAGTCAAAGGAAGAAGCAGCTGCCATCTTAATCCAATCTACTTTTAGGGGCTATTTGGTAATGTTTGGATATTTCAATACTCAGGTTTTTGGGTTTGGCTTTGATTAAGAAGAACTCAATTATGACACTTTTAAGTTTTATAATTTGTAACAATTGCAGGCAAGAAGGGAATCTCGTGTGATGAGGGCATTGGCGAGACTCAAGTTATTGATGGAAGGATCGGTTGTACAACGGCAAGCTGCAAATACCCTTAAATGTATGCAGACACTAACTCGTGTACAGTCACAAATCCGGTCAAGGAGAATCAGAATGTCCGAAGAGAACCAGGCTCGCCATAAGCAACTCCTTCACAAGCATGCCAAAGAGCTAGGAGCCTTAAAGGTCTCTCTTGTATATTGGATCTTGAGAAAGCTCTAGGATGTGATATTTTTTGTATTTTCCCTAAATCCTAAAAACTTGCTTCTGCAGAATGGGGGTAATTGGAACGACAGCAATCAGTCGAAGGAACAAGTTGAAGCAGGTTTGTTGAATAAGTACGAAGCGACGATGAGAAGGGAAAGGGCATTGGCTTATGCATTCACACATCAGGTACTTGCTTGTATAAACGCCTAGAAACGTGCAAGAACATGAAAGATGAACTTGTTGAAAAAGCAGTCTTTAACATTTGTCTTGTATTTGAAGCAAAACATGAAGAGCAACACGAGATGTGCAAACACGATGTTCATGGATCATAGCAACCCGACTTGGGGTTGGAGCTGGTTGGAGAGGTGGATGGCTGATCGGCCATGGGAGAGCTCAGAGAAAGAACAAACCAACAACAGCGAACACTCCTCGGTTAAGAACTCCACTAACCGTAATTCCCAAGGAGGAGAAACCGTAAAATCTTCGAACCGGAAAAAAATCAGTAGCTCGACTAAACCCAGTACACCATCATCATCCACCATAAGAAACCCGAGAAAGAACAGACCAACTCCATCGTCCGTAAAGCCAAAGATCACCGATGAAAACGCCAAGAGCCGTAGGCAGAGCATTGCAAGGTCATCGGTTAGTGATGACGAGAGCCTGGCTAGCTCGACGGCTCGACGTAGCAACATGGCTCCCACAAAATCAGCACGAGGCAAGCTCAAGGCCTCATCAGGCGCAACCACAGAGGAACATGGTGTTATAGCGGAGAAAGCACCAGCAAAGAAACGGCTCTCCTACTCGGCTTCTCCTGCACCCAAACCCAGACGATCCTCAGCCCCGCCCAAGGTTGAAAACAGCCTTCTCAAGGCGGCGAGAACGCCATGAACAGCAGAGGTACTTTTTTTGGTTTATCATTTATATATTTTTTTTTGCGCCAAGGATGGTGTTCTGAGATTTGACTCAAACTACGTATATGCAATGTTGGTTACAAGAATGTGTCACGGTTATTCACTTGTGCAGTGTAATTTTTTTTAATATCTCGATCGATTTAGATCTAGACTATTATTGAATTTGTGCTTTGTACGGATTACAAAATGGAATAATTTAAATGTTAGTTCTGTAACTGTGTACTCTTTACAATATTCTCAGAATCCACTAAAAACCATACAGAATAAATGATCTTCAAATCTGTTCTGTTTTTCTCTATAATTTTCATATCGGATAAACTAAAAATGGGATCGAAAACAAACAAAAATAAAATGATTGTAAGTTTCTAACCTAAAATAGTTTGTGAAAACAATCCAAGTCAAACCGGATTATATGCTAATTTCGATAATTTATGACAAAAAAGTCCGAAAACCGAACCAAAGCATAAACTGCAAACTTGAGAGAACAAAACTTATCTAGAACCCACTTAAAGAGTTCAAAGGTTATCTAGAACAAAACTTATTAGGGTTTTACCCTAATCCTCGAATTCGATCGAGAAATTCCAAACTCTGAAGAGTTGTTTTCTTATCTCATCAGATCCCGTTTCTTGTCCTACTCAAAATCTCCAGGAAAAATGGTAAATTTGCATGCGTTTATTCTTCTTTTTGGGTTTCAATGGGGTACTTTCGACATCATGAGATGATTTTACAGAATCAATCAGCAAAAAAAGAATCTCTTTTTTCTTCCTGCAATGAGAATTTTATGGCTAATCCTTACATTTTGTTTTGCTCTGTTGTATCTGTGGGGGTTGTTGTCAGTATCAAAAGATTTCCTCAGTCTCCCCTGTGGTTCATCTTCCTAAGTTGCTTGGCTTCTGGTCCAATCTCCAGGTTGCACCGTTAATTGCAGGTGCTGCTGTTGCTGCTGCAGCTTATGCTGGTAAATACGGAATAGAGGCATGGCAAGCGTTCAAGGCAAGACCTCCAAGGCCTAGGCTGCGCAAGTTCTACGAAGGTGGTTTCCAAGCTACCATGACTCGGAGAGAAGCCGCTATGATTCTCGGTGTTAGGTACGTTTCTCGTATCCTATCCTCGCTGATTATCTGGCAGTAAAGAGCGGAATTGAGATTCTTAGTGTTGATCACACTTGGTCAAGATCCGTTCTGCTTTTTCATTTCCTATAGAATGGGAACGAACCTTTAACGTTTTCTATTGGTAAATGATCATCAATGTTTGCAGTAGCTATGCCACACTAGTTCTTTAAACGTTTGCTCTTAGAGGTTTTGAATGTAGCAATAGCGGCTAATGTTATCCGAATTCAACTCGTTTTATGCATAGCTATGTTCTTACATGCACAAGGTTTCCTGTTAATATGGTTTTGTGGTTGTTCTTGTTTATGCGATATAGTTTGTGGCTTGACTAGTTTGCGACTTGTGGTGACAGGGAGAGTGTAGCGGCAGAGAAGGTGAAGGAAGCTCATCTGAGAGTGATGGTGGCAAATCATCCAGACGCAGGAGGAAGCCATTACCTTGCCTCTAAGATCAACGAAGCCAAAGACATGATGCTTGGCAAAACCAAGATCTCTAGTTCTGCGTTTTGAAACCTTTTGGTCAGATTGAGTGATCCCAATCAACAAAGCCATGTGGTTTCAAGTTATTGGTCTGGATCAAGAAGAAGAAATTGATGTATTTTTCTTAGCTAGATCAATGTAATGTGGGCGAGAGTTCTTAAGTTGTTAACCTGAGGAATGTAGGAACCAAATGCAGTAACTGGAAGTGAGTCTAGTTCGATTTTGTTTTTCATTTGTCTTGGATTCCTGATTTTTTTCCACAGAAGAGGGGCAATACAGACGACTATAACATGAAGTAGCATTTGCAAGAAAGTTTTGAGATTTCAAACAAGAAGGATAATACATCATCAGAGGCCAATGCTTGACCATTGCTGATTTTGATGTGTGAGTAGAATCCTTTTGATTACAAAAGATAAGCATGTTCTGAGGTGAACTCAAAAGGGAGTTTACTTCTTTAAAAAAGGATGAAAGGCCTTTTGCCTCTCTTTAAATCTATATATCAAATCTGAAACTTTCAACCGAAAAAGAAAGAAAGAAAGCATCCTCTTGGTGTGTGTTATATACACAGTTCTTTATGATGTAACCAAGACGAGGAACAACTTGTTTCTATAGTTCTCCTATAACCTCTGTTTACTTACTCTTTGGTAGTGCTACTGTTGGATAAACCGGTCTCAGGTTGATCCGGTTTATGGTTTTCTGTTCTTTGTTCCTTAAACTCTTTCGGACCCTGCGGTTCTCCAAATAGAGCAGAGAAGATCTGCTGGTGGCACTCATCGCAGAAAAAGAAGTATGAGAAGTGGCCTTCGTTCGGGAGTCTATGTACCGTCGCTTCTGGTATGACCCGGCTTATGTAATCGGTCATTGAAGGTGGTGCGACTCGGTCCTCCATACCCTATGTGACCACAAGCAAAATGAGGAACTCACAACTCGACAAAATGATCATAAATATGGAGTTTTTAAGAGTGAGTGCTAACAAACCTGCCATATGTGTATGGGTTTTCGAAACCCGATAAGTTCACATTCTGATTCGCTGTACATTGACATAAGCCAAGAAAGGACGCCGTTGGTTTTACACTTCTTCTGCATGCGGAACTCAGCAAGACTAAATCCCCAATTAGATACGTGCAACACGGCTTCTTCGACAAATGGTTTTGCGGTTCCTTGGCGTACGGACTCTTCCACGTTCCTTTGGTAAAAGTCTTCATAAACTGGATCTGTGATTACATGTTGGTCCTGAAAGTAGAAAGTAGCATTTACAGGTTTAGCCATATCTCCGAGGAAAACTACTCTATTTGGTGATACTAAAAGACCCATAACTCGGGAAAAAGACACACTTACCTTTTCTCCTAATGATATTGACATCCACTGATCCAGCGGCTTAATATTACCGGAGAGAAAGGACCTACGGTAGAAGAAAGGAAGAAGACTTGGCCACCGACGCGCTAAAAAGTACATGAATTTCCTCTTTCGTAGCCATTCCTCCCATGTTTTCGCCATCTCCTCCTTGCTCATGCTTGGTTCATATGGATTGATCATCGGAGATACCATGGCAACTCCTGTAGTTTCATAAAAAAAACACAATGCAATGATCCTTTTGCGTCGTTCTTTGAAACTATCACAATATGAAAAACCAAAATCTGTGTCCTAATGAATTGATATGCATTCAAGACTTGTACAAAGTTACCAGCAATTCTGTCAGGAAAGTATCTGATTGCAGCCCAGGCATGCATACTAGCACTGGAATAGCCGAGTAACCAGAACTTGTCAGCAATCCCAAGTGCAGCAGCTAAGTCAACCATATCCGAGGCAGATGAGCTAAGGTTCCGGGCACGAAGAGGATCACTCTCTCCAAACCCTGGTAGATCATATGACACTAGACGGACACCATAGTCCTTGAGCAATGATTCTTTCACTCCAGGTATACCTTGATTACATAATTATCGAAGCATTAGGGGCAAATTAGATGTAATCACAACATCAAAAGCACAAGTTATTATATCAATATATCATACCTGCAAGTCGAGAGGAAAGAAAAGAGTGAGGCACAATCAGAGAGAATCTAGCTGTGTCAGCTGAAACACCAAGCTCCTGGTAAGCTAAGTATCTACCATCTGGAAGCTGAACACGGCTTGCGCCGAGAGGATGCACACGGAGTTTCTTTAACACGGGCACGGATCTATCATGGTCAGAACTAAAACTTAATGCTGCAGTTCAAATTTGGATACGTCAGAGAAAGACATACACAAGCCTCTTGCCAATACAGAGGAATTGAATAGAATTGCTCAGTGTACGACTATGGCATTGCAGATATGTCCTTTGAAGACAGAATAGAAGTAATCACTGATAACAATGGTTTGTACCTGCGAGAGCAAGGAGGAAGACGAAGACAATGACAGGCCAGGCATGTGCCGGATCACGATCCTCAGGCAAGTACTCGTTAAGGAAGCTCAGCTTCTTCGAAACCTTGGCAGCTGGTTCTCGGAGCTTACGCACGACGACCGAGTCTTGACTCACCAGAGTCTGCTGCAACACGTCCTTGCATCCGATTGCGAGATCCAGAAGCATTTCTCCCCATGACTTGATAAACCCCGTCACTTGATCCTTCAGACTCTCCACAGATTCGGATCCAGTCCCGGATCCATCAACCGACCCGAAACCCGAGCTCTTTGACCTTGATTCAGCACCCGCCGTCAGATCGATCGGGGATCCGTCGTCGTATTGTAAACCACCGTCCATGAGACTCGCTAACTCCTCCTGCCACGTAGGCACGCCTCTTCGCATCTCCTCCATCTTCTTCCCAGTATTCAAAATACGAAATCCCTAATCCAAGTCTTCACAGCAAGAGAACCTGTGCATTCAGTTTTATTATGAGCATCCGAGAATACAGTGAAAACACAGAGAGCGGGAGAAGAGAGAACATGGCGAGAGAGTGAGCCTGCAACTGACACCTTTACAAGCGTGAACTTCAAGCTCACTTTTTTTCTCTAAATATATTTAAGAATTACTTCTTTTAATTAAAACAGTTCCAACAGAAATTCAATAGCTTTATCCTTTTTCCCATAGAGAAAAGAAGAGAGACGAAAGTTTCTTCTCTCTCACCATATATGACGCAGAAAACAGCTTATGGTCACGAATTATTCTTCTTCGTCGATCAAGCTTTTACTCTTCCTTCACTAACTTTTCAGTATCTAGTCTCTTTGATTTTGACTGGGTCCTTTTTATATTGTAAAAGAATTTACCCAAAGTCCGCCATTGACGAGCTCGCTTGCTTCTTCATCTTTTAGTCGAATAAACTAATATGGACCGTTAGATCAAGATTAATGGACGGTCGTGTATGTCGTCTTTTCGACTGAGCGCTATGCGGACCGGCTGAACCGGTGCGTGTCGCGCGCTTCCTCATCTTGCTTTGCGTGCCTTTAACCTGCTACAGCCGGTTTGTTGTTCAAGAGTAAAGGTTTTGCTGAGGTGGCGGATAGTGTGGAGGGTAGTAGTAGTAGGTGCACGTGGCTCAGTGTTAGTTTGGCTAGTTTCGCTTTGTTCTTGTACTCGTTAATAAACTCTTAAGAAGCATCGGCATTCTTAAGAGTTCACTTGATAGAGATTCTTGTCTGAAATGATGATGATGCATGTAAATAAAGAGGTGAATCACCATACTCGGTCAGTGCTAACAATAAGCCAATATTCATGTGCATATACAAAAGCAGATTCCTTTTACAACCATTAATCATATATTTGAGCAAAAAAATTCCTTAATTTATTGTCTGAGTACTCCACAATGAACCGGATACAAAAGCCTGAAGATAATTAAACAGTTTAGCTATCTCACCAAGCACCACTGCACATGAACCAGGACCAAAAATCTTCGAAACCAATTTGATTGAATTAAGAACAATCACAAATCACAAATACGAATACACATCGAAACCAATTTGATTGAATTAAGAACTCATGCGAGAACAGAGAACCTTACCGTTGCTGCTACAATTACGGACATGAAGAGAAATCGCCGGCAAGGCAAGATCGATCTCCCTCTGCGAGTTACATGCGCAATGATTTCAGACAATTTCTAATAAGAGATCGGCGATTCGGAAATGATTTCCGCCGAATCTGAGTTGGTTCATGCCGCCGGCGAGTCAGCTTAGAGCCTCATTCACGAATACGAATGTGTAACAAACTATTCCGAGCCATCGAAAGTGAGATAAGGCTGAAAGCTTCCATCTTTTGTCACGCTGCGAGATATGTCATCACTCGGGAAGAACCAGTTTGAAATAACAATCCCCACAACAGAGAAACTACTTGAGAAAAGAAAGCGAATTGTTTTTCTCTATTAATATTTAATTTAAAAACAACTTATAATATTTATAATCCTTTTCGGTTCCTCTGAAATTACAAAATTAATCCGTCTTATACCAGACCGGTTCATGCCCAACCGGATTGCACACTCTCCTGACCCTAATCGACAACCCTACATATAAATTATTTATAATCTTTAGGGTTTTCTCTTCCTCACGAACTCAAAGGTCTCGCTTTTCGCAGTTACAGTCCATCTCTCTGTCCTCCTCACTCTCGCCGTCGTCAACATGGGGTATGGTTTCCTCTCTTAGATCCTTTGTCTTCAATATAATCTCTCCGTTTAAGTCATCATGTCTTGCTTTTTCCTGGTTTCTGTGAAACGCAAGGAGTAGTGAATTTCGTCGTATGTGTGTTTCGGGTTTAGGAAATTAGCGAGGTCGCAGTGCTTTGCTATATGATTGCAGATGAATGTTAGAACTTTACACTATTTCCTGTAGTCCCAAAATCAAGTGTTTATTGATAAAGATTCCGACTTTATGTCAATGTAAGCTCTCTCAATTGGTTGTGTTCTTGTCTTTTCATATCTTCAGTAAGACACGTGGTATGGGAGCTGGGCGCAAGCTGAAGAGGCTTCGGATCAATCAGAGGTGGGCGGACAAGCAGTACAAGAAGTCTCACCAAGGAAATGAATGGAAGAAGCCTTTTGCTGGATCTTCTCACGCTAAGGGAATCGTCCTTGAGAAGATGTAAGTATTGCATTTCTTACTTTGTCTCAACTCTTGCTTTGTTTGTGAAATTTCCAGTGCTTCTCACTTTCTTCCTTGATTTAGTTTCTGATCTTGATGAGTTTGGTTGTGTTTATAATGCAGTGGTATTGAGGCTAAGCAGCCTAACTCTGCCATCCGTAAATGTGCTAGAGTTCAGTTGATCAAGAACGGCAAAAAGATTGCTGCTTTCGTCCCCAACGATGGTTGTTTGAACTACATTGAGGAGAATGTAAGTTAGATGACAACTCCTTTTGAATAATCAGTTGTTTCCTTAGTAATATGCTTATGATCTCTTGACTCATTGATGGCTCTGTGCAGGACGAGGTGTTGATTGCTGGATTTGGACGTAAAGGTCATGCCGTCGGAGATATTCCCGGAGTTAGGTTCAAGGTGGTGAAGGTGTCTGGCGTCTCACTCTTGGCTCTCTTCAAGGAAAAGAAGGAGAAGCCTAGGTCTTAGATTCTCCACTGCTTTCCAAGCTTCTTTTTTTGTTAATGGATTTTGATATTTGAAGACATAATCTCTCTTTTGCTTCAAGATTCTCGAACATGTATTCGTTTCACTTGGTTTTGGATTCAATGTGCCCTTTTAAGTTTTCAACTCCCTTTAAAGCTTTGACAATTTCAGTTCACCTGTTTCAACATCTCTTAGCTACAATTGAATTATTTGAAATCTTGATCTGTCAATATCACAAATCTGGAAACTATAAAAAAACTCTGTAACATTCACTCACATGAAAGGGTTTGTTCTACTCAAATATAATCAACCCATCAGGCTATCCTAAACTCATAAAGGAAAGAGAAGTCGTCTAAAAGAGTAATTTTCTTTGGTCATGTTGCTAGGTTCTCTGATACATCCTTGAGTCTCTATAACCGATGCCTTGTTCTGATTAGCTGGTTAAGCGCTAAGCCTTCCTACTCTGCAGAAGAATCTTCCTTGCAAACAGATCCATCAGAGCAGTTCTTGTTGCCAGGCTGCTCTTTCAAGTCCGAGCCACTGGTCTTTCCCTCAGTTAGATTGCTGTCCTCCATAGTATTCTCACCCGCATCATTTGCAGCTTCGTTCCTATCCTCATTCACCATTTGTTCTTTAGGAGAGTCTTTCAAGTCCCTGGACTCCATTATCGAGTCTTCCACAAGATTAGTTGTACTAGGTGTTTCCTTTATGACCTGTTCAAGTTCTCCGGATTGTAGGTGGTCTATGCTGATGGGATTGGGTTTCCCATTTGGGGTTTTAGTAGCAGAAGCAGATTGAGGGCTTGAATGTGTACCATTAGGAGAAGGATACACCTCTCTTTCAGATAATGCTTCAGCTTTAGGTCTATCCTGGAGACTTTTTCCGCGTCCATTCTTCTTGGCTGTCCTTTTGGAGGTCGAATCACTGCAAGGTATGAGTGCGGTAGGTGTTGAAGAATGCATCTGGTTTGCTACTCTCAATATGCTTGCCCCAATACCAAAACTCGTTCTAGCTTTCTTTGGTGTAATCTTATCACCTGCAGACAAATTATACTTTCGATCATTCTTGGGAGAAACTGGAGATCCTGAATCTTCTGTCTTCAAGTTCGCCTTGATCTTTTTCGCTGACTTGGGAAGTTTTGAGTTCACAGCCTTGCGTTTCTTTTCGCTATCCAGCTTGGTATCCGAATTTTCATGTGATCTCTTCCCATTACTTCTGCTCAAGCGTTTCTCAGCAATGAACTCTGCCAAAGTTTTCTCCTTCTTCTTTGGAACAGTAGTATCCTCATACTCAAATACTCCATCGTGTTTAGAGTCATCTTGGTCTTTTGTCTTTCTCCTTTTAGTATAAACTTGTTTAGTCTTTTTCGGTTCGGAAACAGAAGCTGTCACATCTTCTGCAGGAGAAATCTTGGGTGCAGACTCTACTGACCCCTGAAGTGTCTCAAACTCGGGGAGGTCAGTATAGCCTTTCCAGCGATTAAAGGCCAATAACTGAGCTCTGTGACTTACAAACTGCAGCTCATCAGTAGCATCATAGTTAGGAGAGCATGCTAAACGCTTCATATAGCCGACAAGTTTTGTAGGTTTAAAGAAGATTGCACTCGAGACCTTGTCTCCACCGTGTATTCTGCTCGATTCTTCTAGGATTCCAGGATTGATAATGTTCTGGGTCTTGATCTCCTGATAGACTTCCTCTGAGATACAAGAACAAGCTAAACCAAACTCTATCCTTCTTGACACCTCTTCTAAAGCAAAATCAACGGCATCAAGAAAACTTGGTAGAGTACTCTGCTTTGCCATTTGGGAGAAATGCTTGTGAAAAGGCTTTATTCGTGATGCATCATTCCAAGCATACGAGCAATCCCCGAAATATGTTACTAAGAAACTTCCTCTTTTGAAGTGCTTGTTCGCTTTGTCTGTCGCAGCAGAGGCATCAAACACTTGTCCAGGCCACCACGGATGGCTCCTCACTTTAGCCCAAACCAAATCTGACTCAGAGAGCTTCTTCTTCACACTTACCTGGGCATTATCATTATCCAAAGTACTCTCACGTGGCTCTAAACCCGTAGAACATTCAACATCCAAGTTGTCAACTTTTGTTCCTTGCTGTCCTGAGCCATCGGGTTTGCTATCCTCGCCAAGGTCTTCACTATCAAGTCTGACATCAGAACTCTTCACATCACCGAGAGTAGCTCCATGAGAACCTTCAATGTCAGGTTCCACTTCCGTTTGGATCCCATCCGAATCTTTTTCACCCTTTACCATCAATACATCTTCGCTATCTACTGGGACCTCCTTCTCACTTTCTTTAGTCTTCAAATCTGCGTTTTGGGTTCCAATGCCTAGATCTAAACCTCCATTTACAGATTCCGTTTGCTTCTCCAAATCAGTAACTCCATTAATTTTCTCCATCCCAAGATCACCAGCTGAAGCTAAGCTTCCGCTTCCTGGTTCAACAGTGATGCAGCTTTCTTGATCGTCTCCATCGTGCTTTGCTACCAGCTCCTGAGCTTGACCGCTCAATGGGTCAGCTAGGGTTTCAGACATCAGATCGTTACCAACCTCAATCCCCGACGCATTAGAGCCGTCAACAGCGTCGGAGCTCGAGGGAACACGTTCTGATTCCGTCGACATAAGGAGTACCAAAACAAAACCCTAGAGAAGGAATAAAGGAAATCATCAGAAATGACTTCACTTGATTTCCCAATAAATCAAACAGTACATAAAGAAGAGAGAGAGAGAAAGAGTGATTGCGCGCAACAAACCTACGGTGGCGGTCGTGAAGACGGTGGTTTCCCGGCGGCGGGAGGTGGTTTCTTTGAAGTAAACGAAGACGTCAAATCGAACCAGAAAGAAACGGGTTTCTCGTTTTGGTTTTTTTTTTGTTGTCAAAATTTTTTTTTCTAACATCGTGCAACATAGTCCACGTGGCGGACAACTAAAACTTGTTTATCTTTCCTTTTGTGAATCACTGGATCTAAGGGTTCAATCAATTGGCCCACTTACAAAATCCACAAGGAAACTTTTTTTTATCCATTTATTATTACGACTTCATTGGATTTTGTTTCCTTGGTTGGCATGAGATGAAAACTTATTTGAACTTTATTAACAACACTCGTCTGTATAAAATTATCCTAAATCTTCAATCTCCCCGAAAAACCTGAGAGCAGTAAATGTTGGTGATGGTTCATGGACCCTCAAAACCAGCTCGACTTGTGTTAATTACTCACTGATCATCATGAACTGGTACACGTTTAGAATAGAAGTTGATACCTTACGAGCACTGGAAATTTTCAACTTGTTGAGAAACCAAAAGCTATCATGATTTAGGATCAATAGAGTACAAATGAGAGTACAAACAAGCATTTCTCGGCGAAGTTAAGTTTCATCATGTTGTGTCTACGGCTACCCAAATTCAGCGGCTGAATACTGCAAGAGGAGCATTTACAAATAAAGCGAATTTGCAAACATAATTCCTCGCCGCAAGCTCTCGCTAGCAGCCGCAAACTTTTTCTCCAAACTGCTCTCTCCAACTGCATCCGCTGCAGCTCGAAGCTGAACAAAATCACCAATCAAAAACGGCATGAGATTTCACGTAAATGTAATTGCAGCTGAAGCAGAGAGTTTCGGCAAGTTACCTGGTTCAGAAACTCGTCGAGCCTTCTCGCGCTCCTAATAATACTACCCTCGAATATGTCAGTCATTTCCATAATCTCTGCAAAGCTCGAACCCTTTCAAACAGAAACAATCGAGAATATCAAATTTCTGCTGAGCTCAAGATCCAGGCACGGGAAACCAGGCATAATATTACTTAACATAAGTTTTTACTTAACAAGCATGAAGTTAAATTACTCGGGCTATCATTTTTTCTAAGTTTAGAGGTTCGATATCTCCATGTCAGCCTAACAAAAAGCTGGTTTTCGAGATAGCTAGAGACTAGAGTAAAGGATTAGAATCAAGAGGGGATCAACAGACTTATGGTGTAGTTTAGTTGGCTACAGGAGATTCTCTCGGGTAGTCACTTCGTTCTAGGTTTGTATTTTGGTTCTATTGACTATATAGGTGTAATTCTTTAACACATTTCTGTGCAGAGACAGCACTCACTCTCAACGTTGTATAACATGTCTATTAAAAAAAATATCAGCATTTCTGAGATCAAGTAAAACCAACCGTTGACCAAGAGTAGATAACGTCCATCAGGAAAGGCCTGATGGTGGATTCTACGTACTCTTCCACGTTAATTTCCAGTTTGCATTCATGTTGTATCTGGCATCACACAGGAAGAAAGAAAAATGACGATTACAAACAAACAAAAAAGAAGAGAAGAAAAGCACATGTAGATAAACAAGCAAAGCTTTAAGCTGGGAAATTAATGTACCTCTGCAATTTTCCGTGCACTATTTTGGAGCTGCTGCAACGGTTTATTAAGCTCATTTCTTAGATTTACCTTTTCACTTGATTTATCTACAGGAATGAAACAGCTTGCAAGGGCAGCTACTTGGTGATGATCCAGATCATTAAAAGTACCTGATAAGAATTTTAATGCAACACAACGCAAAGATATATTGTGTTATGCAACCAAAAAATATTGACTCAGTCCCCTGAAAGGCCTAAACTTAGAACTCGGTTGCTAAATTAGTTGCCGTACCATTAAACATCAGTTCCGTGACAAGTAATTCATCCCCTGTGTCTATCAAGCAGGCAGCTCGTCCCTTTAACTGGACGACGTTATCCGCATCAATGTGTCCAAGTTTCTTTAATACACGAGAACGGTTCCTAAGCTCATCTCGGAACTTTTGGAGCTGCAGGGATAAACAATATGCTTTAAAACACCAGAGGGATGAAAAGAGAGTCAAACTATAACAGAGACTCGGGTAAATGATTGAACACTCAGCAATTCGTTTGGGTTTGTGTGTGTAAGAAAGGGAGATGAAACGTAAAAGTTCTTCTCCCTGTTACACTGTTCAAGTCTATACAAGAAAAATTAAAGCAGCACAAAATGGATACAAGCAGAATTTATCATGGGCAAGCATTTTTTTAATCTCCTGCTATGTAAAAACCCCTTGCAGATAGGACAGTCATAAAGTTGTTTTGCAAATTTAATAAAAAAGGGAAGGAGAGATCCATCCCACTTGATTTATTCATAGATGAGCAAGTACGTAATATACCTGGGAGTCACGCATTTTCGATTTGAACTGCTGAATCTCATAATTCACCTCCGCTTTCCTCTGGAAACTCTTGATTTGCTGATCATCTTGAGACTGCAACACAAAAAGAATGAGACAATAGATAGTGAAGGGCTTAAAATGAGAAGTTAACGGAAAACTGAATGTAGCAAGACCTTGTGCATCGGATGGGCAAGCAGCTTCTGCTCAAGTTCTTCGATTTGGCTGACCAGATCCACTATCTCTGTCTCTTGAATATTCATGTCCTGTAGATTATATTAGATCCAATGAGACCCTGACTGCTATTTGATGCTAATTTATTAGTTCAAACATTGATGCCTAGCAAAAAATACGGTATGCAATACGAGATTGATGAGTTGGTATATACTAACTCTGAAAACATCGATACAAAAAGGTGACATATAAGTCGTTTTAGATAGCAGAAAACCAGCAAGCATCTGATTTACGCATATTGGCGGCAGGTTAAAATATTGTGTAAAACATTTTATTGAAGATAGCAGTAGTTTAACAGCTCTGAGAGAAACCTTGACTGGATGGAGTTTTGGGAACCCTAAAGGGAAGCGACTCGACAACTCCTGTACTGCAAGTAGTATGCTTTGTCTTGCTTCTAGTGGCCGAAGATCAGATGGAACTGATATCCTTAGTCTGCTCAAAGCAGAAATTAAGGGTAGCTGAATAGGAACCTAAAAAACACAAAACAACAAATCTCAAAACTATACTGCTCACGCGAATAGAATAACATGCAAGTCCAGTGAGAGTGAAAGTTAACTCACCACATGCATCTCACCCTTTTCACCAGGACGGGGAGGACACGGCTTTGGCTTTGCACCATTCTCGCTAAAACTAGTAGAGCAATGAAGTAGAGTATCCACAATATATCCGCCACCATGTGAAGAGGCGGAACCGGTTCCAACTGAAGTTTTTTTAACAACATTAACTACGACTCCCCAACCCCAATCTGTTCCACCTTCTCGTATCTTAACCTGTACATAAACACATGTCCAAGTAAGTTATGAGAAGCTTCTGTTATTTAAAAACCTTACAGCCATGATCTGCAGTCATATAGAATTTATCCAAATTTGACTGATAGTACGTGAGTAGTAGATTATAAACAGTAAGTCATCAATAATGAAGCATTTAACAGCTTTAAGACGTTCTAATTTTTCCACGTAAGGAGGAAAAACAAAGAAACCAATCTACTACGTGCAGACTGCATCTGAACTTTATGAAAACTTACCAGCCGACCGGTATCAAGAAAACAAAGCACCCTTTCGGGCCTTATTATTTCTGACATAAGTTTCTTTTCCAGTGGAGCTATGTCAAGTTTTAGCTTATGATACTCAGCAACCTCCGCCTGCAAATAATTAACGAAGTAAGAACGGGACGGGCCCAAATTACATACGTGAAATTTGAAAGTACTGAGCAGTGAGCACCTGTCCAGAAGCATCAAGGATGGCAGCTTCCTCTTCAAGTTTGGACACCTTATTCTCAATATCCGGTAAAGTCTGAGGTTGGAACACCAACATAAATTAGCACATAAAGGTGTAAATAAAAATTTAGAAAGAGAAAGGAAAAACATCCATCAGCTACCTTTTCATATTGGAATTGGTGGAACGAGTGCCTTATAACATGCTCAGCTGTAAATTGTCCTTCGGCACGACTCAATAGATTCAGAATTGTGTAGTAACTCAGCCTAAAAGTACTAAGCAAAGGGGCTGGTTTGCCCAACATCATGTCCTTGAGTACGTTCATTTCCATCTGTTGAATAACACAATAAACAAATTTAAGAGATTTGAAAAAAAAGAAGAAGAAGAGATTTATCTAGAATCAATCCTCTCCAAAGACAGCATAGAAGCTACAACTTTTTGGTGCATATAGTATGTTGTGAGATATATCGACATATTCCTAAAAGATGGAATAAGTTGTTTTAAAAATAACTGTCTGCGCCGATGTAATTAACTTTCCACCAAAATTACTAAGAAAACTACCTGTTCATCAATCATAATAATGCAGATTCCACGTTCGTCCTTTCCACGACGTCCAGCCCTGCCGCTCATCTACAAGCATTCAATGTAAGCAGACAGTTACTACAATATCACTTTGTGCCACTTCGTCACATTCAACACTAGCATCAACAACTACGACCCACCTGGATATATTCACCAGACCCAATGAAACGATGGCTGTCACCATCCCACTTCTTAACAGCAGTAAACACTACAGTTTTTGCAGGCATGTTCAAACCCATAGCAAACTGATACAAAAACGGCGTTTAAGAAAGAATCATAAATCAGCACAACAGCGAGTTTAAAATAAGTTACACAATTTTGAAAAGACAAGCTAATTCCAGAATATCTTACAGTTTCTGTTGCAAAAAGCGCTTTCACAAGTCCTTCCTGAAAAAGAAGCTCCACTAATTCCTTGAGGACAGGAAGAAGACCAGAATGGTGGACAGCAATACCACGTTGGAGTAGTGGCAACATCAGTTCAATGGCAGATAAAGATCTATCCTCCTCATTCAAGCACTGAATAGCATTATTGAACACTTGCTCCACCACCTCTTTCTCTTCATCTGTATTAAAGTCGAGTTTTGACATTGACAATGCATGCTGTTCACATTCTCTTCTACTGAAGCTGAAGATGATAACTGGTTGAAATTTTCTTTCCATGATCATCTGCAAAGATAGATAAGAGTCAACTAACAAACCTACAGGATGTGTCACTGTTTCCATAACCACAAGTCTACCACAGCACATAAATTCGAAACATAAAAGAAGAGCAAACGCTTTGACAGAATTATATACAACGTGAAAATGTGAATATATATAGGAGAACAAGGCACCACAACAAGCAACAACATAGGAAAGCGATAAGAGCATACCTTAACAATTTTGTAAACATCAGAATCACCAGAGCCGCCGCCGCCTTTAGCACCTCTACCACCTGATTTGCCATTTGCACTCCTTTTCCCATCACTAGATTTCGGTTTTGGGAAAGTGTCATGCATCTTAATGAAATTAGCCTCTCGAAATTGCTCATTCTCATCAACGACAAGGTAGAGTCCACTCCCACCCATAGGAAAAGCATAATGCTGCAGAGGAGTTGGCCTGAAATCTGTGTACACAACATGACACGGCTGCTTATGCAGATAACAAATCCATTCCGCAAATTCAGTAGCATTCGACATTGTTGCGGAAAGGAAAACCATCTTAATAGCTGGTGGCAAGAAAATGATACTCTCTTCCCAAACGACCCCTCTTTCCCTATCCTTCATGTAATGAATTTCATCAAAAATAACCCAAGCAACCTCCTTCAAAACTTCAGACCCTCGATAAAGCATCGCTCTGAGGATTTCCGTCGTCATCACCAAGCAACTTGCATTAGGTGAGATTGTGACATCACCAGTCATCAAACCAACATCCTGAAACTCATGCTGCAACTCTCTGTACTTCTGATTACTCAAGGCTTTCAAAGGGGAAGTGTATATTACCCTCTGCTTATCTCTAAAAGCCATTGCAATGGCATACTCTGCAACTGCTGTTTTACCTGCGGAAGTGTGTGCAGAAACCAAAATCGATTCTTTTCTCTCCAAGCATGCGACAGATACACTCTGAAAAGGGTCAAGCTGAAAAGGGTAGGTTTTCGCCATGTCTCCATTGAACACGGGATTATCAAGCGTCCCGTGAATCAGCTCCTCCTTTGTTGGTGTATAACCATTGGGAACAGCGACTTCATGCACACACGCCCGTTTTTGGCTGCTTCTACGCTTCGTCGTCGGTTCTTGCGTAGGGGTCTCATCAGAAAGCTTTGAGTTCTCAGCTAATTTCCTTTTTCCGAGCGTCTCCGGTTCTTCCATTTGAGTGGTCATAAGTGTCTCCAAAAAACTCACAAGAATCCTTCACTGCAAAATACACAAGTTAGAATCGAGTGGGTAAAGAAACCAGAACCTTGGGTTTAAACGAATTAACAAGATTGTAGTCGAGTGTGCGCATAACAAACCTACGGTGGCGGTCGTGAAGACGGCGATTTCGCGGCGGCGGGAGCTTGTTTCTCGTTTTAGATCCTTTTTTTTTTGTGCGTGGATTTTTACATAAACAGAGGTAGAGTCCACGTGGCCGACACCTAATCATTGGGTTTAGGGTTCAATTAATTGGCCCACTTACGAAATTATTGGGTTTAGGGTTCAATCAATTGGCCCACTTACAAAACCCATAAGGAAGAAGCCCATTACTTTTCTTTCCCGCCAAAAACCATTTGGCTCCGAAGCGAGGTTTCTTCTCTGACCGACGAGCGGTTACGGTGGTGTACGCGGTGATGGGTATGTACGGAGACGGAAGCAGCGATGGTGCAAGCATGGCATCGAAACGCCGTAGCTCAATCGGTATCGATCGTAACGACATCGAGAAAATATTAGCTGTATATTTTAGGGACAACGAGAACTCGGCCATCGATGAGGAGAAGTTGCTGCTCACGGCGGAGCTCATCCGCATATTCTCCACACCGCGTGGCAGAGACATAGTTTCCCAGGTAGCTCATTCTGGGAGAAACATTGCTTCTAGACTTATTTGACGGAAACAAATTGCATCGAATTTCTGGTGTATTTTCACTAATCGATTTTGCATAAATTGTTACTCTAATTATCCAGATTTCGTATCTTTCTACTTTCGTGAAGAATCAGGGTAGATAGAGAACAGTTAAATGATATGTATCTCTGTCTATGCGTCAATTTGTTCTTTCTTAGTATTTTTTCTTGGCTTGAGACAATTGACACAAAATGGGAAATAAGCAGGTAAATGAAGATGGTGGCGGTTCCTTCTCTTTGTCGCTTGATCTCCAACAATTCAAGAAAATATGCGATATCGAGAACTTTTTCATAAACCTGGAGGATAGTCCCAAAGGAGTTATCCCATGTATGAATGCTGCAGTTCACAAGGTTAGCTTTTAAAGTTTCATTGGGCTTTTTTTCTTTCTTGGTTGGCATGAGATGAAGGGCTATTCTATCTTTCACAGGTTCTTTTGGGTCAATGGGAGACTAATGACTTTGATAATGTTGTGAAGATCAATACTCGTCTGTATAATTATTCTGAATCTTCAATCTCCCTGAAAAACCTGAGAGCAGCATATATTGGTAGGCATCTGCCTCATTCCGCTGAATAAATAATAAAATTAGAAACCTTTAGTGAGACAAACGCATGAGTGACCTACGATTTTGTGCTTTGCAATTGCAGGAAAGCTTGTAACAGTTCATGGGACTGTTGTTAAAGTTAGTACTGTGAAGCCCCTTGTTACACAGATGGCTTTTGACTGTGAAAAGTGCAAAACTAGCATAATCCGGGAATTTACTGATGGAAAGTTTTCACCTCCACAAAAATGTGACTCCCATGGATGCAAGTCCAGAATGTTTACTCCAGTCCGATCCTCCGCTCAAACAATTGACTTTCAGAAAATCAGGTCTTCTCCTATTTGCGTCTCATGGTTTTGTGTCTTTCATCTTTGATAATTATGTTCTTGCCGTTGTTAGTTAACTAGCTGTCCATCTACATTTTTGTTAGGGTCCAGGAGTTGCAAAAGCTTCAAGACCATGAAGAAGGACGGGTACCCCGAACTGTAGAATGTGAGCTGATGGATGACCTAGTGGACACATGTATCCCTGGTGATGTGGTGACTGTTACTGGGATCATAGGAGTGATTAATAATTACATGGATATTGGCGGAGGTATTCATTCTATAACTTTCCATGGTTCTCTCCATTGTTTGTAAACATTACCATGCTCAAAGAGATTGATCCAATGTGCTAAGCCCTACTCAATCTTAACAAACTTTTAAAATGTTAATGTTCCAGGTAAATCGAAGTCCAAGAATCAAGGATTCTACTATTTGTTTATAGAGGCAGTTTCAGTAAAAAATTCGAAGAAGCAGTCTGCATTTGAGAACTCAGAAGACGACAGTAGCAATGTTCAGTCTTCAGATGTTGGTGACTTATATTCATTCTCACAAAGAGATTTGGAATTTATTGTGAAGTTCAAAGAAGAATATGGTTCTGATACATTCCGTCGCATTCTTCATTCAGTATGCCCATCTATATATGGACATGAAATTGTCAAAGGTCGAGTACTTCTGTTTATAACAAGTTTCCCCTGTGAAACCATTGGTGAAGGCTTGATAATTACTGTTAGAAGTATTGCATACCATTATACTTCTGTCGTTTGATTTTTTTTTGTTTCTTATCATTTCAACAGCTGGGATAACACTATCCCTTTTTGGAGGTGTAAGGAAGCATTCCATGGATCGGAACAAAGTTCCAGTCAGAGGAGACATTCATGTCATAATCGTTGGTAAGTTTTTGAAACCAAATTTTTTTTAATGGCATTAACCTAGTTTAGAGAGTACGTGGATTGAGGAAAGGATGTTACTAGTTTGAAAGTGATGGACAAAAATTTGATTGGTGATTTCGATGTTAATAGGTGACCCTGGATTGGGCAAAAGTCAGCTCTTGCAAGCAGCATCGGCCATTTCCCCTCGTGGCATCTATGTATGTGGTAATGCGACGACTAAAGCAGGGCTCACCGTTGCTGTAGTAAAAGATTCCATGACAAATGACTATGCGTTTGAGGCTGGTAATTACTTCCCTCCGCTTTAGCCAGTACAAACTTCAGTATATATAGGATTCTACTGTTTCAGATATGGGTTCGAGTCATGCTGTTGATTGATAGTCTGACTTATTCCTTAGCCTAAACTGGCGGTCTAGTTGCGTCAGAGGTGCTAAAATAATTTCCCAGTTTGATGCTTCAGGGTGAGGCATGCCTTGTAGGTCTCAGTTGATGCCATTTTCTGTGAATGTTATAATTTTTTTCTACATCATAAAGTTAGTACATTCAAGGGTTTGTAGCTTCAACAGTGTTTGATCTGTCTTAGGACAGCGTTTTTTAAAAAACTTCACACTACTGAAAACATTGCTCATGCATAGAAACTCTTAGTTTGAAATATGTCTAACTGATTTGTGGGTAGGAAGAGAAATGTTCGCCTTTGTTAATCTAGTCCAACCCTATGAGCAGGTGCCATGGTACTTGCTGATGGCGGGTTGTGCTGTATTGACGAATTCGATAAAATGACCACCGAGCATCAGGTTCGTCTTATTGGCAAAGTCATTACTTCTCATGCCGACTTTGTTTTCTCATTACCTTGCATCACATTGCCTAGGCTTTGCTAGAAGCAATGGAACAACAATGTGTCTCTGTTGCAAAGGCTGGGCTTGTAGCTAGTCTATCAGCTCGGACTTCTGTTATAGCAGCAGCAAATCCTGTTGGTGGCCACTACAAGTAATTTTCTTACTGTGCTATCTCATCATTGTGGGAGTGTTTGATTCATTGTCTTTATGATCTCATTCCAGCCGTGCAAAAACTGTAAACGAGAACTTAAAAATGAGTGCTGCCCTTCTCTCGCGGTTTGATTTAGTTTTCATATTGCTTGACAAACCTGATGAGCTACTCGACAAACAAGTCTCAGAGCACATTATGTCGGTGAGTCTCTCCATCTGAAATTATTGTTGTGGAATTTGCCTCAAAGAGATATTATTAGCATACTTTTCTCTCTCGTTGAGGAACAAAAATCAGTGACAGCTAAAGTGCATTAGACATATTTGAACGTTGTCGCATTCTAAACCTTGGATCAAATGCTTTGTTGACAGAAGAGATATTTTAGCTTCTGGAAATAGACTTTATTGGCTCAATGCATTGGTTAATTCAAAGCCATTAATATAGAATCTTACCTTGAATTTTTTCCTGGCAGCTTCATTCTGGAAGTGGAGAAACATCACCTGCGTTAAAGAAGTTTAAGACAGGTCCAGTTTCTTTTTGTTGTTAGGTATAGCCAGTATAAACATGACCTTATTAAAGAAGTAATCTTGACTTTCATTTGATATCAAATGCAGCATCAGGATATGCAAATATACATGCGAAAGAGGGTTCTCTACTTTCAAGACTGCGGTTTGACTCTAAGAAAGATGATGACTTTACTCCCGTTCCTGGCCAATTGCTTAGGAAATATATTGCTTATGCAAGGAATTTTGTCAACCCGAAGTAATATGATCTGTCTCCCAGCTGCAATTACTAGATGCTTGCAGACCAAAATTAGGCATTACGTGGTAACATCTCTTGATCTATTCAGGATGTCGAAGGCAGCTGGGGAGATCATACAGAAGTTTTACTTGAAGCTGAGAGACCATAACACATCCGCTGATTCCACGCCAATAACAGCAAGACAACTGGAAAGTTTGGTGAGGCTTGCGCAAGCTAGAGCTCGGGTTGACTTAAGGGAGGACATAACAGTCCAGGACGCAATGGTAAGCCCCAGAACATGAAATGCCTTGTACCCTCTGTCTGATCATACATGCATTTGTTTGATCATACACGTATAATATTATTTACTCTGATCTTTTTGGTTGGATGATTCGAAGCTGCATTGTTGTGATGTTAGCTTGGAAAATAATAAATATTTGCTGCTGGCTACATATCTCTCGACTCCTGAACCTTGGATTTGCTTTTGCAGGATGTGGTTGAAATAATGAAAGAATCGTTGTATGATAAGTTCGTAGATGAACATGGGGTTGTGGATTTTGGTCGGAGTGGAGGAATGAGTCAACAAAAGGAGGCAAAACGTTTCTTAAGTGCTCTTGATAAGCAATCAGAATTGCAGCAGAAAGATTGTTTCTCTATTTCTGTATGAACAACTTCTCTGCTCCACAATTTGCTAGTGGCGCGTCCGACATTTTCTTATGACCAAGTGCTTACTCGCAACATATTTTTTTATTGCAGGAGATGTATAGTTTAGCTGATAGGATCGGCCTACGAGTTCCAGACATCGATACTTTCCTAGAGAACCTAAATATTGCCGGATATTTGCTTAAGAAAGGACCAAAGACTTACCAGGTATATTCCTCCACCGTACTCAGTAACAAGAACAGGCAGAAGATGGCTAAACGATTTGATTCCGACACTGTCCTAATCTTACATACAGGTCCTCTCCTCATCTTATTCCCGGAGTCAGTCATCCAGATCAAGATGATTACTTTTTAAGTAAAATGTAGTATGTTTTTACTATTATATTGCTCAAACATAAGTGAACCTGATCATCAAATCAGTTTATTGTATATTATTATGCAACGCCAGAAACCCCTTTAGTATAAATATCACATGGAATTGTGTCGAATGTTTAGGTCATTGTTCATTCACACCTACTGACTTTCAAAGTATAGACGGCATCTAACATCTACAAAACAACCTAGTATACATTGGTGTATGAGAGTAGCCTGATCAGTAGGATGATCTAGTCTTCTCTTGGACCTAACTTCCACTCACTTCCATAGTAAGAATTAGGCAAACCAAGCCAAAACTTGAAAGCTTCAGCGGCTCTCTTTCGCTCTACCCGCCTATCTATCCTCGCCTGTGAAGCATGTTTGCTAGTGAACATCCTCGAGTGCATCTCCACATAGATCTTCTTGTACTTGGTTTTGTTCGGAGGTATCCCATTCTCCTCCATGCACGCTATTATCTCCAATGCCTTCTTGAAAAAAGCAGCCCTCACGCATATATCCGCAAGCATATCTAACAACCCTTCGTCCGGTTTCAGCATCGGAGGAGAAGGATCTCCTCCTTCAGTTTCTTCTCTCTTCTTCACCTCACACCTTTCCTTTATTTCCTTCCAAAGCAAGAGCGCCTCGCCGGGTTTCCTCGCCAGAGAAACACCGTTGGCTAGACTCCCGTAGGTTGCCACATTCGGGTAAAACCCGTTTTCTTTCATTCTTGAAACCACTCTCTTTGCTTCTTCAATCAAACCTAGCCTGCAATACCCTTCGACCAACATGTTCCACGCGATCAAATCAACTTTGACCCTTGGATCCCTCATCATCTCATCAAACACCCTATTCGCCAACTTGGGTTGCCCGGACATTGCAAAAGCCTTCATCAAAGTCGTGTAACTAATCTTGGTTGGCGCAATCCCTCTCGTCCTCATCTCGTTGAAGAACGACAAAGCTCCTGCGCTGTCATCTATAAGGATGCATCCATCTATAATGATGTTATACGAAACCACATCTGGCTCGATCCCTGCATCTTCAGCCATCTCTCTCAGCAGATCCTCCGCCTTGTCTATCTGCAACTGCTTACAATATCCTTTGAGCAGGACATTATAAGTGACCCTATTTGCAGGTACACCCATCCGAGCCATCTCAGCTAACACTTGTCGCGCTCTATCCATCAAGCCGGCTTTCACAAAAGCTGACACAACCGTGGTGTATGTGACTTCATCTGGATGGCTATTACTATCATCTTGACGCCTCATTGCCTCCAGCATTCTAGCTGTGTCCGCCACTCGCCCATTCTTCATATAACCTTTCATTAGCGTAGTGTAGATCCTTGAATCTGGTGCGAAAGCTTTAGGCAACAATGGTGGCTTATCACTCGGTTCAACAGAGTTAGGCAGCAGTTTCTTGAACACGTCCTCAGACACCTCTTCTTTCACCTCATTTCGAGGCGAGTAACCACCAGAGTCCTCATCGTCATCCTCAAACGCATCTTCGTCATCTTCTGCTTCTTCCTCTTTTTTCTCCTTCAAATCCTCTCCATTGCATTCTCGTAGAATCTTGCAAAGATCCCTCCTTTTCTCCCTCATCGCTTGCACAATTCTCTCTGCAGTTCTCAAATCGCCAAACCCAACATAAGCTGCGACGAGGGAATGCATCGTAGTCATACAAACCTTAATTCCCTTCTCAATTGTCCTTTCCAAGACAAACACAATCAGTTCCTTCCGATCGACTCTTGCACAGAGCTTGATCATGACATTGTAAGTCAACACATCAGGTTCACAATCCCACTCAGACATTTCGTCGAACAGTTTCCAGTATTTCTCAGTATCACCGAGGTTTGCACAAGCGTTGAGCACGGCGTTGAATGCCGCCGTGTCGGGCCTGGATTGAGCGACCAAAGATTGGTCGGCGAAGCGTCGGACTCGGCGGGTGATAGCTGTAAAGAGTTTGATAGATTCCTCCGGTCCGTCGTCTCCGGCAGACGAGAGGCTAGCTACAGCGGCGCTCCACGCTTTAACGTGTGGTAAGTACCCGGAACGGAGCATGGACTTGATGACGGAGGCGGCGTAAAGAGTCTGGCCAGACTTCGCGGCAGCCATGGCGAGGAGGCCGAGGGAATTGGCGTCCAGGCGATGGAGCTGGCGCTCATTGCGGAGGCGCGTAAGGACAGACTGTGCGCGCGTGAGGCTCTCGGGCTTGGATTGATAAGACAACTGGGAAACTAATCGGCTGAGGCAAGTGGGTCCAGGGAGATGAGCGGATTGAACATACTTAGCCCAAGCTTCATCGGTTCTTCTATTGCGGAGGAGAGACAAAAGCTCTTGGTCGTTGTGTGTGGAATACGCCTCTGGGGAAGAGCCCAAGAACGACGAGAGATCTCCGGCGGAGCTGTTAGCAGTGCCGGAGGCGGACCGTACGATAAACGGTCGGCGCGTGGGTCGACCAGCGACGGTGAATGGTGGGATGATAGAGCAGGTGGATATGGGGCTGTGGGTGAGAGTAAAAGTCACCGGTGTGGTTAATGGACCGGAGTTCGGGTACGGCGGAAACGACGACGAGGAAGACGGAGGTCGGAGAATGTTCATCTTCGGTCCATTAGAGAGTGTGTGTGTGTGTAAATGACTCCAAATGGATTATTTGGGTGGAAATGAGTTATGCTACGTCGCCGTATTATATGATTCAACCATCTGTTCTTTTCTTTTTTTTGTCACCATTCAACCATCTGTTCAAAGTCATTATCTCCACTTTCGTTTTCAAAAACGAACTATTTTTAGATGATCCATTAAAAGAGAAAGAAAATTATCAGATGCCTAATTACCATCCAATCCCAAGATATTATAATGTCAGAGACCAGAGAAGTGATTGTATCGAATTCTTCTAAGACTTTGTTGTAAGACTTATTAACATCAACTGAATTATCTTATTTCATCATTCACTAAACCCAAAACCATACATGCAAATACAAAGAGTCTTTTTATTCATCTTTACTGGTTTTTTTATGCGATTACAATGATAATGTGAGGAAACAAGAATCACGGGATAGAGGATATTCCAGATTACTCCTTGTCAATGTCAGCAAACCTGCGAGCGTACCAACAAATATTAAAAGCCATTGTGGTCAGATTTAGACAAATCCAAGTGTTTGTAAGTGAAAAAGCTTCAGAGGAACAATCAAAGATCAAAAATAATTGTTCTCTATGTGTTTACTTACCCGAGTTCTGACAACTTGAGATGAGCTTCAGTATAGTCTTCGAAGAAGGCATCCTCGTCCTGAAAGTAGTAATAGTAGAATCAGTAACAAATCCAATTGATAAGATGATGAGAATGATCAAAGAGATGATGAGATGTAGAATTAACTTACTGCAGCATATCTCTCAACGAGAGGACGAAAGAGAGGATCCTGGAGAAGAGCCTTGTCCGTTGGCAGCTGAAGAAGTCCTTTCTCTCCGCTTAGTATCTCTCTGTTTAACAACCACAAAAGAGATTCTGTTTCAGCCTCGCAATTCAATCAAAGAGTGAATAAACCTAAGGAAGAAGGAGGAAAGACTTGATCTTACTTGAAATACGAGTTGTCGAAAATGAGAGGGTTTTGTGTCCATGGTCCCTCGAATCCCGAGCGTTCCTTGTGACACCGACCCTGAAAGTAATACAATGGTAAGACTTCAGAGCCAAATAAATGAGAAAAAAAGGACATAGGTCTTTTTGTTTCTGGCTGGAGCAGACATACCAGGGTGTGTCCACCAGACAATGCCACAATATCTTTGTCATTGAGTCCCATCCGACCAAATACATCTCTCAGATGATCCACGCCTGAATTTACGGTAAACAGAAGGGATGGTGAATATGCATCTACGATCTGATTCAGACTTTATGCATTCTCCTTACAACTGTTTTACCTTTGGTGGCCTGAGGTAGACGACCTTCAGGAGGCGGCTCAACTTTGTCCTGAAAGAAGAAGTTTGTATCAGTTAATCACTTGAACAAAGTTTAGCAAAACTTCAAAGAGAGAGGGAGATTAAAACTTTGGTGGTGTCTTTGACAGACAGGCCATGATCAGTGAGGAAAAGAATTGGTAGCAGGAGAAGTTGAATATGGACTCACCAGTCTTCCAGGATGAAATGGAATCTCGGGTCCTCCAGTGATCTCAACAGCAACAACTCCAGCTAGCTACAGAATCCAAGAAACGCATATGAATCATGTCAAATACAAGCTTAGCTTAGATACAGTTTCAATCAAACAAACCAAAGGGGAAATGGCAGACAGCTTAGGCTAGAGACGGCTTAACGGTTTCGAACAACAAAATCACTTCCAAATGTTTCCCACTAACCCCTTAATCCTAAGGTTCTACCTCAAGCTCCTGATTACTACACTTTGATGCATCCCTGTTCTTAGCTCTTACAGCTCAAAAACAAAAACTCGGCGCATTGTTGAAATGTTACCTGGTAGAAATCAGCGTAGGACAAGATGGGGAACAGATCTTTGATGGGCTCAAGAAGCCTGACAGCGATATCAAGACCATTGTTAGCATCATGTGCTAGCTCTTGTGGATGCCTTATCGTCCCGAACGGTCCTCCTGTCTTCGTCTTCACGTCAAATGTCCCAGCCGAGTGCCATCTGCAAATTTCCGCAACAAAAAAAAAAAAAAAAGCTCTCAGAAGCAATCCATCATCAGTTCATCATGACCCATAAAGCAAAACAATAGAAAGCATTCTGATCATACGCAAGCCGTAGGACGATGGGAGCACAATGCTTCTCGGCGATAAGACCACGGAGCTTCCTCTTGCATCTCTCAACAGCTTTCTTGTAATCTTCCTTCACTTCCGGGTAACTTTTCACCATCTTTCAATCTCTGCAAATCACCAAAAGACTTGCTATAATAACCCACAGAGTAGTTCAAAATTGGAGAACCTGTTGACTGTTGATCAACAAGATTACAAAAACATACTCTAATACGAAAAACACAGTGATCAATCCAGAGAAAACCTGAAGAAAGTGTTAGCAGTAATCATTACTTTAGCTTGCAGTTCAATTTATAGAATTAGCTGATCATCGAATGAAGCTTCTAGTATCAGTCGCCTTTTAAGAGAATCCGTCAGATGGACGGTCAAGATTTGTAGATAGAGCATGATTCTTGGCGCGGCTTCCAGAAACTATGGGAAAAGTCAATAATACAAATCCGTCCAGCGGATTCATGCCACGTTTCATCCTGTCTTCTCCTTTAATCAGTGTTTTTACCTTCTTCTTTCGTTTGATTGAAAAAACGTGTTACTGTCTGGTATGTATGGCTTGAAATATTCACTGTTTAATTTGATCACAAATATCAAGCTAATCAATCGATCACAAATCTCAAACTTTTGTTCAAATGAAATGATTTTAGTTAGAGATTCAAACATTCCGTCTTTTCAAAAATCAATAGAAGAACAAGATGATTTAAACTGAGATAAGATATGGAGTTAAGAACTGAATTTGGTTCATAACATAACAGGTATTGTCAAAGAAAACGGAGGAGGAACAAAACATATATAAAGGTATCAAAAAGCAAAGGTACCAAATGGAGAAATGAAAACTGAAAACTTGTTCATAAACTTAATATTCTGACTCCAAATGACAAAACAGATATAGAACCAAAATCTTTCCCTAAACATCAAAGTGATTCAAGCAGATAGATTTATTACTGGCTAGCACCGAGCCATTTGGTGAAGTTGTCGAACTCGGTGTAGTCACTGTCGGAAATCATAGTCTGGTACCACGACTTCCCTGCTGCTTTGATTGCCAACGCCTCCTCCTGTGAGATTAAGAGATTGAACAAAAAAAGTGTGTTAACAAAACGAAAACTTTCAATGTGGACGATCAAACCAAAGAAAATCCTAATTTGCACAAGAAATATTGAGATGCACCAAGTTGATGAATTCAAAAGAGAAAAAACTTGACAATTCTAAAATGTACAGATTGATAATGTGTATATGAAATCTATAATTGCAATGAACAATTGATATCTACATTCGAAATGACACAAGATTTTCTCCGACTCTATAACAAGTGAATGATTTCTACATAATTACAATTACTACTAAGATCATATCCAATAAAATAACTCTAGTAAAGAAAGACTACAAACTGATAACACTCCCACTACCATAAACAATCTCAGTCAACAATATTAGAACAACGAATTAAGCTAAATGCATTTTCTCAGTAACTAAACAATGGCAACCAAGAAGTGACTGATAATAAGAAAAAAGGAATATGGAGAATACCTTGGTGACTGTCTTCCTCTTCTTGGCGAGCTTCTCCTTCTTGGCCTTGACCCTCTGCGCTTCAGCCAACAACGACATCCTCTTCGCGGTCTTAGCATACGGGTTCAACTTCAGCATCACGTTCAGGTTCTTCAATGGGTTCTTCTTCATAACAGCCCTCTTCGCGTCCTTCTTAATCGGCTTCACCACGCTCTGAACCTCGTCAGAGTTGATAATCCTAGCGAGATCAGCATTCACCATCTTGGCACGAGGAAGCACATACCCCTTCTTCTTCTCAGATGGCTTCTCGAACGAGCCATAGATAGACTCGAGCTTCTCGAAAGCAGATCTGGTCCAGATCACGAACCGGCCAAGGTGACCACCAGGAGCAAGCTTCAACAAGTTAAGCCTCTCCACATGGCAGAGCTCAACACCAGGAAGGTTCCTAAAGGCCTTCACAATCTTAGATCCCTCCGTTCCGTAAACCACGAGAGGACCTTTCCTGGAAATGTAACGACGGTTCCTCGCTTTACCTTTACCGGGACGGATCCCAATGCTATCCTTGGCCTTCTCTGCGTCATCGTAAGCGCCGATTTGCTTCAGAACCTTGATCGCAGCTGAGGTCTTCTCCACACCCTCGGCGGAGTCGCTGACAACAAGAGGCATCTCCGGGACGTTCTCGATCTTGTGACCACGAGCCATCACAAGAGCGGGAACAGCAGTTGCGGCGATGGCTGAGACGATTGCGTGACGCTTCATGTTCACATTGATGCGTTTGTGCCATTTGCGATAGATCTTAGTCGGGGCGAACATCCGACCACCGCGACACATGTTACCGAAGGCGGCTTGACCGGCACGGTGGGTACCACCTCCGGGAACACGAGGGATACGCGAGACGGCACGTCCGGTTCCCCACGACTCGGCCGAGGTCTGGTGACCGGCCTTCTTTGAGACGGCGTAAGGCTGTCGACTGTTGTTGGACATTTGGGCGTGAACGAAGCTGACGATGTCTGGACGAACAGGCGCCGTCATGACGTCGGGCAATACGACGGTGGAGGATTGATCGGTGGACATGTCACCGTCCAAACCCTGGACGGAGACGAGAGGACGTGCGGCGGCGGCAGCCATTTCTCTCGATTGGTTTTTCTCTCTTCTCTCACTGTCTCTCAACTCTTGGAGACTACTAGGGTTTTCGCAGCTGCAGCTTAACAATAAATATATGCTACGGCTCCGTCTAGGGTTAATGAGGAGATCACTATTAGTGGGCCTTGAAAAGCCCAGTGGTCCAGCTTGTTTATGTTTTGCTTTTGGGCCCAAATCCAAAGCCCCAAACCCAAATAGTTTACTTTGTCTACAAGGCTTCATATCCTTGTTTACGTTTATCTAATTCCTTTTCATCATAGGTTTTGGATATGCTCTGCTCTATAATATATACATGTGTCTCTCATCAAATAACGCATAAACAAACTCATATAGAGAGATCTCTTGTGTTTTAGCAAAAATTTCACTGATTCGGCGTGGTGGAGGAAGAGAAACGTAAGTCCAGGAAGGATGATTTGCACGTGGAGGCGAAGAATCGCCGAGATCGTGGTCGTGGTCGCAGTAAGGAGCGGAAATTTTCGGAGAATCACAGGCGTAAGAGACGGAATGAGAGAGTTAAGAACATTGATTCAGAAGATGAGTGCGATCGAGAGGTTAATGAAAAGAGGGAGAAGCATAAGCGAAAGGACAAGGATCAGAGACGGAGGACGGATAGGGAGAGAAAGAAGATTAGCGATTCTGAAGAAGAGAAGGAAACTGCTAACGCTAACGTACAGCATATACTTGAAAGGATTCAAGCCGGTGCAATGCCTGAACACTATGAAGCAGAACTTGAAATCAATGATTACCCGCAGAATGCTCGATGGAAGGTGACCCACAAGGAAACTCAGAGTCGAATATCAGAGTGGGCTGGAGCCTCCATCACCACTAGAGGTCAGTTTTACAATCCAGGACGTGCCCGAGGACATGGGGAACGCAAGCTCTACTTGTTCATTGATGGTCCTACCGAGCAATCTGTTAAAGCAGCGAAAGCTGAACTCAAGCGTCTTCTTAGAGACGTTACTAGTCAGGGCTTGTCTCTTCGTGGAGGACCACAACCCGGAAGATACTCTGTTCTGTAGCCATGAGGTGCGTGTGATTCAAGTATTTTCTAATCAATTTGTTTGCCCGAATTCGAATGTTGTTTCAAGTATACTTGTTTAATCAACTTTGGTTCTCTTTGTTTTACAATTCTTTTCTCATGAATATTTTTTTGTTTTTTTTTTTCAGCTTCGAAACCAGAAGAGTTACCGTTATTTATTAAGACTGATCTTGAACCATAACAATCAGTCTTTGGACTTCTCCTCGGACATCCGCTTAGCAAAATATAATCCGATAAAGGGCAAAAATCAACAGATTAAACATATGAATTACTCAGCAAAAAAAAAACACAAATAATATAAAGAGAATTTTTTACAAAAATGTTAACGAGCGGATGAGGATGAGGCTGCCTTGCTACCGCTTATAACCGCTGCTTGAAAACCAAGAACTAGTTGTAAATGGAAAAACCCTAACATACATTATACCTACCATTCACCGAACTAGTCCTGGCCCAACACTAAAAAGCTTGAAAACTTGACTTATGCATCTTCTCCTCAGAACAACACAAACCGTATTAAACACCCTATACAGAATCCCCCATTCGCATTGACAAGATGATGATTCATAGTGACGTGTATCTCAAGACTTTATTAAACATGGAAAACCGACGAGTAAACCTGCCAAAATGATCAGAGCCACAATATAACTCTTATGCAAGACTTCAGAAAATTAGCAGCATGGCTTATAACTACTTAATTAAACACATTCTAGATACGGTTAATAGTTTACAAGAGAGAAGTATATAACTCTTAATGCAAACCTTAGAGTTAGAGAACTACGAGTGAGGAGCTGAGACACTTACTTGATAACTTCGTTAAGATGATTTGTCGCTTGTTGAGTTGCTGACAAGGGAACCAGAGGTAACGCTTAGGAGCTCGGTGTTCACCTCATATGATGAGAGGACTTGCCTCTGCAGCATCATTACAGTCGGACTAGCTAAGGTTAGATTACGTTTGATCACGCAAAGGATAATAAGAGCCTCGTTTAAAATGTAAGAATTATGAAACAAGTGACACCAACTAATTGGTCTGAAGAATGAAATAGTTCAGACTCTGACAAAGCTGGTCATCACAAACCTTCTCTTATCGTAAATTTAACACTTACAGCGGATTCGAAATCAGGGTGTGATAAGTTAACTGTGAGGTTTCTCATCAATAACATAACCTGCAAAACAATACTGCGATTAGCGAAAGAATCTAGAAGCTTGTAGATGAATTTTTACAAGCTCTCTGACTTACAGTTTCGAAATTGATAGGATCCATTTCCTTGAGCTTTTCCACGTGGCCTCTCGTTTCAGGATCAAAGACACTCCCGATGAAGTTATAAACTTCAGCAAAATCAGGAACTCCTGCAAAAGAAATCATTTTTACAGTGTCCAACCACAATACTGTATATAGCATAAAACCATGAGCAAAACATGCGATTGTTGACAGATGAGTACCGTGAAGCACCGGAGGCTGTTTTAGTAGAATCTCAGAACCTGATACTGTTCGGCTTGAGCTTCCCATACCGGATGTCGAAGGGCTACTAACATTTAAGATCCCCTTCGATCCAATATCAGCTGAATCAGTGGCGTTATTTGCCATAATAAGCACATGAAACGTCCTTGGGTGTACGTAGCCTATTCTACTAGACTACTACCATATACCAATAGAATATAACAAATATAAAAGAGAGAAGAAACAATAAAAAATAGGCTAAAGAGCATGCCTTCTGCTCCACGAAGAGTAGCAAGTTCCTGCCCTGGTGAAATAACTCTGTTTAGCAGCATTGATGCATCATCCCACGATGTATATCTCGGCATGTCGTAATTTGTTGTTGTTGAAAAACACGTGGAAACTTGAAGCTGCATTTGTTGAGCTACAAATAAAAAAATCGAGTCAAAACTCAGGTAATGGAAATGAAAAATTCATCTCTCTAACAAAAGCAACAACTATTTTTTTTTAAAAAAAAAATCGAACCGTTCTTGGATGCCTTTTGAGGATAGGGATGAGCTGCTTTGCGCTTAGGCCGAGGGGGTGGCACATGTGCTAGTGTCCCATTTTTCTGAACCTTTAAAAAGTATTTTTGGGCATGGCTCCTTATCTGTAGTAAATCAAGAAGCAAGCACATGAACAGTAACGTTGAGAACGCACAAAAACTAAATTGGATCAAAACTCAAGAGTATCTATCCTCAAACCTGAATCACAGTCTTTGTACCCACAAAATCTTCTATCTTCTTCCAGTCACGATCAAACCTAAGGAACAAAGAACATAGACCAAGTAGTGTCAGCACCAATACAATAAGGGTTTAAAACGACCACACAAGTTACAAAGTTTTCATGAAAACAGAGCTGTTCAATCATTTAGATGCTTCTATTCAAGAAAACCCCATTTAACATACAAAACATTCCTCTGCTTCTTCAGCAGTGGAACTAACGAGCCAAAAAGTAAGCATGCTCAGAAAAGCTCATAACACAGCCTATAAAGGAGAAAACAGAGCAACAAGAAGCAGAGATTATACAGTTGAAGCGCTTCTAGAAACTTATCGTGCTCTTCCTCTGTCCAGCTCTCCCTGGACTTGGTGATGGTATAAGGTTTCCTCACCTTCTTCGACGAACCATCACCCACCGCGTTCGTCGTTGTCGCCTCCGTAGATGTTGATGATGACGGTGGCGCTTCGGCGGACGTCGGATTTCTTGACGGCGACGAGCTCATCGGTTTAGTTCGGATAGCGACAGTGTTTTAGAGAGAGAAAGAGAGAAAATCCACATGGCGGGCAAGCAGTTGGTGTGTGTGTGAAATTATGTGGAGTACGTTCGCTTCGATCCTAGACCATCCATTTTTCCATTTTTTAGATTTAATTTTATTGTTTATTGTATTTATATTATTTTATTCCCTTGATTTAGAGCCTCACGTGGGGACATGCAGTCTTCGATTTCATGACATTGTACGGTCGTGCTTTTTATTAATTATTTATTTATTTGTTAATTTTCCTATAATTGGTATGGTAGAAAAGGACTTGTACCGAATCAAACCAATTGCCAAATGCCAAATACATCCAAATGAAAATAATTCAAACATAACACTACAAATTTATACAGTGGTGCTTGCATAAATTAATTTATACAGTGGTACTTTGCATCAGTCTTATCATCTTCAAATAAAACTGTTCTCCACTAACAAACAATCTAAATTTATTTTAAAAACATCATACTCCAAGTAGTCGATATGTCCGAGTGGTTAAGGAGACAGACTTGAAATCTGTTGGGCTTCGCCCGCGCAGGTTCGAACCCTGCTGTCGACGATACATTTTTTATTAATAAGTGCTGCCTTTTGTTATGTAGAAGTAGAATATTTGATCATTACAATATCAACCAAAACAGGGACGTTCTTCTAATCAAATTACGTTTCCCTCATAACCACCATTTCACGAATAATGTGAATCCCCTCTTCAATTTTTTTTTAAAAAATATGTTCTCGATTTCTCTAACATCTTTCATTTACGACGGTGTTTGATCGAAAGGACTTTCACCTTCGTAATTCCCACGTGGATCATATTCACACACCACGAGATACCCGCGATTGTTATTACACTTCACACGTGCGCATCCAACGGCTGTCGTGGCTCGCCACACGATCTGCGTGTAATGGCCGCACATCTTGCCCGATGCGCACGTCTTAGTGTTGGGGTCGTAGTTAAACCTCTCCTCAAACCACCTTGTCACCACTTTCTCCAGCGACCACGTCTTCTGCTGCCGATGCCAGAACATATTCTCGCCGTAGGGTCCACCTGAATGTATCATTTTACAATCGGCCTTACGTTGTTTGGCCCATTTATGAGCGAATCGAGCCAGGCCGTTGTTCCATTGAAGAGGTGGCACGCCTGAAGACACACGCGCTATGTTGTGCGCGTATAGAAATTCCTTTGACTGTTTTGCTCTCCGTGCTCTGTTTAACACACGCGCCGCCGTGTTTGCTAGGTCGGGGATGGTGGTACCAGCGGTGGAAGGATGATCGGAAAATAGAAGCAGGATAATGAGAAAACATGATGATGGGTGAAACAACGTCGCAAACAACATCTCCACGTCTTTGTACAACTATTGTGTCTCATTCTGATTTCTCTGTTTCTAAATGTTTTTTTTATTTCTGTTACTGCGTTCAGTTAGAAATTTGCCATTTTAAAACAGAGTGTCTGATTCTGTTATTTTGAGATCTTCTAAAAGTGTTCTTCCTTCGGTGTTGATAAACAACTGCCATATATTTTTAGGTTTGGGTTTAACTGTCAACATGTATGCTAGTATAGAGAAATTCTATTTTTAGTTATCACTTAAGGAAAATGCTCATAAGAACTCAAAAAGTTGACTGGCCCATTTTGTTCCATTATTCAATTTACAATGTGCGCGAAATCGTACATCGGCTGATTTTCAAGGCCAACCTAACAAAAATACTATAGTAAGCTATTACAAGACATTGAACCGGGAAAAGAAGTAGACAAGCCCAACAGACTTTTGCTTTATGCCGAATACATAGAATGGCGCAAAAGAGCCTCTGAGCCCAGAATCAGATAATTAAGCAGTTTCACTCTCGTTGGACAGAAAACAAACGGAAAGTTGTTTTATTTTCTTAAATTTCTTTTTTTTATAATAAGATAAACAAACAGTCGAAATAGAAAAGCCAAGCCTCCAGACACTCAGGAAGAACAAAATCCGTTCCAGTTGTCTAAAACAAAACCACTACAAGTCTTATAAAAGCGCTTAAGCAATCACCAACACTTGTCTTCCCACTCTTCACTGGTCACCATCCTCCACAGGGCTACGGTCTTCTCTTGGGCTGTGTCCGCCTCTAGGGCTACGGTCTTCTCTGGGACTAGGACTTCGTTCTTGACCGTTGGTTCCAATGTCGTCATCACCGTTTCCTCTCGGGCTCAGTACATTCTCTTTGGGGCTGTACTTGTCACGCACGGGGCTGCCTTCTTCAGGACTCAGGCTGCGCTTCCCATCTTTGGATAGAGGAGAGTTGTCCACCATTGGTTCAGGGCTTCTGCTTCTTGCAGCTTCAGGACTCCGATCCTTTTCCTTCATAGCCGGTGATCTCGAGCGACTGAGAAACCAGACCCAGACAGAACAAAACATAGTCGCCTTAGAATCAAAACTTGTGTTTGACGTTGTGATAACTATACGTAAAATTGGGAAATCAGCTACCTGTAGCTACGGCCACGGCTGTAGCTTCTGCTTCTGCTTCTGCTAGGGCTTCTTCTTCTGCGACGAGGAGACCGAGACCGAGACCGAGAGCGAACCGGAGATCTTGAGTAACTTTCGCCACGCCTGAAATACAATGTAAATAAATGATCAAACTATAGAACTTGTAAGAAATGACAATAAAAAGTGTAACATGGAATTGTCAAAGGGTACCTGAGCTTCTTAGGACTATTTTTACAGTTCCTCTCGATGTGACCCCTATCTCCACATCGATAACACTTGTTCTTCCAGTCACCAGCAGAGCAATCTCGAGCCCAGTGCCCATCAAGACCACAGTTGAAGCAACGACCAGTTCCTGGAGGAGGGCCTCTGCTTGAGGAAATTTCTCGGGAACCACGAGGTGTCTACAACAGCAAAAAAACACCCCCAAAAGGGTTAAGAGAGAGAGAGAGCTGTAAGTCTAAAACCGACGAAGAACAGAAGGTTTTGTTTAATAAAATAGGGTCATACCCCTTTCGCAAACTCCACAATGATACGGCTTCCATCAAAGTCTCTTCCGTCCAACCTGTACCTCGCATCATCAGCATCTCGAGGATCGCTGAAATCCTGTGATCAAACAGTGAACATATATATATATGTAATAGATAGATGAGCCATCAATAAGACACAGTTTAAATAATTGAGACAACTAAACTAGTTACTTAGTTACAGAGGGATACTACTTACAATGAAGGCATAGTCTCGCTTCATGTCCAAATCTCGAATTCTGCGGAAATGGCATGCCAGAAACAGTAAGGCCATCATTTTACTTTTTAAGAACTGCTACTGGTGTAGCTAGTGTTATGATATACTTGACCATCAACGGCGAACAAAACACCAGATTTGAGATTGTTGCCATTTTCACCACTAAAAAACGCAATAACACAACAAACAGAACCGCCAAAGTCCACTAAACACCATGAAAGAATTTCCACCAAGGTGACCCTCTCTCTCACCATAAACCTCCAGGTCAAGAAACCTTCAACAAGATCATTCAGGTTAAAATATGCTACATGTTGAGCCACAACTCCTCCCACCCATATAAGCTAACGGATACATATCAACTGGTATTCAGGCCTTGTTTAAGTTTAGACCACAAACCACAATATGAGCTGAGCCAAAGATGCAATGTCTAAAATTCATAGCTCTGCTTAATCACAGAAGGTGACAAAGTTCACAGTTAGAGCAAAAGAGATCTATGTTTGCAAAACAGAATAGCTAACAACAGAAAAATTACCTTCCGTATTTGCTGAAGAGCCGTTCAAGATCTCGTTCCCTTGTTCGAGAGGACAGGTGGCCAACATAGAGACGTGTGCTGCTGTGTCGATCATTGCTGCCGTATCGATCATCGTAGCGAGGCATCTTCAAGCTACAGACAAATAAAAAGAAATGATAATGAAACTTTAACCTTTCGAATAATGAAGACTGGAACAAAGTTCTGACTTCTAATACCATCAAATCTTATTCAAACTGTTGCAAATCTCTGTATCAAATCCCATCATGCACACACACAATAAAGAACAAAACAAAAAAAAAGGAGAAACCACGATGCCAATAGAAAAACGATATCAAATCTATCACATTTTAGCGTATACAAAGAGCTGAAACCCAACACCGATTGAAATTGCAAAGAAGACTTAAACAATAGACCAGAGAAAAATTACTCCAGTTCACTCGATTGTTAAATCAATATCACAATACGCGAAAAAAACCCAGCAACATCTTATCGAACCAACTTTATAACGGAATCATCCCTATGATCAAATAAATTTCAACGACGGCCCGATATGATTCAAATTAAAATTTACATCGAATGATCAAAAACATCGAATACTTGAGAAATGGAGAAGATAAACTCTAAGAATTCGATAGAAAGCCTTACCTCTTAAACAGATAGAATCGCCGCACTCGAAACTAATTTTTTCTCTCTTCTATCTCGAAACTGGGCTTCCCCAGATCTACAAACACACATTAAATAGGAAGAAAAAACAATCTGACGGACAATATTAATTGGTGCCAAACCAACGGCACAGATCCCATACAGTGGAAACAAATTTAACACTTAACCAAAACTTAAGTAAATCAAGGAACTGACTAAAATTTGTACAAAGCTTATAACAGACAAACCATTTTCTTCCCAGGGGGGAAAAAGTTAAACGAATGAGAAAAAAACCTTATCCAAACTTTTGAAATGCCACTGGCGGCGATCTCTCTCCCAACCTCCTCTACTTCACATTTCTTCCCTCGCCGCCGCGCCCATACAAATCTCCGATATCGACGCATTTCCGCAGCTCAATTTTCCACAGAAGAGCCGTACAAACAAAAGAATCAGAAGGGGGTCATCATCATCGGCGGTGGACTCGCTGGTTTAGCCGCCGCAACTCGGCTCACTTCCGAAAAAATCCCTTTCCTACTTTTAGAAGCTTCTGACGGCGTCGGTGGCCGTGTCCGTACAGACATCGTTGACGGCTTCTTTCTCGACAGAGGATTTCAGATTTTCATCACCGCGTATCCCGAAGCTAAGAAACTTCTAGACTATGAAGCGCTTGATTTGCAGAGATTCTACGCCGGAGCTAAGGTTTTCTATGGCGGAAAATTTCACACCGTAGCTGATCCTCTCCGACATTTATGGGATTCGGTGGCGTCTCTCACGAACCCGATAGGATCCGTTGTGGACAAAGGGCTTATCGCGTTGACGAGAGCTAGAGTTCTACTTAAATCAGACGAAGACATATTGACTGCCGCCGACGAAGTTCCGACCATTGATCTTCTCCGGAAGATCGGTTTCTCCGAAGAGATCCTGGATCGGTTTTTCCGACCATTCTTCGGCGGAATTTTCTTCGACAGAGACCTCGAGACGACCTCGAAGCTCTTTGATTTCGTTTTCCGGTGTCTTGCTCTCGGAGAAAATACGCTTCCCGCCATGGGAATTGGTGAAATCCCCAACCAATTGGCGGCAAAATTACCAGCTAATTCCGTATCGTTGAACACAAGGGTCGCTTCACTCGAGTATCCAGATGGAACGGATCCGGGTCCACCAAGCGTGAGACTCCAAGACGGAGACGTTTTGAAGGCAGAGCTAGGTGTCATAATCGCCGTCGAGCAACCTGAAGCGGATAAGCTTCTCAATGGGATCAGAGAACCGGTTAAGACTACGCCGGCTCGGAGCACCATTTGCCTTTACTTCACAGCTGAGTCAAATCAGATACCGGTGCAAGATCCGGTTCTGTTTCTCAACGGGTCAAACACCGGTATAGTCAACAACATGTTCTTCGCTACAAACGTTGCTCGGACATACGCGCCGCCGGGAAAAGCTCTAGTTTCAGTATCATTGATGGGGTTGTTCGAGGATAGATCCGATGATGATTTAGCAGCAGAGGTTATTCGAGAGCTCTCTGGTTGGTTCGGCGAGTCTTCGGTTATGTCCTGGAGGCATTTGAAAACGTACCGGATACCGTTCGCTCAACCGAACCAATGCCCACCTACCGATTTGGTCAAGAGTCCTCGAGTCGGGTCGGGTCTTTACCTGTGCGGTGATTACATGACATCTGCCACGTTCGACGGGGCTTTGGTCTCTGGGAGTCGAGCCGTGGAAGTTTTGTTACGAGAAAAGGGACTAGTCAAATAGAAATTCTATGTTCCTGTAGTCAATATTATTTCAAAGATTGTTTTTTGTAGATCTTCATGCCTTGTACTACCTATCTTTTCCACCTTGATCAGAAACAAGAACAAGAAACCCTATTGTATAAATGCATGCCATGGCGCCAAAGAGAAGAATCAGGTAAGTGACAGTACATGTACCAAACGGCAGAAGCACTGATCTTCTTCTTACTAATGTATAAGTCTTAGGATAAGCAAGCTTTTACAATACAAGAGAGCACTACACAGTTTTTCCCTTTTGCAAGTAAACTACTTCTGAAGTAAAAAAAAACAAAGAGAAGAAGAAAACATCCTCACAATTTATATAAGTCAAATGAGAGTCCTTGGCTTAGTTTCAGAGTTCAAAATCATCCTCCTTCAAGGCCAGCTCCGCGGCTTCTTCATCTTCTTCATCAAGAACGAAATACTCATTCTTCTCGACCGGCCTGAACATATAGAACATCAACATGTAAAACGCCAGACTTGCAATCTCCTCGGCTGCATTGCTCACCCACTGATACTTATAAGCCGCGATTGTCTTGAGCGCAAACACAACGATCCTCGTGAAGTACAAGTACCCGATGACAACAATGTAGAATTGCCTAAACAGAGTCAGTTTCGCCAAGTTCCTAGCCGCTTTGCCATCGGTTTTCGAGGTCTCTCTCAGCGAACGAATCGACCAGACAATGGGGAATAAGATTGCACAACAACACACTATATCCACAAGCAGGAATATCTGATTCCAAGTTACCCAGTCTTTGATGAAAGGTCCAGTCTCTCCGATCACAATGGAAGCTATGTTGGCCAGAACCTGAAGGGGAACAACGACCATCAACACGTTCTTCTCTTTATCCTGTAAAAACGGCTTCAAGAAGGACCAGCCAGTTCCGATCAACACAATCACCGTGAAGAGGAGAACGACGCGGATAAACTGGAAAATGTAGAATAAGACGTCCCAGCCGTGAGGAGTTCCCGTGACTTTTACGTAGTGCTTGTCCTCGGCGGCGCAAATCAGATTCAGGGCCTTCATCAAGAGCAGAGCCGCCATGAGAACGTGGATCCTATGAACGACCCGTTTATTGATCCAACAGGCGTATCCCCAGAGACCGAGGAAAGCTAAGTAGCCGAGGAAGAAGAAGAAATATAAACCGGGTAATCGGGTTAACCCGGCAGGGAGGTAGTCCTTTGACCAGTTCGGATCTAGATTATACATCTCCGTTCGGACCTTCATCGAAATCCTGGTTTCCGGTACGCAATTGACGAAGAATAGAGAGTACTCGTTGGGGGAAGGCACTGGGTACGAGTGCTCGTACTTGGAACTCGGCGGAGGAGAGAGATCGTGGAATGTCAAGAGATGGAGGACGTAAGGGGAATCGAGTACACAGAAGCTAGGGTTTTGCTGGATCTCTAGGAGCACCTGGAGAAGCGATTCGTCCGACATAAGGAAGAAACCTAGCCTCGACGGATCCGGGATCGAAGCAGACGAAGGGGACGTTACTGATACGGAGGAAACAGATACGCTAACGTGCCCAGACTGAGTGAATCCGAACTTCTCGAAGAGAATCATCGGCCTAGAGTCGTCAGAAATTGTGAGAGACTTGATCTCCGCCGCCATGCGAGGAATAAAACCGGCGGCGAAGAGGAGGAGGACGACGAAGAGGGGTAGTCTCGTCATTTTACGCCGTCGCAGTATAGTAGGGAGACGATGCTTCTCGTGCTTTTTTGGTTTGGCTTTTCTTTAAAGTTTGGAGAAACGAAAATGGCGTTTGACCCGATTTCAAGCTGCGAATCAAAATGACGCCGTTCTGTAGACGAAAGATTCTGGTATCCCCATTGCGGGTGATTGACCCAACTTTAGCCTAAGCCCATTGGGCCTTGCTGATCTAACTATATCAAGAATCTATAACTGAAAACGAATAGAAACGGTTGGTAATTGGTAGCAGATGAAGAGAATGTGTAACACGTGCGTTGCACCTGTCTTCTTCTTCGGTGCAGCAAATTTTATTTTCCGGTAAAGAGAGAGAAAAAGAGGAAACTAAAATACAAACTATCATAGTAAAATATCACTGTAGCTGTCACATGCTCCAAAGGTCTTTTTGCGTATAAAATTATCGGAGCTACCACCATGAATTGGTAACTTTAATGGAAAATGTTTTGAGTTAGGTGAGAATGTATGTAGGACGCTTGTGAAACGATGCTTAGTAAACACATCTATAACTCTGATTACATCCAGAAAGTGGGATTAATGATAAGAACGCGATAGATTTCTTCGTATTGTCTAAACAAATAAGCAAATTCGCTTAATATCAGCCACAGATGACGAAACAAATACCCACATATAAAAATGAATAATTAATTCAAAATTTTATCCCATACCGCCACAGAGCAGTAGCAGCTATCTATAAGACTATAACAAAAATATAATAAAGATTACCATGTCAAATCCTTCAAATTAAAATGATTTTTTTTTCTAAAAAGGGCCGTGATTAAGAAATGATTCATACTAAATAAAGCAGTCTTGAGTCTTGACCTTCTTTCTTATCGTTCGATGAATGGGGGCACTTGCATGTCTCTATATTGTCTATACATTAAAGAAAATTTTGGCATGTCTTCTATATTAGTTTTGCCTTTCAAGAGTGTCGTTCAGTTTTGGTTCGTAGTATAAACAAGCAAAAGTGGCATTTTACGTATAGAAAACGAATATCCCACTGATATGCTGTTGTGTGGATCACTGAATTGTAATATTCCCACGACTATCTATTGTTTTTTTCTCTATTTGACGATCTCTATCTAAAATTACTTTTTACTACTGCCTCTACTGTCTTTATTCCATAATGTATATTTATTTTTGATTTTTTAAGTATGAATTTTGTTTTTGTAACTCGATATGTAGAAGGATTTATTTGTAAGTTCAAATAAGAAAATATTAAATTAAAAAATGAGAAAGTCTAAAACCGAGTAATTTGTTTTTATTTCTGGCCCTTTAATATTCAGCATCATCTAGTACAATGTCGGATTACTGAAATACCAATCGTACCCTCAAAAGAATCTACTAATTACGACAAAAGCCCTAGACCCTTCTCGTAATTCTCCCTCGCTTCACAGACTCATCTATTTAAGCAAATCTCGCTTAGTCATGGCGGATTTAATTTTCTGGTTATCCAAACAAACATCTTTTCTCCCTTTCTTGGAAAATCCCCCCACCGGTAAAATTACAATCGACGAAGCAAACAAAAGTCTTCTCGACTTGGATATATATAAAAAAAAAACCCCGAGAATCTTTATAAGGAACCCAAGATTTTTTTCCCGAGAAAATTCAATGCAATCGATAGAATAGGAGAGAAAACATCACAAAATCCATTTCAATTCAATAAAACCTCGATTTTCTGAAGCAACGGGATTCGTCGTTTCTTCCGCGGCGTTTAATTTTCTCGGATTCTCCGCTGGAAGTTCCTAATCTGTAAGTTGAATTTGAAAAATCTCTTTCATTTCGTTATCGCGATTCCCGAGTCTGAGATTTATCAAAACGTTGGATCCTTCGTCCTAGTTTCTTCTTGGACTATTATCGTACAGCATATTTCCAACAATCAAAACCCTGTTTTGGGTTAGTTCAAAAACTGATGTTTGTTGAATTGCTAAAGCTGCATGCCCGAAATCTGGCAAGTTCTGGTTGGAAACTTGTAATCGGAAACATTACGAAATGGAATTTGCTGGGTTTTTGTTTTCTTAAATTTGATTTTGCTCTTATTAGTCTCACAGGTTTATTTGGGGTTCTCTAATTTTGGATTGTTGGGTTGTTTTGTTTCATATTTGCAGGCTGGAATTACTTTTGATAGTCTTAGAAGCTCTCTCTAAGTTTTCTAGTTTTTGTATATGATTAGGACAGTGAAACCAAAAGGTCTCCTCATAGATTTGATGAGATGAGTTTGGTCGGAAGATTCGGGAGTTTGATTTCTCAAGGGGTTTACTCTGTTGCCACACCGTTTCATCCATTTGGTGGTGCGATTGATGTGATCGTTGTTCAACAAGAAGACGGTTCGTTCCGGAGCACGCCTTGGTACGTTAGGTTCGGTAAGTTCCAAGGCGTCCTCAAAGGCGCCGAGAAGTTTGTTAAGATATCTGTGAATGGCACCGAGGCGGATTTTCACATGTATCTTGATAACTCTGGCGAAGCTTACTTCATCAGGGAAGTTGATCCTGCAGCTAGTGACACCAACAGTCTGATTTCTAATTCTGAGGATAGTAATGGTAACGAGAATAACGGTGTGGGGCTTCGTCTCGAGCATAGTTTATCGGACGCTGGTGCTGAGGAGTTACGAGAGGGTTTCGGCTCTTTGAGCCGGCTTGACAGGACTGAGTCCGATTGTAATAGGAGGTACTATGATTTTCAGGATGATCCGCCATCTCCGACCTCGGAATATGGAAGTGCTCGGTTTGATAATCTAAATGTGGAAAGCTATGGGGACTCTCAGGGCTCAGATTCTGAGGTGGTTTTGGTGAGTATCGATGGACATATACTAACAGCTCCTGTGTCAGCGGCTGAACAGGAGGCTGAGAATCTACGGTTAAATACTCCTCAGTTTCATTTGGCACCTGGTGATGGGACCGAGTTTTGTGAAGGTAATACTGAGTTTGCTTCGTCCGAGACTTCTTGGGAGACTGAATATATCGGCAAAGTGGAGGCATCTGATGCTGTTAATATTGTATCTGAAAGAGTAGACACTGGGAGCGTTGAGCGTAGTGATATGGATTCTCATTCTCGTGGTAATACCGAGAAAGATTCTCATGATGCTGAAAGATGTTTGGAGCAGCCTGGTGAGAATGCGAAGTCCGAGGAACCAGCTCCTACTTTTGAGGATCAGAATCTCAAAGAACGCGAGTTTCTACCTACCACCATCACGGAAAATGATAGAGGTGAAGATGTTGAAGTGGCTATTGAAACAGTAAGTACTCCTGTTGATGGTTCTGAATCTTCTGCAACCCAAATAACAACAGAAGAAGTGGAAACAACTGAAGAAAATAGGATATCCGCTGATTTAAATACAGAATCGGAATGTAAAGATGAACAGACAAGAACATCTACAGAAACTTCCATCTTGATTGACAACGAGGAAGGCGGGATTATAGAGTCAGAAGATCAGGCTTCTGAGAGAGTCTCTATAGATTCAACGAGAGAGGACGATGAGCAACTAACACCATCTAAACCGGCTGAGGAGAATACTATAGATTCAGTGGCTACGACTTCTACTGTGGACACAGGAAAACCTGGTACAGATCTGAGTAAGTAACTTTAATTTTTTGGTCGGAACTGTGACTAGTAGCTGAGTTATATTTAAACAGTGGTTTAACTTTTCAGGATATGAGCTATCACTTTGCAAGGATGAGCTTCGTCAGGGTATGGGACTTAGCGCAGCTGCTGAAGTCTTTGATGCGCATCGGATCTCTATGGAAGAATATAAAAATTCGGCAACATCGATTCTTGAAAGTGAAAATCTGGTGGTTAGGATTAGAGAAACGTATATTCCATGGAAGAAAGCTGCTCGAGTCGTGCTTGGGAAAGCTGTCTTTGGCCTAGACTTAGATATCGAGCCAGATGATGTGATTTCAGTGGCGGAAAATGAGTCGGCGAAAGCAAAGGACGATGAAGCTACAGTAACTCCTTCTTCATCTGGAAGAAGATGGAGACTCTGGCCCATTCCTTTTAGAAGGGTTAAAACAGTCGAGCATACAGGTAGCAACTCTTCGAGCGAAGAAGATCTGTTTGTTGATTCTGAACCTGGCTTGCAGAACTCACCAGAAGCACAATCAACCACAGAGAGTCGCCATGAGTCTCCACGTAGACAACTTGTGAGAACCAATGTCCCTACCAATGAGCAGATCGCATCTCTGAATCTGAAAGATGGCCAGAATATGGTAACTTTCAGTTTCTCCACAAGAGTTCTTGGAACACAACAGGTTTGTTGACGGTTACATTAGTTGAATATTTGAATGCACACTGAGGGAAAAATTCTTCTAACGTTGGCTTTCAAATATTCCTTGGTTTTTTATTAGGTCGATGCACATATTTACCGGTGGAGATGGGATACCAAGATTGTAATTTCAGATGTCGATGGAACTATAACTAAGTACAGCTTTGATCCTTATTGCACCTAAATTGTTTTCATATTATAATTATTTAATATCTAGACTTATGCCAATGTGATGATCTTTTTTTGTTGCTGTGTTTTGTAGATCTGATGTGTTAGGTCAGTTTATGCCTTTGGTTGGAAAGGACTGGACACAGTCTGGTGTGGCCAAGCTTTTTTCTGCCATTAAGGTAATATTCAAGGCTAAAGTCAGTCTAGCTTCTCACACTTTAAAATTTGGAAAACATGAGATCCACAACTACATCTGCTAAAATTTGGATAGTATATGCCCTGTAATTATAAATCTCACATGGCATTTCTTTGGATTTTTCAGGAGAATGGATATCAGCTGCTTTTTCTGAGCGCTCGTGCCATTGTTCAGGCATATCTAACAAGAAGTTTCTTACTTAATCTAAAGCAGGTAATCATGAGATCTTTTTATCTTTGAATTGGCACTAAAATCCATGCTTGATCCTTATTAATAACATAAGCCTAAGGAACTGAAAATGGTGTCGTGTGAGGCTATCTATAACCTGTTGTTATGAGATCTCTCTGCTTCTTATGTTTTTTCTTTCCGGCTTGTAGGACGGAAAAGCTCTGCCAAACGGTCCTGTAGTCATTTCACCAGATGGGCTGTTTCCAGCATTGTACCGTGAAGGTTAGTTAATCTTAATGCCTTGGAGATTCATTAGTAGCATCGTAACGTATCTGTAATTCAGTAGTATGGATCTCTCATTCTCTCTCTTTTATACTTTATAACTGCTTTGCAGTGATAAGAAGAGCACCTCACGAATTCAAGATCGCATGTTTGGAGGTAATAGTTTATCTTTTTATTCCTGGGAAATAAGAGAGAACGGTTCATACCAGCGGCGTGACTTTAGATAAGAACAACGTTACAAATGTAATGTGCAGGATATCAAGAAACTCTTCCCAAAGGATTACAATCCGTTCTACGCTGGATTCGGGAATAGAGACACCGATGAGCTGAGTTACAGGAAACTCGGAATCCCCAAGGGAAAGATATTCATAATCAACCCAAAGGTATCCAAAATCTCTCGGAATCTGACATGCATGATTATTTGTTGAACTCTGCTGAGACCTTCTGTGTTTAAAACTGGACCAGGGAGAGGTAGCGACAGGACATCGCATAGATGTCAAGAAGTCGTACACATCACTTCATACTCTTGTCAATGACATGTTTCCTCCAACTTCGCTTGTTGAGCAGGTAACTAAAAAGCTAGAATCTTTATGCAAATGTGATGTAATGTAATGTAGATTCATTAATGGTTTCAAGTGTTTGCTTACACATCCACAGGAAGATTATAACCCATGGAACTTCTGGAAACTACCAGTAGAAGAGGTTGATTGAAAAAATCCGTTAGAAATGAGATGCAGATGGGTCCAACATGGCGGCTGCGAAAACTCCAGTATTGGACTTTTGTAAGCCTTTTGAATGACTTTGTACACAAGAAAGAAAGAGCTGGAACTTTATCTCTACTTTGTAATGTCTCATGTAGGAGTTAACACACGGAAAGAATTATATAGACAAGCTGTGACAATGTTCTGTAGAATCTGTACAAGACCTTGTTCTTTTATATATCTTTTTAAAATACACAAAAATACGAATCTTTGTATTTGGATAATTATAAAGTGTCGTTGAATGGAAGAAAAGGATGCAAAAATAAACTTTAACTACAGCAAAAGTTTACAAGATAAAAACCCAATCTAGTAAAAAATGTAAAAGAAGTAAAAAACCAACATTTTGACAGAAGCTAGAGTCAATATACATACAATTAGCAGCTAAACAAGCAACTTTTTACTTTATTAGTATGTTAGCTCAATTTTGAACAAAAACTTGTTTTTTTTTCTTTTTCTTTCCGTCACAAGTTAGACATAGTTCAACTTTTCTTTGTAAAAAATAGACCAAAACTACAAAATAAAACATGATTTTGCATCATCATCAATCAAATAGCGTAAATTGGATTTACCTCCGATTCAGACTCGGACGGATGCGCATGATGCCACGAGCTTGTCCCAGTTCTACCAAATTTCTTCTTCTCCTTTTTCCTTACCTTCCTCGTCCTCTTCGACTTCACAACATAGTAAGTCATTATACTTAAAATTCCGGCCATCGTCACGGTTCCTATGACTGTAACCACAACCGCCGCGTATCTATTTCTCCGACCAACCACAATGTACGAGGAGGAAATGAATGCCACGGTGGTGCAGACAGAGGCGAGCCACATCAGCTTATTGATTACTTCCACCACACGTCTCTCCGTTTTAGTCTCTCCTCTTACTAGCGTGATTTGCACGACAACTACTGCTAACGAAGTGAAGAGCGCGATCGCGTTGAATATAAAGAATATCTTGAAAGATGTTGCGTGGACCATCACGGCCACACCATGGTCGTCGTCGCCTCCTGGAACCGTGAAAATTGCGGCAAACGCCACCGTGGCGAAGAGAACAGCCACGACGGTTACAGAGTTGGTGGCGTTGTTGATACCAGCTCTGTGGAGTTTCCTTAGCTCCTTGGCGATGCCGTCTACGTTTTTGTTCGTTTTTCGGGTTTGTTCGAGCTGCGTGTGAACGTCTTTTTTAATCTCTGTTACGGTTTTTCGCAGCTCATCTCTTGGCTGGTTTAGTTCGTTGGCTTTGAGCGCGCCGCAACGCGATAGTATGTCTTTGATCTCTGCCGTATCCTCTGAATGAGTGAGACCTTCAGCGATGTCGTATGCGGTCTTATGGTCTCTTGTCAGCGCATTCACATTTGTATCCGGAAGCTGCAACAGCTCATTCACAATCTGCAAATCAAAACAAGGATTCAAGAATCAAACTAACCGAATAACAATTAGATGGTGAAACAATCAATTTTACGTTGTTTTACCTCTGCTCTTTTCTTTCGCGTAGCGATGTGCAGTACGGTGTTACCGAATTTATCAGGAAGCATGACGATAGCCGGATCAGCTCGAAGGAGTAACCTCACGACTTGTGAGCTAACTCCTTTCACAGCCATATGTAAAGATGTTTGTCCTTTCTTGTCTGTTCGTCTTGCTAACTGCGGATCTCTATCGAGCAACGTTCTCACAATATCTACATGGCCTTGACGAGCAGCGAGGTGCAACGCATTCTTTCCATTGGATCTTGAGATCTCAAGCAAGCTTGAGTCTTTAGCAAGCAGTTCATCAACAACATCTGAATGCCCTCGAGTTGCAGCTGACACAAGTGGGGTTGCGTTTGATTGAGCTACTGTTTTACTCAGCTGAGGTTCATGCTCAAGCAGTAATTGGACAATAGCTGCAATAAAAGAAAGTCGCGGTTAAAAGAGAAAAGATTCAATCTTATTTGGCTCCAAAAGAAAAAGGGTTTTGGATTAGTGAGACTTAATTACATCGATGGCCTTGACTACAAGCAATGTGTAAAGCGTCGAATCCAGAAAGATTCTTCTGCATAAGAGACTCTTTGGTGGTATAACGCAACAACTCCTTGACAACATCAAGATTACCTTTCTCCGCCGCTGTAAAAAGCGGCGTCTCTCCCAACTCATTCACCTCGTTTACCACTGATGTCATTATCTGTGCTACCTTTTCAGTTTCCAAAATATAAGACAATGGAGACATAACTTTCATCAACACAATTTTGAGCTGTATCTCAGAGAAATTAACAAAATGAGAAAGGTGGAAGAAGGCGTCTAATATCATACCTCGTCATCAAACTCAGCTCCTGTAATGGTACCAGTAATCTGAGAATCAATGTCACTAAGAATCTGCTTAACAGAAGCCAAATCTCCTCGTTGAGCAGCTAGGTGGAGCTCGGTGTCGTTATGACGGCCTGTGACTTGTTTCACATACTTCTTTTTACCCGTTGGATCAAACCGTTTCCCCGAGTTGGAAAGTCCCAAGGACTTGCTTGAATTGGACACCATTAAAGCCTTACCGGAATTGGACAGTACCAGAGTCTTCCTTGGCGTTGGAGTTGGCGACAGGTCCGCCAAGGTACTCCCTGTCGGACTCACCGGATAAGTCGCCAAACCCTTCTCCATATCCGGTTCCAGTTCCTTCTCTGCAAGGGTCAGATTGATTACACCTTGTTTGTTTGTTTATCACGCAAATGACAAATCCATCTAATAACTTTTCAAAAATCAGCCTGATGATCCCAATTTAATACCTAATCCTAGTTTCACAAACAGAGGAATACCAAGAAGAACCAAAAGTGTAGTTGATTCCTTCACACGTTTTCCAATTTCGCAAGAGATTTTCGTACACGACTCTAGTCAGAATCTGAAATTAAGGAGAATGAGAGATCGTTGTACCTTCTTCGATTCTGGATCCCATTTTGAGAGATATGAAAACAGAGGGATTTTAAAGCGGGATCATGATATTGTAAGATGATAGATAGACCATCCGGTTTTGATTCTCCGGTTTGTGAAGAAGAACAAGCCGTCAGAGCCGACGTCGTTGTTGGCCACAGGTACCTTCACTGTCACGGCAAGGGTTTGAGATCCGATTATGGATATTGATACGAGAAGCAGAGAGCTTACCTTATTTTCGGTGTAATTTGGGTTGTCGTCTTCTTCTTCGTCTTCAGTTAGGGAAATTTGCCACGTCAGCATCTTACACACAAAAAGACAAAACATATTATGGTCTGCAAAACTCATTTGTTTTAAGTTAACTCTGTTTTTAGTACGTTGATCTGTATTACTCAACACGGTTTAGGTGAAATAATGTAACTGAAAACAGAAAAAGTTGGTTTGTCAACAATTAATGTGAATTTACACTTTTCAACATTAACTAATAGCTCTAATATTTCAGGCGAATCTTCTGTAAACATAAACTTCATATGTCACGATAAAATATCTAGTAAAATTCCAAAATATTTAAAATAACATCCACAAAAAAAAAGGCTACTGTCGGCAACAACAACGAAAAAGGAAGAAATAAGAAGGGACCAAATATGATTATTCCCCACAGTTCCAACAAAAGCTAACATCAATGGTGTGAGTTGCAGTTGCAACAAAGAGCAATTATAACCCAAAACCTCCCAAAATTAAAAAAAAAAAAAAAAAAAAACTGAAACTGTCCGAAATTAAAATTCGATATATATAATTATAAATAGTTATGGGAAACTTACACGGCTTTCACAGATCTCATCACGCCGGCGAAACTCCCAACGCCCCTTTCCCACCGTCTCCAGCTCCGCCTTCTTCATCATCACCATCCGGTCCCCACATGACGGTGGAACCTTATTGCCACGTAGACTCCAGCCTCCGCTCCCTCGCCGGAAAAGCCGAGGGTTTCGGCCGCGCCGCCGTCGGTGGTCTCAACGGTCCGATTTGCCACGTCACTTCTTTAGCTGGTAAATTCAAGATTCCCTCTTCCAATTATTCCTCTGTATGCACATTGCTTGGATTTGTGGTCGTGGATTTATTCGACTTTTCTATTTTATTTACTTGTTTTATTTATTCATTAATGTTTACTTTATTTTCTATTTTATTGGTGATTGTTTACTTCATATGTGTGTTATTGAAATGATTGATGTGAAATAGAACTACTTCATATGTGTGTTATTGAAATGATTTCATACGAAACGAATCAAACGCGTTTTTGCAGACGAGGGTCCAGGAACGTTACGAGAGGCTTGTAAGGGGCCAGAACCGTTATGGATTGTGTTCGATGTGTCGGGAACGATCAATCTATCGTCGTTTGTGAACGTAGCATCGCACAAAACAGTGGACGGAAGAGGGCAAAGGGTGAAGATAACGGGGAAAGGGTTGCGGCTAAAGCAAAGTGAAAACGTTATAATCTGTAACCTTGAATTCGAGGGCGGTGTAGGACCAGACGCAGACGCGATTCAGATCAAACCAAAATCAAGCAACATTTGGATTGATCGGTGTAGTCTCAAGAATTACTATGATGGTTTGATTGATATCACACGAGAAAGCACTGACATTACCATCTCAAGGTTTGTCTCTCAAGTCTAATCTTATGCGTTTTATCTCTTCTTCTTACTTTTAGTAAAACAGAACCAAAAACTAATAGTAGTAATGTTTTAATTAGAACTTCTTCTAAAATATTTGTACATGTCTTTTTTACAAAAGAAAAAAAAAACATTTTTCTAACATTAAATCTATTTTAAAAAAAATAAGTAAATGGTGGAATCGATTATGAAAGTTATGTAACAATCCTTAACCCACTAATTTGGAAAGCAATAGCATAAACGCACGAAACTGGGAAACATATATAAACCTAATTAATCAAAAATATGAAAAGAATAAAAGAATGGTTAGACATTTCACATATTCATATATTATTTTCATAAAATTGTCAGATGCCATTTCATGAACCACAACAAGACGATTTTGATAGGAGCGGACCCAAGTCACGTGACGGACCGATGCATAAGAGTTACGATTCATCACTGCTTCTTCGACGGTACACGTCAGCGACACCCTCGCGTTCGCTTTGCCAAAATCCATCTCTTCAATAACTACACTCGTCACTGGTCCATCTACGCCGTCGGAGCCGGAGTCGAGTCTCAGGTTCATCACCGGAAACAAAAACATATATACACATATTTTTACGATTCTGCCATCATCAAGTTTTATATGTTTCATTATATTTTTATGTTGTTTTGATAGATATATTCTCAATGCAACATATATGAAGCTGGTGAGAAGAAGACAGTCTTTAAGTACATCACTGAGAAGGTAAATCTACTTTAAATGTTAAGAACAGAAAGACAATATTTACATTTCGAAAAACCTTTATAAATTTTTTTGCTATATTGTTATGTTCTCTTGGCTCTTGTTCTAGACCAAAAATTGATCTCTGATGAACGCGTTGACTTCTTAGCTGTTCAAAAATGTACATAGTGGTTTTAGGTTTTAAAGATTAGTTTAGGTTCTCATATATTTCCATTAATAGTTAAGAAGAAATTAAATACGCTATATTTGTTTCTTACAGTCAACAACAACACACCGTTTATCTAAAAAAAATTGTTCATAGAAAATCTAGACTTATTAACCTCGTTTATTTTTGTTTGGTACTCCTATATATAATGTAACAATGAACGTTATATTTTACTTTGTTTGGTGATTAGGCCGCGGATAAAGAGAAACCCGGAGCTGGTTTCATAAGATCAGAAGGGGATTGGTTCTTGAACGGTGCCAAGTCGTGTCTTAGCCACGAGGGAGAGCGCCACGTGTTCTCCCCGACCCAACACTATTCTGAATGGACCGTCGAATCTCCAGTCGAGAAACTCAAGAACTATGTGAAACACTCGACCGGCTGGCAGAACCTTCCCCTTCCACCCGACCAACTTCCGACCACGACATAATTATTGCTTATCGCAATGATTTGGTTTATTAGGCGGTGATTGGAAGTTCTTGGCTGATATTTGCATCCTCCTCAACCATTTATAATTTCGAGTTTTGGAATTAAAAAAACTCAGGACTTCCCATATGATATGATGGTGTTGTCAAATTGTGGATGCAAAAAACTTATGACTCCCCCCATATATAAGATGGTGTCAAACTGCAAAATAAGAATACACAACGTATGAACTCAAAGAATAGTATCTTTGCTAGCTTTTTTTTTGTGTAGGAAAACCAAAATTATCCTACATGTCATTGTCATGAGACATGAGTTTACAGAATTTGTGGCTCTTCGGCTCTGACAAGACACCTTCCGTTGATCGGTTCTATAAAAGTATGCGCGGTCTCTATAAACTGTGTTATGTGACTTGACTTCTGATTCTTGTGGAGACCTCACCAACCATCAATATGGACCAAAGACTCTATACCTACATATTATCTATATACTATGATAGTGAATTAATGTTCCAGTTATTAATTTGAAATTTGATTAAATGGTAGTCGTAATACTGCATTACACCTCATAATGATGCCGCGTTATTCGTAACTCGTTACCTTCAATCATATCAATCAAGAAGTTAAAAAAAATATAAAAAATTAGATACCTATATGGTCATATCATAGGGTGAAAAATGGCGGGAGAATAAAACATTGATTTCCCCTTCAAAACCTTCTGCATGACAAAGATCTGGGCTTTCGTCCAGCATTGAGAGGAGCTGTAAGAAGACAGAAAGATGTCGAACACGGATATGGTTTCTCCGAAACACCCTTAAACAACTCCGACAAGTGCTTTCCGAGATCTTCAGGGGTATATCTGTCATTCCACTCACCTTCCGTTCCCGCCAACATAGCGGCATTTCTATGCGCGTTGTAAAAATCACGATAAACCGGCAACAGCTTTCTCTCGATCGAGATTCTCATCTCGTCCTGCAGTTTCGGATCAGGTACGACGCACGCGCTATGTGACTCGCACGTGCTCTCGAAACTCTCGTTGAACATCTCGAATTGCATCTTCGCCTCCTCCGGCGACATCTCCACCGCCTCCGAAGTACTGATCGCCGGACACAGCGACACAAGTGGACCCCACGCGAGCCGCTCGTAGCTTCTGGCGAACTGCCTGACTTTCTCGAAATGCCTAGAGATCCAATCGTCGCCGAGGAGCTGCTTCAGGTTCGTGGAGCGTGCGCGTGACGCCACGTGCTGCAGGTTGTTGGCTAAGAAGAGATACTGCATCGAGAACTCCTTGTACATTTCAGCTTTCCCGTCGATCTTGCATAGGAGAACGAGGATCATCCACGCGAATCGCACTCTCACCTCTGAAGCCGGAGATCCGTCGGATTCCGAGAGATTGAAGTAAGATTTCGGAAGCAAAGATTTAGCGGAGGAGGATGATGCCTTGAGGATATCCATGAGAGCGCTACTGTACTCAGCGAGGCGCGAGAGGTGATCCATGGCGGAGATCGTCATCGGATGAACGCCTCCACCAGGAACCACCGTCCTCGACGCGTCTTTACGGATCTCGGATTCGAAATCCACCATATGCGAAAGAATCGACTCACTGAGTCTGCTAAGCGAGTTGAAAGCTTGAGATCTAACAGCGGATACTGATTCGAACGAGAAGATCGATTCGATCTCCGGTAAGTTCTCGGTGATCGCGCAGTACATATCCAGCAGCGGGAAAATCTTGTCCGGGTGCGGATTTTTCTTGTCTCTCAAGGCAACGGTTTCAGGGAACCCAAACAGAAGAAGAGCTCCTTCTTTAGAGATGTCTCGGAAACAGGACTCTTTGAGTGAAACAGAGGACTCAAAGACTTCATCGCAGAGAGTCTTTTCGCCGTCGAAGAGAGTCTTCATCGACACTTGAACCGCCTCGATCCAACTCTTCATCTTCGACTCGAGAACCTCACACGGCATCTTTTTCGCCTTGGACGAACTTATTTTCTCGACTCCGAGACGGTGAATCCCTTCGTCGACTATCGATTTTCTGATGGATTTATAGGCAGTCGCACACTCTTTCGCGTAACCGGCGGCGATCATGCACTCGGCGATGGATTTGAGCTCCGTCACAGAGTTCTTCGACACCGCTTCGACTTCGATGATGGAATATCTAGCAGGACGAGACTCATGCCAAACATCTTCATGGTTTGATACGACAGAGGTCGGCGATCTACTAGAGACGGATTCGGGATCCAAACGCGCACGGTTCATTGACAGAATCAGGAGAAACTCACTCTGAAGCCTTTTCATAGCAATCTGCATCAGTCTCTGGGCTCTAAGGAGTTTCTCCGAGTTCGGATCTTCGCTAATCAACAAATCCATCGCGTTCTGCAAATCCTTCACGCGTCTCACGAACTTCTTCGCCTCTCGTTTGCTCTCGCAAAACAGAGAATAAAATTTCGTTTCAGAGATATACTCGGTGTTCCATTTCTCGATAATCTCGGCGGCGTAATCGATCGTCCTGCCGATCTCCGACGACTCAAAACCCTTGCTAGGTCTCGAGAGAGAAGGTCGCTTCCTTGAAGATGTTATCTTAGAGAAGAAACTGAAACCGCTCTTGCTTCTCATCTTGATCTTATATACCTCTTCTTCTTTGTTTTTTGTTTTGAAGGAGAAACCAAAAAAAAAAAAAATAGTTTTTATATTAAATAACGAAACGCCTCACCTTCTGTGTGGATTCAAGAACCAAGTGGTAAAAGGGGTTCCCTTTTTGAAGAACCTACCACTGAACCCAGATTCAGGGAGGCGTTTAAACTCTAGATTTTTGATTTGTTACACAACCCTAACTAATGATTTTGGTCGTTTGTCATTGTGGTTACAAACAACGACAGAGAAATATGAGGAAGAATGTGGGGTTCACCTTTGACTCATCCTTGCCCTTCACGTGTCATCGTCATGGACACAAATCAGATAATGTTGAATGAATTTACCAAACTTATTTTCTTCTATTTCGTATATAATAGATGATTGAATTTTTAATGTTTTTTTCTGTAAAGCTAGACCTAATATTTTTACTACATTAAACTTCCTCTCTCTCTTGATAATATATGTTATAGAAAAAATTGTTTTTTTAAATAATAACAAGGTATTCACAAAAACTCATTTTTAATAAATATTTTTATCCAATATGTAACTTTATATTTTTAATGGATTTTTTTATTCATTTTTTGTATTTGTAAATTTGTATATTTTATTTTTTATAGAATTATTTTCTGATAAACTTATATTATTATTTTTGGACTTTGATTATGTTAATTTCTATTAACTATCGAATTATATTTTATAACATTTGACTTTATAAAATAAGATGGTCAATTTATTGTATAACATTTGACTTAATGTATTCGCCAAATTGTTTTTCAACAATCTTGATAGACACAATTTATTAAAATGTAAATAATGCTTATTTAGATTGTTTTTAGTAATAGATACATATACTTTATATTTTCTACGACAAGTGTTGTACATTAACATTTCATACTAAGATAGGTATACTAAATTTGTTATTATGAGTCTATAGACTTATAGCTACACTGAACTTTACTATAAACCAAGGGAGTTCGTATTAATACATGTTATGATACAATATCTCAATCCTTACATCATTAATAGACATTAAATTTGATGTTTAAGAATGAAACGTGAGATTTACCATAATAAAAGCTTTCTTCAGTCTCTCCAGTTTTATGTCGTTGTCTATCATTCCTTCTTTTTGAGGTATTAAAAAATAGTTCGTTAATGTATAGGAATAAGCCATGCAATACTAACTATTCACTGTTTGCCTTTTAGATTTAAGACGAAAAGCAAAATACGATATTTAACTCTTTTTTACTTTAGGATGAGGGTAGCCGTGACCGACATGACGAAGGAGAAGAAACAGATGAATTCCCCGAAGTACCCTCCCCTGAGAACAAATTAGACAAACGGTTTTCAATTTCTTCGGGGGTAAATCGGACAACCGAGCTCAAGTTTCTCGCGCCACCGGCTCCCGCCAAGATAATAGATCTTCTCGTGTTGTAAAACTCGCGATAAACTGGCACCAGCTTTCTCGCTATCGATAGTTTTATCTCCTCACGTAGCTCTGCATCAGGTACGGCGCAGGCGCGTTGTTTATCGATTGCCCTCTCGAAGCACTCACTGAAATTTTCAAACCGCTCCTTCACTTCCTCCGGCGACATCTCCGCCGTACGATTCTCAGGTAAAGACGCTACCACTGGGCCCCACGCAAGTCGCTTATAGCTGTCGGCGAATTGCTTCATCTTAGCGAAATGCTTATTGACCCAGTCGTCGCCGAGGAGTTGCTTCAGGTTTGAGGAGCGAGCGCGTGACACCACGTGGTGGAGATTGTTGGTTAGGAAGAGATACTGCACGGAGCAATCCTTGTAGTAATTTGCTTTACGATCGATTTTGCAGAGGAGGACGAGGATGAGCCACGCGAATCGGATCGTTAGCTCCGACGAAGGTGAGTCGTCGGAATCCGAGACGTTTAAGTAAGACTCAGGAAGCAGGGATCTGTCCGGTGGCGGAGATCCGGCGAGGATATCGACGAGTACGTTATTGTAGTCGGCGAGGAGAGAGAGATGACTCATGACGGATTTCGTCAGTGGATGCACTCCTCCGCCCGGTACCACCACCTTCGACGAGTCCTTTTGGATTCCGGATTCAAAATCCGCAAGTAGTGATCGAATCGATTCGCTAAGAGAGATCAAGGATTTAAGTGCTTGAGATCGAACGACGGAGCTTGAATCAAACGAGAAGATAGATTCGACCGCTCGCCAGTTCCCGGCGATCGCGCTGTACATGTCAAGCAGCCGGCAAATTTTCTCCGGTGGAGAATTCTTCTTGCTGATTTTGCTAGCAATGATTTCGGGAAATCCAAACAGAAGAAGTCCTCCTTCTCGCGAGATTTCGCTGAAGCAAGACTCTCTGATCGCATCAGAGGATTCGAAGACGTGATCACACAGAATCTTCTCCCCCTTGAAGAGAGTCTCCATGGAAACTTTCACTGCCTCTAACCAACTTCTGATCTTCAACTCGATCGTCTCCCATGACATTTTCTTCGCCTTAGCCGTACTCGTTCTCTCCACTTCCAGACGGTAAATCCCTTCGTCGATGATCGATTTTCTGATGCTTTTATATATGCTCGAACACTCTTTCGCGTAACCAGAAGCGATCATGCACTCAGCGATGGATCTCAAATCGTTCGCGACGGTGGAAGAAACCTCTTCGACTTCGACGACTGAATCACCGGCGTTGTGTGAGTCGTCATCTTCGGGAAAATCGGAGTAGCTAGATCTCGCTGAGGTAAGAGAAGATCGAGTAGAGACGGATTCTGGATCTAGATAAGCACGATTCATGGAGAGGATCTGGTAAAACTCCTTCTGAAGCCTCTTCATCGCGATCTGCATCAGTTTCTGGGCTCTCACGAGTCTCTCCGAGTTCGGATCCTCACTCACCAGCTGATCCATCGTCTTCTGCAGATCCTTCACTCGATCGATGAACACCATGGCTTCTGCCTTGCTCTCGTAGAACATAGAAGTGACTTTGGCGAAAGTGGAGGTCTCTGTGTTCCACCTCTCGATTATGTCCGCCGCAGATTCAATGATCCCGTAGATAGCCGCCGATTCCAAACTCTGGCGAGGCGTTAACGTAAGAAGAGGTGGATGATTCGGCGGCGTTTTGGCGACGCAGCAAAGGCTTTTCATGGCTTTTCTCGTCATAAGTCTTCAAAGAAATTTTCGAGAGACTTCAATTCGCGTCGTTGATGGAAATTTATGAAATTTGAAAATGATTCAAGTGGTGAGAGTTATGAGGGAGAGAGGTTTCAGTCGTTGAGGGGTATTTATAGAATTAAAAAGCATTATAACGACGTCATTAATTAAAACTTGTGGAGAAGAATGGACGATGAAAGTTGTTGTTGACCTTTTCCTTCTGGGCCTACACGGGTTGTGGGCTTGATGCAATTTTATGTGACTTTAAATTCTTTAATCATATAGGTTGACCCGAAATGTTAATAATATTTTTTCCTTCCATAATCTTTCCCAAGTAATTTGGATCAGCAGTTTATAATATTATCATTACAAAGCATAAATTACCTGTCTCAAATGATAAAGCATAAGTCTGATTGTTTGGCATGCTGTAGAAACGTAGAGATTTTAAAATAAGTTACAGTCTTAATAATTAATTATTTGAACAATTACACTTTTGTTTTCCTAAAATTTCTTAAAAACATTCAGTCCTTAACTTCTCTTTTTTGCCTATATTTCGTTTTTTTTTGTACAGCCTAGAATTGAAGACTTTTTTTAAAAAAAAAATAACAGTCAATAAAATTACAGCCATAAATTTTAAAGTCCATTAATTTAAAAGCCTTAACAGTAAAAAAACCTTGAAAGCAAACGTTGGGCATAGGTGTGTACAAATACAACTACGGAAATATCTTATAGGGAATGCTTGACTGACCCATGAAATATCCGTCAATTACAACCTTGAATCACTAGTTTACTTGTGTGGATGGTTCAAACAGATTCACAATCTGCTTAACAAAAAAAAAGAAAAAAGTATTCTTAATTTGGAAAGTAAAATGATTATAACAAAAAGGTCAATGGATCGCGTCACTTATGTCTAAAAATCTTCGATGTTGACACAATCTATAACGACTTGAGTAAATGTTACAGATTTCTGTATTATCCCTATGTCCAAACCACAATCATTTTTTTTTCTCCCTACAGGTTTCATTCTTTCTCTTATTAGTTGTTTAGAAAGGGATGTTCACTTATGTGCATTGTCTTTTTGGACTCGTATGTGGTATTGTCCACAAATGAATGCGTTATCGGCTTGCATGTGCGTCCCCACAACTTTTCAGTTTATTAAACAGTTTTTAGTATATATATAAATATTTAATACGCAAAGTTTCAAGTATTTTACATTTGTTATTAACCACATTTTTCGTTCAAATCCTTTTATACCTAACTCGGTTTTTTATGATATTTTTGGCAACTGCACAAAACGTAAATCATAAAATTGAACATAGCGCCGAATTCAACTCAGTGTGATAGCACAGAAACAAAGCTTTATAACAGATTATCATGACTGAAACAAATCTCTATAACAGATTAACATGATTGAAACAAAGCTTCTATATATATATTTAGTATGTATTTATTCATCAACTAAAATTCAGAAACATTGAGACAACAGACTATATTCATAAATATTTGATTTAATTTTTTTTTTAGCTTTTAGACAGATTCTCAACTATACATTCCTTTCATCACATATACAAAAAGTTTAATTATATAGATGAAACTCGTCTGCCAACAATTTAATATTACGGATCAAATTGGCTAATTGCATATAGTTAAATAGTTTGTTGTAAAATGATCGTCATTTATACGTAAGTTTTTTGAAACTATTACTTCGATGAATATATATAGAATGGAATTATAAATAAATTTGTTGAACCACGTGTTAACTATGTTGTAGATAGCTTTTTTTCGTTTGTCAACAATTTGTGATATATAGATAGCATATGCATTGAAAAGGATAGCCTATACATTTTCATATGCAGATTCATTCGATTTTCTTAGAATTGATTTTAAAATAGTGATTATTTCCTTCTCACCAACAGTCAGATTCAACTTTAAATATTCGCTAGACGTGATAATATCAATAGCGATACATATACGCTGACATGTATTTTGATTCCTCAGGACTTATATATTGTTATTATAAGTTGACAGATTTGAAACCCAAAAGCAACAGCCTCATATACTACTATTTTTATTTTTACAAAATAGACTGGCGTTAATAATTTATTTATACATATCTGTTTCTTCTTTTTCTGACTGTCAAATATTGATTATAAGGAAAACCGAGGAAGATTTAGTATATATAAATAATACTTTGTACATACTCAACAGAATATTCAAGATTCATGGTTATATGTAAACTCTCGATAATTCGTCTGAGCTTACTTGGAAGATAAGCATTCAAAGTTTCTTTGATCATCTAACCAATCGAAAACGGACAGAATATGGGACAACGTTAACTCACTTTATTGTCATAATTGAGAGTCTTGACGTCATCGAACAGTTTATGAATTGTAAGAAAGTACTGCTTGAATGATTCGCCGTAAAATTGGGAAACTAGAATGCTAATTCTTGTTTTTTTTAATCGTTATTTCAATTATGATTAGTCACTATAAATATATAAGAAAATTCGATTTTTCACAGGTTCTCGATATTAGTATGAGTTTTAGATCACGATTTCCGATTATATGAAATGAATAACAGAACATTATATTTGTTATTTTCTCTCCTTTTGATTTCGAGTTTTCAACCGTTAAACGAGGCCGCGTAGATTTTTTTTTTTTGTGTGTGCAAATGCCGCGTAGATAAAAACCCTTTTGTCTTGGTGCATATTCACATGTGTATAGAAGTTACATGTCTTAATATTGACCTCATATTTGTGGGCTCAGTTATTCCATGGCAATTAAAACTTTTACATAATCTTCCAAAATTTACACTGTTATTCTTCGATGATTGGTACGTATACGTAAACTCAGGATTCTCAAGTCGCGACTCACGACAAAGTACGCCCGTTTGAAAAAGGGAACAAGGCAATAGTTAATTTTATTTATTTATCAAAATTGACATTTCTATTTTAATTAAAAGTTATAGCAATTAGGCTTCAATTAACATCATGCATTAACTCATATATGCCACGACATTTTATATCCACTTTTTTTTTTAATATAAAAAACGACATTTGTATCTACAGTTTAAAGAAAGAACGACATATATCAAGAGTATTCGATATCTCAAATATACAAATGCCAAAATAACCGGATGTTACTATTATAATCTCAAATTTCTAATTTCCGTGGTTCTATTCACATTTTTCTGTAATAAATAAGTAACGGCATTTTCGACTTTCGTCTACTTTTCTTTGGTTACTTTATCAGAATTCATCATGGTTAGAGTTAGATCAATGCCCTACGGAGAGTTACGTTTTCAAATACTCATGAGTATCTACTTAGGAAAAATTAAAAACCAACCAGAGAGACCGCATAGCGCAGTGGATTAGCGCGTTTGACTTCGGATCAAAAGGTCGTGGGTTCGACTCCCACTGTGGTCGTTTTATTTCGTCTGGTTTTGATCTATGACGATTGACAAAATGTTCTTGAAGCCACAGTTTTTCTTCCTTATACAAGTGGGTCGGGTCAGATTTTCAATCGGGTCTACATTACGTGATGGGAACAGTTTAAAGATTTGAGTTACAATTACGAAATCAAAACCAAGATATATCACTTTATTTTTATGTAGAAACGATGTAAATTAAAATAGGCTCAAACTTTGTTTGGATTCGTGGTATATATGATAAGTCTAAAATAGAGTCTTAGCTCGACGACGCAATGATGTATGTAATAGAAAGAAAATAGAGATGGGTAACAAAAACATGAAACGAATAAGAGCAAATTATCAATAGGAACCAAAATCCATGTCTGTGAAACTGTCTGACACACAAGAGTAGTGGTGAAGAACAAAAACAAGTTTCCATCAAAAAACAAAGCTGCAACAGATTCTAGCAGAAAGACTCAAAGATAAGAGAGTTTAAACTTTAATAGCGTACTTCCTTATTGGGAAATACATTTCTTTCTTCTTCTCACGCTCTGTCTTCAACGAGAGCTGCATAACAGAGAAAACAAGGAGACATAAACAAGATCAGAACAACCAATGACTGAGCTTTTTGTGTTTAATAAGAAACTCTGGTCGTAATTCGAAAGAGGAAAGATGAGAGACCTGGTGTTTGGTGAGGCGTCTGCGGATAGCACGGGTTTTCTTGGGACGGAGATCGAGAGGAAGAAACTTCTTGTTCTTGTATGCTTCTCTAAGAGCAGACTTCTGCTTCTGAGATGTCACTGTCAAGACCTGAGCTATGGATTTACGGACGACCTTGCTGGAGATTACAAAACACATACAGTTACAGATATATTCACAAGCCAGGAAATGCCAAACCAACAACGAATTCACTTTCTCAGCAATAATCTATCTACATCAAATTAATGTATATCATTCTCAATAATTCTATATAGACCACACAGCCTAAATGATTAAGGGCATAGCAAAACTACTAACATAAACGATAAAGAGAAGAATAGCATATGCAGACTTCATTTCAGAATCATTTACTGCAAATCGAAAAATCTAAAGTTTCACAGATAGAGCACACGTACATTTTAGAGAGCTTGTTGGGAGCACCTCCGGTGACTTTGGCGACACGGAGGAGAGCGAGCTCAGCCTTCAGATCCTTAAGCTGGTTCTGAAGATCGCTCTTCGACTTGTCCCTCAGTTCGTGTACCTTAATTCTCGCTAGAAACAGAACAAAACAAAAAAGATAAGATAAATTAGACGTAATCCTCCAAAGACTCCGATTTATGAAACGAAGCTGATTAAAAAGATGTAGGGATATAGTTCATCGCCATACCCATCGTGAGCTAAACTCGTGTTCTCCTGCTGCGCCGCTGCTACTCTCCGAGAATCAGAAAACCCTAAATACGGAGGGACGCGATATATATACATTGAAGTACATGTGAGACAAACAAGTAAAAGCCCTGGAGTCTCCTTATTGGGTCGTATAAAGCCCATTTATCATTCATAGATCAAACTCAAAATGGGCTGAATGAGATAAATGGGTGCTGACGTGGACTATACAAATAAAA